ATTCAGAATCTGGTCACATGGCCATAGATAGCTACAAGAGAAGCTGTAGAGAGAAGCTAAAATGTAGTCTTGGTTCTAGGTGACAATATACCCAGTTAAAATTTCTATTTCTGTAGAAGAAGGTGAGACTGGCTTTTTTCCAATATCTGTCTGGTAGATACTGAGAGTTACCGAGTTATCATAACGGAAAGGAAGGAAATATTTACTATACTATTTTTGAAATATCTGAGAGGAGCTTATTTGGTGTTCAGAATTGCTTACATGAAATGGAAGATTTTGATTAAGTTGTTCCATTTTGTTCCACATTGCCTTTCTTACTAAGGCAGTGCTAAACCAAAACATATTTGAAGTCATTAAACACAAATTTGTGAAATATGGCAAAGCCTCTAAGATAGAATTCCTTCCCTTGAAATTGATTTATTCATCCTTTATACTCAGGTCTGGCTCTAAAAGTGTAGGACGATAACCAAGCTGTGATCTATTGTGAAAGGTGAGGGGCTGGGGCTAGTTTAGAGACAGGCTGACCTGTGGGTCACAATGGGTACAAAGATCAGGAACATGACTCTGGATCAAAGCCCTTGTTTTTCATGCCTTTGTGTAATACAAGATCTCCGTGGGGTTTCAAAGGGGATTTGTTTCAGCTGTTGGCTGAGTGGGTGGTAGGAGAAGAGAATTCCAGGACCACATGCTATGCCTACCTCTGTCAAGGACTCTTCTTGTGGAGCCTGACACACACTGCTGACCAATCCTTTGGAGATAGTTGTTTGGTGAAATCACATAGGTGCCTCTCCATCTTGCTGCATTCTTTGGTTTCATTTGGGATTAATAATCCTCTCACTAGGTGGAGGACCAGACCTGAGGAGTTTGTACAAAGTCTGCCCTTTGTACCTTGATGGGCTGGTATTGGAGAACTAGTTATATTGATAATTTTCTTAAATTTATTTTCAGCTAAGCAACATAACGACATGATGACATAATGACATGATTTACCTGTAAGATAGGCTTGTTCTACATTGGCTTTGTCGGAGGGTATGTCTTTAATTACTTAATATATTGTTTTTGTCCATTAAATTTTTGTTCATAAAAATATGTATTTTCAAGTTCTCTACAGACATATTTTAAAAAGCCTTTAAAAATAATATTTGTTTTGAAGTTTCTCTTTATATCCCACATACATGTGTTATTCTACACAAATGCACGTACATGATTTTTGTATGTTGTTGCATTTTTTGAGTGCTTGCTTTTCTTTTCCTTTTTTAAATATAATATTGCTGTCTTAGTCTGCTGCTATAACAGAACTATCACAGACAAGGTGGCTTAAATAGCAGAACTTTATTCCTTACAGTTCTGAAGGCTGGGAAGTTCAAGACCAAGGTGCTGTTGATTTGGTTCCTAGTGAGGGCCCTCTTCTTGGTTAGCAGAGGGACACCTTCTTGCTGCATCTTCACATGGCAGAGATAGAGAGAGTGTGCTGTGGTCTCCTCACCCTCTTATAAGGATTCCTTCATGAGGACTCTACCCGCATCACCTCACACAAACCAAATTACCTCCCCAAGGCCCCAACTCCTAATCCCATCATATTTTAGATCAGGGCTTCAACATATGGATTTGGGGGAGACACAAACATTCAGTCCGTAGCACCCTTCTTTTCTTTCTCCTGTCTGTTCCTACCGCATTGCCCCTTTCAGATAGTCTCTATCCATCACCTAATGCTTACCTGTCCGTATTTTTCTCCATCCCCATATAATTATACACAACATACGTCTCCATGTACATATACGCAATACACAGATGCAGCTTTTATATTTTACCAAATGGAAGCACAACATACGTACTTTTCTTCATTTTACTTCTTCTGATTCTATGATACCTTGTAGAAATTCCTCCAAGGTATTGGAGTGATGTATCTCTAATTCAAATTTTAAAGGTTTCATTATATTCTATGGTATAAAATACTACTCTAACCATTTCCTTGTTGATGGACATTTGCTTTGCTTGCAGTTTCCACTATGAACAATGCTGCAATCAACATCCTGTTCATGTGTTCTTGTAGAGGCTGTTTTTGTCTCTGTTGCATAGACTCTCAGTGTTGCATGGGAATGATGAGAGTGATGTGTTTTGATTTTTAACTCAGACTTTACGTCGCTTCTTCTTTTGTTGTTTGACTGGGTGCTGCCTGGGGAAGGCTATTGGCTGATCATCAGGTGGTCTCAGTGTGTGGCATTTTCCAGAGTCAGGACTCTCAACCTCAGTGTTGTGGGTACAGAAAATGAACCTTGTCCATATATCCCAAGGTGATCTGCCTTTTTGTGATAGACTCTCAGTTACTGAATTCACATGATATCCTGATCCATGGCTGTTGGTGTTCCTATGATGTCAGTTGTTTTTTTAGATGTATTAACATTCCTGGTTAACCTACAGTCAGGGCATTATTTTCTCCAATTTTTTCACTCATTTAACAAATATTTATTGATCTATCAGGCATTGGGTTCTAGGCTTTGGGGATGAATTCATGAATTAAAAAAATGCATACCTGCATGAGGGAAATGGCAAAACGACTAATATAAATAAGCAAATGTATTAAATATTATGTTTAATGGTTATAAAGTACAAATTAAAAATAAGGTGGAAGGAGGGTAGAGGATGCTAGGGGATGACAGTGACACAGTTTTAATGTGGCACTCATGTGTGACCACACTGCAAGTGTGACATTTGATGGAAAACTTGACAGTGGGGTGGGGAGGGGGAAGAGGGATATCTGGGGAAGGATGTTCGTGTCAGAGATAGCAGCAGATGGGAAGCTTCAGCGAGGGGGAGGGGAGAAGGTCGATCTTGACTTGGAGGAAAAGCAAAGGTTTTAGTGTGGCTGGGGCGGAGTCAGCGAGAGATGTGATGAGAGACATAAGGGAGAAGCAGATGTCACAGTGCCTCATAGGTCATCACCAGGGCTTCTGCTTTTACTCTAAGATGAGATGCCACTGGAAGTTTTGAGCAGAGAAGTGATGACATAAGTTACATTTAACAGGATTCTCCGCTGCTATGTATGCTGAGATAGGCCTACAGGGGAGGCAAGCGTGGAAGCAGGGAGATAAAATAGGGCGGTGCTACTGCAGTCACCCCGCAGAGCTGGTGGTGTCCTGGCCCAGGGAGATAAAAATGGAAGTAGTAAGAAGTAGTTGGATTCTGGGATACATTTGGCAGGAAGAGTTTATTAATTTTTCATTGCTGTGTAATAAATCACTACAAATGTTGTGGCTCAAAACAACACAAATTTATTATCTCACAGTTTCCATTGGTCTGAGGTCTGATCATGGCTTAGCTGGGTTCTCTGCTTCAGGTTGTCATCAGGCTACAATCAAGATGTTGGCTGGGCTTCGTTCTTATCTGGAGAAAGGCTTGACTTAGGAAGAATCCACTCCCAAGCTCATTCATAGTGTTGGCAGAATGTATTTCCTTGTGGCAGTAAACTCAGGGAGGCTCGCTTCTTCAGGTTCACCGGGAGAACTTCTAGCTGCAGTCTGCTGAGAGAGCCTTCTATACAATGAAGTGTAATTGTGGGGGTGGCACCCACCACCTCTGTTTTATTCTGCTGGTTGGAAGTGTTATAGGTGGTGCTGGCACTCGAGGGAAAGCTGGAATTATTGGGGTCACCCTAAGGTCTGTCCACCACAAAGAACCTACAGGATTTTTTTTGCCAGCCACTGCCTCAAAAGCGAAAGGTTTCAAACAGTGGCGAGGGAATGGGTCTTCCTTGAATGCATTAGATGTGGATAATAGAGACCTTTTTGTCTACAACCTCTGACAAACATATATTTTGGTATCCATTGATTATGTGTAGAAATCTATTGAAATTATTAACGTGGAAGGCCTTTTTTGGGGGCAAAACAAACCACCATTTGTTCACCTAATCATACCTCGAGTTTGAGGATATATTTCAATACAGTTTACTTTGGATAAAATCTTTTCGGTTCTTAAGGAACACAGAGAAATAATCATGAAATTCCAAGTGGTTAAAGTAGAAACAAGGACTCCGTTTGTGCAAATTGAGTACATGATAATGTAATTAGCATTACAGATAATGTAAATATGCAAGCACATACACCGCGTCATTAGCTGTGTGTACTGAAGCTATGCCACTTGATTCATAGTCCCCTTTACACATAAACAAAAGCTTGAATGTTCACTTTAAAAAAGATATATTTTCTCCAATTTCCACTCAAGTGTTAAATGTCTTCACTGCCCAGCAAAGTTAGAATTTTGCCCAGTGCGTCAAATCGTTAAGTTTCTTTCTTATTTGGAGACTATTGAATTAGCATTAATCATGTTTTCAAACAATGTGAAAATAATCCTATCAGCTCTCTGACGCAAAGTAGAATATAGTATTCATCTAACAAGTAAGAAAACACAAGCAAAGAGCTCAACAACTGTCTCTGAACTCAGAGGACCAAAAGCTGCTCTTTTGGGCAGCAAGGCTGGCTGTCTCCTGCTGGACCACACAATTGACATCCCGATGGGGTGTGTCAGGTACGGAAGCAGGAGCTAGAAGCAGGGTAATGAAATGGCTGCATTGCTTTTCAGGTGGGCCTGGAGGTCAAGTTAGTTTATTTGTTTTTAATTTAGCTGAAATTATAGGCTGGTTGAAAGATCCTTTTGTCGGTAGTGGTCCTTTGAATAGCCACACAAAACTTTTGGTCTCCCTCTCACTTTCCTCCAACCCCTTCTCCCATTTGCAGGATTAGAAAAGCACTTGGGAGGCACATTAATCTTGCCGGCGTTGTCAGGAGTGATCAGCGACTTTTATTAAAAGCCTGGGGATCGCCTGAAAGGCCTCCTTGTCTGAGTTTGAAAGGAAAGGGCCATGTTAAGATCTCGGGGCACGTTGTCAGGACCCCTCGGCCTGCCCCTTGGACTATGAGCTGACACTCCAGGAGGGAGCACAGAAGCCCTCCTTTGTTGAAGGGATTTCTCCGGTGGACGGAAACGCATTGGCCCCTGTCAGCATGACCTTTCTGCGTTGGGGGGGCCCGGATGCCCTGCTGCTGCTGCTCCTCCTGGGCTGGGCCAGCCCCACCTTCATCAGCGTTAACCGTGGGGTGAGGGTGACGAAGGGCCGCTCCGCCTTCCTGTCAGGAGACGACCTGAAGTTTGCCGTTCCCAGAGAGAAAGATGCCTGCAAAGTGGAAGTGGTGATGAATGAGCCAATAACCCAGAGGGTTGGGAAACTCACCCCACAGGTAGGTCACATCGAGCTTTTCCGTTCAGGGCTGTGTATGAGTGTGAGTGTGTGATAGCATGCAGGGGACAGAGAGAGAGAGAGAGAGAGAGAAAAAGAGATGTAAAAGGTCTCCTCTAAGGCTGGGCGTGGTGGCTCATGCCTATAATCCTAGCACTGGAAGGCGGAGGTGGGTGGATCGCTCAAGGTCAGGAGTTCGAGACCAGCCTGAGCAAGAGTGAGACCCCCGTCTCTACTAAAAATAGAAAGAAATTATCTGGACAACTAAAAAAAAAAAAAATATATATATATAGAAAAAATTAGCTGGGCATGGTGGCACATGCCTGTAGGTAGTCCCAGCTACCTGGGAGGCTGAGACAAGAGGATCACTTGAGCCCAGGAGTTTGAGGTTGCTGTGAGCTAGGCTGATGCCAGGACAACAGAGCCAGACTCTGTCTCAAAAAAAAAAAAAAACGGTCTCCTCTCACAAAGGTGAGAATAGTTAAGATGTTCACATTTGAAATGGTGGAGTTGAAAGTAGCGAGCATAATATTGCATTGTTTTTCTACGTGAGGTGAAACCTATTTTTGAATGTTCTTGGCTGTTTTCAGATTACAAACTTGTCACAGACAGGATTTAATCCTAATTATGCTAACACCTGTAGAGGAAGTCAGGTTCAAATGAATATGGATGCAGATGCATGTATTTTTTCTTAATTCACTGTTTCAACAAGTCTTTCCAATTTCTCCTCTTTTATTGAAGAAAAATCTGTGTATCTTCCAGCTGCTTGGCCTTATAGAGTAGCTAATCATCCAGGAAAAAGCATAATGTAAGAGAATTACACATCTCTCATTTTTAGGTACATTGTCATTCTGAGAGAGAGAGAGAGAGAGAGAGAGAGAGAGAGAGAGAGAGAGAAACACAACAGAAGCAGCCCTCCAAGGTCTGAAGTGAGAAATCACTTGTGTGGGGTGATATGACCAGTCTTTATGGGATTATTCCTGCACCAAATCATCTCACCCATGCCAGGCTGCCTTTGGATAAGAGCTCAAGGTTTCAAGACATTTTTGTGACACACTTGTGACCTTAGAATAGCCATGGAAAAACCTGAAATAGATGAAAACATTTCATCTATTAACATTACTTGAACATTCTCTTGAGTAAGGGAAGAAAAGTAGAAAAGAGATGCAAAGATACTTCACTTTCTGCATAATTTTTTTCCTTTAATCAAAATCTTGGAGATTAAGGATATTCTATGGTAAATCCTTTTGCAGAGTGAAGAGTTACCTTTTAATTCACTAGGTTTAAAAAGTCTATATTTTCATTAGTTGTTTTTGCTTTAAGTAAGAGTTAATCCCTGTACATAATAGAAAGTTGCTTCTGGTTTTATTACTTGTTCCTAGTGTGGTTTAACTTTGCTCCCGGTGCAAACCATCTTGAGACTATTCAACACGAATGCTGCTGCTTCTGGAAATATGGACCATTCCTATTTGCTAAACTATGAAAATTATCATTTGGCTGAAGAAGCATAGTCCATGAGATTGTTCAAAAGTGGTACTAGATATAGAGAGGGAATAAAGAGACTTAGAGAGATGCTAGCTCAAATTGATAAGTCTAGACATTCCATTTACCACAGTTCAAGTTACAGACCAATTCTGAGATATGTCAGAATTCTATGGTGGGGGGTCTCGTGTTGCGGGTGTTCCTGATGCAATAGTAACCAAATGTCTCCCTCCAGTTTCCTGTGACATTTTCTTTTGTCAGAGAGCTTCAGATGGGCATCTAGAAAATGTTAGAGTACAGTAATGGCCCCCAAATGTGGTATTCCCAAGTGTGTGGTAGTTGCAACTTCTCATTTTTTTCTGGACATTATTTGTACTCTGAATACATTTTGATCGGCACTTATCAGTGAGTGGGAAAAGGAGGGACCTGGGATTGCTCATACCGGAGCCCCAGTGCACGAAAAATGGGTGGGTGATGTGAGTGAGCGCAGCAGCAGGTGATGGAGACCCAACTACAGGGACTGAGGTTGAAGCCAAATGCTCGCCCTCAGAGTGCTGAGGGGCAGCAGGATAGGAGCCCTGGTCCTAGAGGACTGGGGTCCTTGATCAAGTAGGGACCCAGGGCTGTACTGCTATACATGGGAGCCTTATAAAGACTGATGAATTGATAATTTGGTACCCCTTCCAGTAAATATATTGTAAAGAAATCGTTCAACGTTTATTGTTCAGGCTGAGTATTTTGGGGGGAAGAAGAGAAGCAGGATTCTCACTGGTAGCCTGCAAGGGCAAGCCAAGCGTCTAAGCCGTCTTCCAGTTTGGACCTCGAGCATCCATACCCCACCGAGCAAAACAAAAGCCCTGCCAGTCACCAGATTCTTTTAAAAATGTTATAGCACAATAATGACCTAAACAAAAATGTTTAGGAGGCAATTTGAGGAGGGTCTATTGTTACCTAAGTCAGCCTCTGGGGGCTACCCTCTCTCCACCCCAAGTAGCCTCTGACTCCTTAACATATGCGGTTCTCTCCTATCTAAGAGTAATGAAATCATCTCCATTATTTATTTTTAGTGTTGCTTTAATAGTCCTGATTGTTTGGCCTGCTCTGAGGCACTGGGGAACAAAAAGGGATCCAAGTGACTTGAACTAGGTAAAGAACATATTTGGTCACAAGGATCAGGGTGAATTCAAGTCATCTCCACCTCAAACTCTCTGATTTTAATGCAAAAATCTGGTTATTGGAAAGACAACATGAAGCAGAAAAAACAACGTGCCCAGCTGATTTAGGAGACTCTTGACTGCTGAGGAAGCCCCCACCCCCCATACACTGCTTCCCTAGTCTGCTGCTGCTCATTAAAAAATAAGTAGAACCCTGTCCTGAATGTTCAGTGTATGTATTTCCAGAGGCAAACGTGACATCTCAAATTGATCTATATCGTCTAAAGTAGATATGTGGTTTATATCTTCTACATTTTTTTTCTGTAGTAAAGGAATCCATTAAAATGTGCATTTTCACCACTTTTTTTTGCCAGATATTAGAACTTTGTGGCATAGAGAAATCTATAAAGTGGGAAAACTTTGTTTCTCAAACTGCCGGGTTATCATTCCTATTTTTTTATTCTGATAATTTCAACAAAAATGAGATTCCCGAGTAAGTTTTGTTTGTTTGTTTGTTTGAATTTGTGCTTGCTTTTTATCCCTGGCTGGTTCAGCTCTCCCCCAGGGATTTATGTGTTATGGAGTTTTAGAAATTAAGCATAGTCAAGCACGTGTGCACGTGCACACTCACGCAGAGCCTAAACATTATTGTTTAATAGGGCTTAATAGTAAGCTGAAAGCCAGAAATGTGAACCCATTTCTAGCGACATGACTGTGTTAACAGCACCCTGCTGTGTAATGAACAATTTCATGTGATTTGCACAGAAAACATTTTGTTTAACATCTGTTCAATTAATGTTTTCATTTCATTACCGAAGTTTGTCTTAGAACCAACAGGTTCATTTTTCTATTGGATATTTGGAAAGGGATTTCAATTGGTGCACACCAGTACCTTCTGTTTAGATAACCCTCTGGATATAGTCAATTAAATGAGGTCAATGGCAATTTGTTTTCCTTGTGTTTTAGGAGGAGACTCCCTCACATACAGCACTTAGCACACCTGGCCCAAAGCAAGGCAGTTCCTGAGTGGAAAAGCACCCCCGTTTAGCACTGAGCTTGCTTTCTTGACTAGGAAATACGGTGGTAACAAAGTATCACTAGTTTGAACCAGTTTACTGTCATTAAAGTGAGTAATGAGTTAGGAATGTGTGACAATTTAATTATAAATTGTAATTGAAAAGCAGTTGAAGTGGAAAAAAACAAAGCTAGACAGTAATTAGAAAAGGATTTAGCTCTCCTTTGTTTTAGTTAGTAAATTTATGGACAATTACGGTTGTCGCCTTTTATAAAAGGAAAACATATTATGAAACATAACACAGATGTTTCTTTTAACAAAGCAGATTGTCTCTTTATTACCAAGACTATTTGTCAATGATAGGGGGAAGGTCTTTGCTTTAGCTCCTTCCTAATTGTCAATTAAAAAGAGGAACCAATGATATCTGTGGGAAAAGAAAATCATTTGTATTAGTGATAAAGTAGATTGTGTTGTCTGAAAATGCTTGAGGCTGTGGAAAGGTACAGAAAACACAAATGAAGATGAATGAGTATCTCAAGGGGATTTCTTAGAACTCTCCCAAGTCAGACTGGGCAGAATGAAGGTCATGGCAGGGGTGGGAGAGAGGACTCTTCTTTTAAAAACCAAAGTTCCCAAAGTATGACAGCAATTTCCTTAACAAATCTGATGAGGTGAGACAGTTACTTATAATTTTATTTGAGTAGAGCAATTGCCTTTAGATTTTTATTTGTCTCATCAGCCATTTCTGCTATTATATAACTAATGTAAGAAGTCTTTTGCAAACGTTTAAGAAATAACTGTGGATCATGTTTGACTCTGATCAGCCACAATAGTGTCCACTGCCATTGACTTCATCTTTGAATATAAAAATGCTATGTGGACAAGAAAGAAAGAGAAGGAGAACATTTGAGTGCAGATGTCTTTTTTATAAAATGTCATTTTTTTCCTTTGGGTAACCCCTGTAATACTCTGAAATAAATAAAATAAAGTAAAATAAAATAAAGAAAAGGAGAACAAAGACATACAAAATGAATAGTGTGTTTGTGGGTGGGTTAATGCATGCCTTTTCATGCAGACACAGAAAAACCTCTCTAACTCCATTGCTTTGAACCCCTGAAGGAGGCAAATAAAATTTTGATAAATGCAACCATGCTTTAAATATACTATAATCATAAAAAGAATTTTTTAGAGAGGTAATCATCCCTTAATTTCTTTGCTTCATCTGCTTTGGTTTTCATAAGTTAGATATTCTCAAAACAAGACACAGCTGTATAAACAGAATGGTGAGTGGGTGTGAGGGTAGGGTGGAGGTGAGGTGGTTAAAATACACACACATACTCAAACACACACACACACATACTTAAACACACACACACACACACACTCAAACACACACACATCGCTATCCATGATTTCTCCAGGCAGTACTCTACTGTTGGAAAAATTAAATCTTGTGCCAATTTTCTCATAGATATTTATCCATTTCTTTATTGAACTAGGTCTTTGATTGCCATTTCCTTTCCGATGAAGTACAGTACGTTCACAACGGTTGCCCAATTCTTGATGAAGACACAGTGAAGCTTCGACTTTACAGGTGAGCAGCACAGGAGCGTGGCTTGTTCTCTACCAGGTAACCCTTCTGTGCACTTTTGAGGGCTTTTTCTGTGGGTATGTCTTATCGGGAGGTCAGTTAATAGACTTCAAACAAGAAAGTAGTCAATAGAAACTGGAGACCCAAGTGGGTGAGGCAAGAATTGTAGCCAACTTTCAATTATTTCCACTTGCATCATTTTCCTTGGGGCTTTTTTTGAGGGCAAATTATTAGCCCTATCCTGTTTCCCTTTAGTATTCTCATACAGGTATCTCTGGTGTTCCAACCTACCACTTGCGATGGGAAATGGTAGTTACAAACTACAAATTCTTAATGAGAATTAGGAGGAAAATATATCCCAAACTCAATGAAATTCTTCTTTTTGATTACCAGCTGCTAGTTATAAGTGCAATATCTTCCATTTTTAAACATATCAAATAATTTAAAATGTTTTAAAAAGCAATTATGAAGTCAAACATTGAATGACCAGATGAGCCAGCAATTCCACTCCTTAGGTGTGTACACAAGAGAAATAAAAACCTATATTAACAGAAGAACTTGTACATGAATGTTCATTGTAGCTTTATTCATAATAGGCAAAAAGTCACATCAGTACAACAGATGAATGGATAAATAAAATGTGGTATGACCATACAATGAAATATTATTCAGCCATAAAAAGGAATGAAGCACCGATAAGTGCTACGATATGGATGAACCTTGAAAATAATTATGCTAAGTGGAAAAAGCTAGACATCGAAGGTTACTATTGTATGGTTCTATTTATATGAAATACATAGAATTGGCAAATCCATAGAGACAGAAAGTAGGTTAGTGGTTGCCAGAGGCTGGAGATAGGGCAGTTGGGGGGTGACCACTAATGAGTATAGATAATGAAAATGTTCTGCAATTAGATAGCCATGTTAGTTGTACAACCTTCTGAATATACTAAAAAACACTGACTTGTACACTTTAAAAAGATAAATTTTATGGTGTATGAATTTTATCCCAATAAAAGTTAATTTTAAATTTAAGCTCATGATTGTGGTATTGCTGACTTCATAGAGGCACCTGAGAACTCAATGTAGGTGGAGTAGGTCATTATATTATTCTTTACTTAGTTTCTATTGCTCTTAAGAATATTGGATTAAAATATGTTAGTGTGAATTTCCCTTAAGCACTAGCCTAATGCAAAAGATTTTTGTAGAAGACATGGGAACAGGGAATCATTCTATAAACACTAATGATCACCTAGTACAGGTCAGGCTCTATGCTGGGCATAAGAAACACAAAGATGAAGACACATGGACTCTTTTGGTGCTCATAGTCCAATGCAAAAGATGAGAGATAACGATGGCACAGAACAAGTGTCAAAAGAAAGGCAGGAGCAAAATGCTCTCCTCAGAAAATGAAGTGGCACCCAAGAATTTCTTAGGAAGCTATAAAATCAGCATGCAGAGCCATTTGGTCTTTCCAAGACTTGACAGTTAAAAACAAGCGGACTTTAAAGAGCTTGCCTGGAAGGGCTGGAAAACCTATTGAATTCTGGGGACTCCCACTCCTTCCTTGAGTTTCTAGGAGGCAGGGAGGTTGGAAGAGCACTGTGTGAAGGGCAGGCTTAGAGGGGCCACCATTGCCTGGGTCTTGAGGACATTTAAGATAAAATATTCAGAGCAGTTGGAGGCGGAAGATCAGGGAGCATGTTTATTCCCCTCTTACATCTTCTCCAGCCCCTTTGGCAAACTACTTGACCTCTCTGTGCCTCAGTTTCCTCAACTGTAAAACGGAATTAACAATGCTTATCATAGGTTTTTATAAGGATCAATTGAGATACTGTTGTAAAGAGTTTAGCATGAGGCCTGGGCCATAATAAAAGTACATCAGTTAGAAGCTGCACTATTGGTGCATAGTCATCATTCATTGATTTTCTCCCCTCAAAAAGGATGACGATCAATCTCTTTCGGTCTTCGTAAACACCCGGAGATTGGAGTCACTAAGGGGATGGAGGGAATGGAAGTAACAATTGCTGAATACCCTTCGTATGATAAGCACTGAGCCGGGCACCCAGACTAGACTGTAAATGACCATCCACATAGTGGTGTTTCTGAAGAGCAAAAAGATGCTTCAGAATTCACACCTTTAGTCCTGAATTAAAATTCAATCCATAAATTACACGAGCTTGATACTCTTAAATTACATATGTGAGATCCTGAGGTCTCAGCAGTCATTAAATATCAGCATGGATGATGAGTTTGAGAATAGGTGTTGAAAGAAAGATGTTTGGAGGGGGAAGTGGCAGGAAAACACGGTGACACCAAGGCAAAGAGAAGGAGGGTAGAGAACCGAAAGTCTGGGAGTAGATCATGAAACAAAATCCAAACTCAACCTGAGGCATACGTTTTGGGAAGGCCAATCTCTAAGCTTCAAGCTCAGTCAGTACACAGGTATCAGAAGTATCTGAGCACCAATTCATATTGCCTTTGCTCTGTGTTCTCTGCAGATTTACTGAAACAGACACCTTCATGGAAACCTTTATCCTGCGGGTCTATCTCCTGGAGCCAGATTGTAACATCATCCGGATGAGTAACAATGTGCTGGAGGTGTCTGAATTCTATGGCCTGTCCCGGGCGATTGATAAGAACCTGCTCACGTTTGATTATGACAGGATGGCTAGCCTGGAATGCACGGTCAGGCTGGACCCTGTGAGAACTCGGCTGCCAGCCCATGGCCAGGTGGTTCTGGTGGAGTCTTGGCCAGAAGAACCTCGTGGAGATCAGCCGCATAATTTTTTCCCTGAGTCCCGTATGATATATTTTAATAATTATCTGGGTGTTACTAAAACTGACAAAAATATCCATACCTGATCATCTTCCACCATGACAAAGAGTTCTATTTAACTAATGTAAATTTTAGCTGGTTGAAAATTGTTTAGTGGTTAAGAGTATGAACTTTGGAATCAGAAAGACCTGGTTATGAAAACTGCCTCTGCTGTTTATTTCCTATGTAATTTTAGTTATTAACCTGTCTAAGCCTCTGTAAAATGGGAAAGGATAATAGCTGCTCTGTAGGTTTGTGTAAGGATGGGCATAAATGAGATTATACACACTAAGTGCTTAACACGGTGTCTGGTTCACAGTAGGTACTCATTAATTGTCACCTGTTATTAGTAATAGCAATGGCAGCAGTGGTTAAGAGTAGCTGGTATATTTATAAGGTATTATTGGGTTATGAGCAGGTTACAAGTAAAGCTGGTAGGTAGCAATAACAGTTCAAGTCAGGAAGAGTTAATAGATAATGTTCCTTCTGCTACTTACTCAATCAATATATTTTGGACGTAATAGTGTAAGCATATGCCTACCTCCTGTAGGCATAATAGTCTTCTAGGAACTATGGGAAACTGGGAAATACAAGGCACAATTATAGTCATAGCAGTACTACTTTGAATTTGGACAGAAGTTTACAGTTCAAGACATGCATGTTCATAAATCATCTAATTTCATCTTCACGACAATCTGGTTAAGATGTGGAGTATCTATTTTGTACATCAGGGAAATGAGACTCAAAAAATATGTGGCTTACGAGTGCCATATACATACAAGAGTGAAAAATACAATTAGACAGAGACATGAAGACTACTGGAGAGACAATTACGATTTTCAGAGTGAGAGTGGGTTGGTTCAGGTGGTCAAAGACTATGTAACGGAAGGTTTAGTAAAAAGATTATGACATAGAAGGATATGTAGGATTTGAGTGTATGGTAAGCACAATAGGGAGAGAATTTCAGTGCGTACAACAGTCCAGTAGAGATTGGACAATGGAGACATGGCAGCTGGTGCTGCAAAGAAAAGATGGGAGCTGGTCTGTAGAAAGCTCTAGTGAACCACTGGCCTGTTGGCCAGAGATGTTCAAACATCAGAAAACACATTTTATTATTTTTTATCTCAGTGTAACTTGTGGTGGGCAAGAGCCTGATGAAACAACTAGTCAACTGCTTTCCACTAAAGGAAATTACAGACTTTCAGAATAATGAGCACCCGCTCAGTGAATGAGTAGGGACACATGAGTATTCTTGGGGACTTGAGCAGGAATAAGTATCCATGGGAGGCAGTATTGCTTTTTAAATTTGACAACTGTTATGTTCAACTGACTATCTTAATACAATGCTGTACATTTTAGACGTGGGAACAGAACTGAAGTGTCCAGGTGGAAGCTGTCCCCTGGGACTGAAGAAAATAGGAAGTCTGAAAGTAAGCTGTGAGGAGTTCCTGCTGATGAGGCTTCGCTATCAACACATGGCTCCCCCTTCGCCCAACATCGATTATATCTCCATCCGACTGGACCTCACAGATAGCAGGAGTAAAATCGTGTACAAGGTAGAGTTTGGGGTTCCGTGTCAGCGTCCCCAGCTGATTCACAGTAACAGAGCCAATTCCATGGGGTGCTTGTGCTATTGTGGGTGAAACTGCCAGTGAGTCGTTGGAACTGCAGGCTTGTTTGTTCTTCCAGTAAGTGCTTAAAACAGTAGCTTTCGTATATAATATTAGTGTGTAATTTCCCTCGTCTGGTTCCTTCTAGCTCTACCATCACTGAGGCAACTTGGGGAGCACTGGGGCTAGTTACGTGCTAACCTTCTTCCTTCTTCACCTCCAACGCTCTTCAGCTTGTCGTCTGATCTCTCGTAACACCTTCTCCTTGATGCTTCCTTTTCTCCTTCTTGAAATCAGGGGGTCCATTCTGCAAGGCCACAGGAAACCAGGAGGGAGGAGAACCTCAGTCCCACTTTTATGATTGTCACAAATTTTTCACCCTTCCAGACTTTGGGATGGAGGGCCAGGTTGTCAAGGAGACAGATTTCCAAAGACCTCTTTCATCTTCCAGTCTCTTTATTCTCCTGCCTTTCCTTCTCTTGATCTCTTTATGTTAAAATAATGATGGAAAGTAGAATCAATTTATATGAAATATTTAATGTGCTATTCTGTTGATTCACATACTTTGTAATTTGTTTATTTGGGACACTGGGGCAACTACATACCTGCTGAAACAGCTCAAATTTTGTGCTGATAGAAGATGATCCAAGATGGCATTTGGAAAAGCCTCCATCTTTCACAATCTGGTTTCTCACAAGGATTTCTCTTAAGGGGCCCATTCAAACACTGAACATTATTACCTCAAGACATTGATAAGACAAGAGATAAGGAAATGATAAAACAGCATCAATGATAAAACAGCATCATAGAATTTTAGAATTGAGATCTGTACAAGTCTTTGAGGTAGACTGGTCAAATTGATCAGGTAAATAAATCACTTGGGAGTTTTTAAAGGATAAATTTCTGAGTCTAATGTTACTATTAAGAGCACAAATGCTGGGCCCAGATTGCCTGGGTTAAAATGTTTACTTAACTAGCTGTGTGACTTTGGACTTTATGTTTCATTTTCTTCATCTTAAAATGATAATAATAACACTTACTTCTTAGAGTAACTGGGAGGATTAAATGAGACAATACTTACCAAGCGCTTGGCACAAAACCTGGCACATAGTAAGCACTGTGCATATTTTGCTGGTTTAAAAAGCCATCCTGTAAAAAACTGATGATCAGCCATGTTTGGGTTCAGCCCACGCCTCTTATTGTATAGTCGTGGCCCAAAGAACCACTGTCTCTTGCCCACACGTAACATGGCTGTTTTATGGCTGGGCCAGGACCTAAACTCTAGGTCTGCTGACAACTAGTAGATGTTTTCTGTTTGTTTTGACACAAAATTCCTTTCACTTTTAATGATTTATTACATCCATTAAAAAAATTAATGCTGTATTTCTTTCTTACTTTTCTTACTTTTTCTCACTATTATTGAGTTAGGGCTTTATTTGTTTATATTTCAAAATCTGTTTTATTGGGAGTTTACCCCTTTAACTGACCTTCTTGCTTTATTTAGCATTAACTTAGTCCATACTTAATTTGGCATGTCATAAAATAGATTTGTTTCTGAATATAGAAGTAATATGCTCACTGCAGAGAATATTAAACAACATAGAAAGCAAAGTAAGAAGAAAATAAAACTACGTGTATTTCCACCATTTTTAGACACATACACACACACACACACACACACACGCACACACACACACATGGTGGGAGACAGGCACGCCAGAGTTGGTTTTGTTTTATGGAATTGAATTTATACCGTATGTGAAGTTTTGTATCTTGTTCTTTTGTTTTTTTTTTATGGTTGTACAGCCCATTCTCACCAAGTGACTAAATGATCATTCACCCATAATTTCTTCTAGATTTTTTAAAGGTATTCTTCTTTATAGTTGCCTTTTTAATCCACCTGAAATAAATTTTATTATATGGTGAAATACAAGCAACAGTTTTTTCCAAATAGCCCACATTTTCAACGCTATTTGTTGAACAATTAACTTATTTCCCATTGATTTGAGATGATTCTTCTATTGTACAGAAAGATGTAATGTATACTATTTCAAGGCTAGCTCTTTTGTCCCTACTTATTGTTGTGCCAGCCAGTGCCACGTGATTCTAAATATAATAGGTCTATAATACAATTTAATGTCTTACAGGCAAGTTCTTCCTCATCACTCTCATTCAAAATTTTCATCGTCATTCTCACCTAGTCTTAGTTCCAGATAAATACTTAAGTCATTTATGTCAGTTTCAGAAAAAAAAAGCCCCTTACGGATTTTTATCAGTATTGGATTAAACTATAAATTATTTGGGGAAGGATTGGAATAATAGAACATGAACCATATTGAGCCTTCTCTTCCAGAAATGCGGTACCTCACTTTCTCTGGGCAAATGTTCTTTTATATGTGTCTGTGAAGTTTATGGTTTCCTTCATGTACATCGAACACACTTATTAATTAAGTCCAGTCCTAGGCAGTTTGTTTCTGTGAAACTATTATGAATAGAATCTTTCCCCCATTATATCTTCTCATTGGTTATTGATGATAAATAGGCAAGCTATTTTTTGATATAATTTTCTCTTATCTGGCTTCTTTCCTGAATTCAATTATTTTAAGAAATTTTCAATTCTTTGGGCTTTTAAAGACCATAATTATATCTTTCACTAATGATGATAATTTTGTCCCTTTTTCCCCCCTGTAATTATTCCTCTTATTTCTGCTCTATTTCCCACTGGTTTGGCCAGAACAATATTAAATATAATATTGTTTATAAGAATCCTTGTCTTATATATTTTATCAATATCAGCTGCCCACGTTGTCCATTCTAATGTTTTTGCCATGAATTCATCTTCTGAAATTAATGTGGTCCCTCTGCTCTTTCCCTTACATGATAAGTTTGGATCATCCTTTTACTTTTAATCTTTCTATATAATTTGATTTTAAGTGCCTTTCTTGTAAGGTACGTATAATTAGACATTTTCATTGAATTTTAGAATATTTGTCTTGAATAAGAAAATGTAAACTATTCATGTTTGAGGTAAAAATGAATACACACTTTTTTATCATCTTATTTTATGCTTTCTTGTTAATGAAAACATTATCTTGCATGATAGGTATTTTTTTCTTTGCTTTTATCGTTATTTATTTGGAAATCCTTTATCCCACTTTATGTTTTATTTTGATTTAATTCTGAATTTAAAAATATTCTTCAATCTATATTTACAATATTCAATGTAAACAAATGAAATGGGGTCTCTTGGCTCTTTCCTGTCTGGGGAGAATGGATCCAATTGATCGTTTCTCCTGGCAATTGCTTTGTTTATATAATTTGCAATTTCAGTTCTAGCATACCATTGTTATACCTTATTATTTCTATCATCTGTCATTTATTTCAAGTAAGCTCTTTTGACATGTGTATCCATTTTATTACCATGTTTAAAATAACATATTTATTTAGACTTAACTCTAGACTTAATTGGTCTCAGTGTTTACTAGTCCTTTTAAATCTTGAGTTTTCTAATTATGTATCTTCCAATAACTTTTTCCCCAATGGCACATGAAGAGTAGATATCCAAATCCTGGAGTGTGTCAATCTATCATTCATTTGTCTTTGTCAACTATGCACTGGGAAGAGAAGGGGAGGGATTGACTGTCTTCTTTTCTATTTCTTTCTTGCACTTCTCTCTTCTGAGCTTTCTAGCTAGTTTCTGAACTTTAAGGCTAGTGGCAGGGGGAGTTTTGGGGGAATGCTGGAAACAGATCCTATTTGATCAGGCACTGATGAAATAAGATTTCATGCTCCCTGAGCCTGGGAGGTGTTTCAAGCTCTTCTTTGTCTCAGGAGTTTCTCTGGAGAGCCCCATTGCAGAGGTCTCGCACTCGTAGCTCTCCCGTCCTGGGAGGATGTGTTTCTAGCCTGAGTGGTCACTTAAAATTTCTCCTGCAGCCCCTAGGATATGATTTCCATCTCCAGCTTTTTGCTGCTGGATTTTTCGCCTTGAAAGGATGCTTTCTAAAGGTCAGGGTCCAGGAAGACCCCAGACCAGCACCCTGTCCGACTTGGCCCATATCTGGGAGCACCCAAACCCACATGTCCCTTGCTGCCACAAACAGGGATAGACTGATTGCAGCACCGCTGTCATTATTCTTCTGCTTCTGGCCACTTAGCTTCCTCCAGCAGGAGCTCCACATCAGCCCTCTGCGCACTCCACCTGCAAGAAACACATTTTAAGGCTGATCTCAAGGAAACTTCTCTCTTGACACCTGAGACAAGGGAAGTAGCATTTCCCCAATCTCCCTGCTTCATGGGAGTGTGTGATGTTGAGGGTCGGGGAAGTGACTCAGCACAGCATGCCTCTTTCCAAATAAATCGCTTTCTCTTACCTCTATCGATCTTTTTATATTCTTAAGTGAGTGAGAGGATTCTACCTGGGACTATAGGTGTGCACCACCACACCTGGCTAATTTTTGTGCTTTCTTTAGAGAAACTGGTCTGGAACCAGTTCCAGGCAATTTGCTTTGCAAATTCAGTATATTATAGTATCTGTCTTATGTTCACTTTGAAATCTGATATCCCTTTTATTGGACTTCAGTTAAGACTGAGCCAAGAAGAATTCCCTTTTTAGCATTCTGTTACATATAGATTACAACTCCTAGTCCAATATCCAGTGTTAGGTAGTATTAGACTAATATGATTTTGATAATTGAGCCTGGTTCTCTCAACAAGAGGATATATGGAATCCTGTGCTAGCCAGCATTGACTGCTGTAAGGATTCTCCCTTCCCACAGCACTTGTTGATACCTCAGATCTCATGATGCAGTTTCATGGTTTCTTTGGGGGGGTCTCTTATTCATGGCTCTCACTTTGGGAGGTTGCGTTCCTAGCCTGAGTAGTCACTTGCAATCCCCAATACCTACCCCGCACTCGGAGACCCAGGGTCTTTAACTAACTAGACAACCGAGAAACCATCCTTTAGTTGCATGAGAACTGAATTATAAAGACATTTTTCCTTCGTCTTTTTCCTGCACACTTTAAAACCACATGAAAGGAGGTAAGCATAGTGGCTAGAGGAGGTTTTTGGTGTTTGCCAGAAACTGCTTTACTTAGGCTATTTCACTTGGTTCTCACTTAGTACTTGGGAGTCTCGTATTTCCATTTACAGATGAAAGGAAAATGAGACTTAGGAGAAACTTGTCTAAAGTCCCACAAATTAGGCTGGGCGCAGTGGCTCACGCCTGTAATCCTAACACTTTGGGAGGCTGAGGCAGAAGGATCACTTGAGGCCGAAGGATCACTTGAGGCCGGGAGTTCAAGACCTGCTTGAGCAACATAAAGAGACCCCATCTCTACAGAAAACACAAAAATTAGCCAGGTGTGGTGGTGCACGCCTATAGTCCCAGCTACTCTGGAGGCTGAGGCAGGAGGATTGCTTGAGCCTAGGAATTTGAGGTTGTAGTGAGCTACGATCACACCATTGTACTGTAGCTCGGGCAACAGAACTGGACTCTGTTTAAAAAAAATAAAAAAATAAAGACACACAAATGAAAAGTGCTGGAGATAGAATGATAAGCACAGTTCCTTCTGATGCCAAAATAGGTGCTTCCTTCTTAACCCTGGCTACATATTACAGTCACCAAGGAACTCTAAAAATACTGGTTTTCTGGTCCCCTTGTTGGCACAATTAAATGAGAACCTCTGGAGATGGATCCTGATTATGAGTATATGTTACAGTCTCCCCAGGTGACTGTCATGTGTGGCCAGGTTTCAGATCACTGCTGGATAAAGCCTCTAGGCTGTGGCTATATTAAACATCATGCTATTAACCCTGTATGATATAGCTTCATTCCTGTTATCATTATCTCCTCCCTTATGTTTTCTTTCTCCTTCAAAAGTCAGAGAGTGCGTGGTTGCCCGTCTATATCAGAGCCGGCATTCCGAATCAGATTCCGAGGGCTGCATTCATGGCCATGTTTACCCTGGAAGTGGATCAATTCATCCTGACCTCTTTGACTACATCAGTTCTGGACTGCGAAGAAGATGAGACCCCCAAGCCCTTGCTGGTGTTCAACATCACTAAAGCCCCACTCCAGGGCTATGTGACTCACCTGTTGGATCACACCAGACCAATCTCCTCATTCACCTGGAAAGATCTCAGTGACATGCAGATTGCCTATCAGCCACCAAACAGCAGCCACTCTGAGAGGAGACATTACGAGGTGAGACAAAGCGTCCGGCCTCGTTGGTATTCACAGAGTTATTTAAGAGGCCCCTTTCGTTAATCCTCAGGTTCATTTGCACAATCCTGGCCTCAGAAGAGAACCAATCTCTGTAAATCAGAATGCAAACTACATGCCTAGAGGAGCCAGGTAGGTGACTCCAAACTGAAGAAAGAGCTGACACCTCAGGAAGCAGCTGCCTCCCAGCTTGGCCTGGTTGCTGTCCTGTGAGAATACAGATGTGCTCAGTGTTGCTATAGCTCTCATTTGTCAAGAGAATTTGCAAAACTATGTATTTTTTTGTAAAAATTTTTCAATTTTTAAATATAGAAAACATAATTACAAATTTTAAAACATGTAGTACCAGCTACAAAATATTTCTGAGGGCCACATTCAGCCCAGGGCTCATGGGTTTGAGAACTCTGATAGCCCTCGGTAGCCTTTCTGCATCATACAGACCATTGACGTTAGAGATGAGTATTTTTATGGTTCTTTTATTAATAAATTCTTTTATTCCTTTTTGTGAGAGCTTTTTATGGGGTAGGTCCTTAATTTTAATTGTTAACACTGACTCAGGGTAGGAGATTCCATAGTCTTATTTGATAACTAATTTCACTATCGAACACTTTCCATCAGGAAAGTCCTCCCGCTGTCTAATCTAGATCCCTTTTGCTGCAGGTTGAGCCTCTTTCTACTGGGTTTGTACTCAATGGGAGTGGAGAACAGCTGGTTACAGTCTTACACATAATAACGCTTCATATGCTTAAAGACCTACCAGCATTGATTCAAATAGGCTGGGAATTTTAAGTGAGCAGATTGATACAGACTTGAGTTCAGCTTTATTAAGGAAAATGAGCGTCCCTGGGGTTACCAAATTGTTCTCCATGTAATTTAGGCATCTTCCACATTTACCCTCAAGGGCAGACTTTAGACTATAAATGCTGTGCTTTGCCCTTTGCTTTTGTTCTTTTCCCTTCATCATAGTATGTGGCAGCTGTTTTTTCTTTCCTGCCCTTGCCTCTCAGGCCTTCCCTGTTATGAAGTAATTTCTCGTTACACGTCTGGTTTTACCTCGAGCTCACAAATAGAGCACCGCTTTTCTGGCTACTTCCTGTGTGTATTTTCTGCCATTATATAATGTAATCTTAAAGCAGAACCTGTGCAAATGTGTGATTTTTTTGTTAGAAGGTAACTCTCAATTTTCTCAGTGGAGACAATGTGCTTTTCAGACCGTGCGGGCTGCAAGCCCTGGGCCGAGGGCCCAGCCTAATACGTATTTACATCACACCTCTAAAAAAGGCATCTCCTGCCCACGTAGCATTTCATTTTCAGTCTGTTGCTTTGACAGCCTTGAATTGATTTCTTTTGTTATTCGGTATTTGCTGATATATTGCTGCCTGATTATTTCTCTTATTATCCTCTCTGGTGGACCATACATTCTTCAAAAGTAGGCGGTGTGCCTCATGTTTCTGTGTCATACCTCATCCTTCTCTGTCAACATCTGGTGCAATACCTACATAGCACATAATAAAGTTCAAAACTTATCACATAGCCCCTACCTATTAGTTATGGATTTCGTGAGAGCAAATAAAATTTAGGTATTTAAAAACATGTCTAGTGGGAAAAATGCCTCTAGATCAGAGTTTCTTAATAGGAGCATCACTGACATTTTGGATGAGATAACTCTTTGTTGTGGGGGCGGACCTGTGCATGGTAGGATGCTGGTATCCCTGGCCTCTACCCACTAGATGCCAGTAGCACCTTCTCACACACCTACTTGTGAAACTAAAAATGTCTCCTGACATTCCCCAACGTCCCCTGGGGGGACAAGATCAACCACTGCTCTAGATCCTCCGCCTTTGAGAGAGATTCGAGTGGTTAATGTTGGACCGAGACAGTCTCCTGAGCAAATGCAGAGACACTTCTCCAGCAGATTTGCTAATTTCAGATTAATAAATTCTTTTATGGAGAAGAAAATGTGAAAATACCGATAAACTAAGGAACAAGATTTAGAGTCTGAAAAAGTGAAATCAGGTTGTCAAAGATGAGATCTGGGAGCAGCAGAAACCTGAATCCACTTTTGCCTCCATCTGTGGATATCCCCTAGAATTGATGCTACTTTATGCTGTAACTTGTCGGTGTGTGGTTCATACGCATGTGTTTGTTTACAGGTAGAGTTGGAGGTGTTCGACTTCTTCTTTGAAAGGAGTGCACCTATTGCCGTCCACATCTCCATCAGAACCGCAGATACCAACGCCCCCCGAGTATCCTGGAACACAGGTGAAATTCAGTATAAGGCACCAAGCCACATAGCCCCAAAGGGAATACAAGACAGTAGATGGGTCGGGAAAGAAAGGTAGTTTTACCCCCAATTCACCCATGAGGCAACTAAAACCCAGACAGATGAGGGCATCAGATAGTTGTTTTTGTTTTGTTTATTGCTAGTGGCAGGGTGAGAAATGTAAATCCAGGATTCCTGTGTCCTGATGCCAAGTCCTTTCCTCTGCAGAAAATAAGCCAAAGGACACCTTTGAACTAAATGAAGCAAAAAAAAGTGACTACTTGTGATGTTGAGCTAGAGTTGGACTGAGAGAAAAAAAGTCTCTAACTCAAATTGTTCAGAGGATTGGAGAAAGGTGCAGCCTTTGTAATCCATTGTCCTACTTTTGTGTTGGGTTGCATGGAAAGCAAAATACATAAGAGCTTTAACTGCTTTAGGGAAAAAGGCTTTGTACTGCCTCTCAATTCTGAGTGGGCTCATAATGTAATGTATGTATTTAGATCAGATGTAAATGTGGAATATAAATGAAGATTTTTCCTTTCTCATTGATCTCATCAATAGCATTTAAAACATACCTATAAGCACCCATGGTAGGTGTCTTAAGGGGAAAATATGAGTTATCTGTGTCTGATTTAAATCCTCAGGTGGCAGCCTGAACAAGTTTCCTCTTGGGGTGTGTGCGTGTGCGTGTGCATGTGTATATACACATGCACATATGTCTTTGTATGTATGAGAGTTTCAGTAAAGATGGGGAACGTAGGTTGAGTAGCCTTGATTTATAATTCTGGCTCTATGTCCCGCTTTACCTCTGTTAGAGGGATAATGAGAGAAAGGAAGGAATTGGTAACCTAAAGTTTCATAATAATTACATGTTGCATAGATTATTGCTTGAGTATAGAGATGGAGTATTCTGTACGTGTATATGTCATCTGTGACACACAGGCTTGCTAAGAGAGCTCCAAATCTGATTTTGGAAGTTTTGGACACCAGAATCCTTTTAAAAATAATTTCTCATTGTGAACTTAATGTGTGCCATCATCAAAAATTTGGAGAATATATTGTACAAAATTAAAATCATTCACTATTAATTATGAAGATATGACCAGTGTTAATATTTTGCGGTATATATTTCTAGTCTTCTTGGTTGCTTCTCTGCTGGGTCCCACAATGCCTTATAGCTGTACTGTGTGGTTGTGGCTTCAAAACTGCACTACCAGTCATGGAGATTCCTTGTATGTGTTTCTCCTCCCTCCTTCCCTTCCTTCCTTTCTTCGTCTCTCTTCCTTCCTTCCTTCCTTCTTTCTTTCTTTCCTCCCTTCCTTCCTCCCTCCCTCCCTCTTTCTTTCTTTCTCTCTCTCTTTCCTTCCTTCCTTCTCTCTTTCTCTCTTTCTTTTATTATATATTGTACGTATTAGCTCAGTTTCCCCAGAAACCAGACCCTAAGACAGATCATATATATTAACCTTATACTGAAAACAAGAGTAAGGGGAGAAGCAAATAAAAAGGCGGTATGGCTGAGCTGGTCACCGCCTTACAATAAGATAAAGCAGATTGCTCTGTAGTGCCTATGCCTCCAGGGAGAAGATGGAACCACTGTGTCTGGGAAGAGTTGGCAGTGGGGTGGGAAAAAGGTGAACAATCTCCGAATGGTCAGTTTGTTCCCATTTCCTGTTTCTTGGTTAAAGTTTGATTAAAGTTTACCTCACTGAATATTAACTCCCCACATGTCCAAGTTGCGATACCTGGTCTGTCTTAGCAGCCCGCAGTCACAAGGGAGGTCATGCTACCAGCGGGCAGTTGAGGTAAGCAGCTGCATCAAAAGATGAGACAATAGTCGCGGGAGGACTTTACAGTTTTGAAGCCCATGGGAACTTTGGGATGGGGCTGCTCCAGCTGGAAAGCAGGCAACTTGTCAAGGCCAGGGAGGCAGTAAAGCTGGCAGATTTGAGGGGAAGCCATAAACTAGATCCACCAGAACACTGCCTTTAAATTTTGTCAGCTTGTTTCTTTAAAAAGCTCTGCTCCTTTTCAAGATTCTCTGCAATCTGTTGGCTCCCAGCTCTATCGGGTAATGGGAATGTTTGATGACGCTACAGCTCCCTGTCTCTTACCTGAGTGGTTAGTTCAGGGCCTGTATCCTTCCTGCTCTGACCAACAAGCAAATCTCTCGCCACAGATTTCCTCCAGCATGCTGAGTCCAAGGAGAAGGTTTTATTTTAATTCCTTCAGTTACAAAAATCCCTTCCTGTTAGAATCTACACTAGAATACAGACATCATTGCAAAGCGTCGAGCACTTCATGTCTGTCACCATTAAACACCTCCACCACCCGCCCCACTTTACGTTCTCCACCCTGAGGGCTACCTGTGCACTCATAAATTGTAGGAAAAGCCCTTGGATTCTTTTTCCCTTTTAAAATGTCTAGATGTAGCATTTGAAAAATTCCTCGAGGACTTCTTTTAACCAGAGATCATTGTGAATGTAACGTCTATTCTTTCCTTCAGTACTTATTTTCTGGAACCATCATACTTCTAAAGGATATATCATAATGAACCAGTTGTAATATAATAGTACTAAAAATAAAAATTTTAATAGGAATAAAAGCTACTTTCCAGCTTCTTGAAAAGCTTTTGAAGGTATAACTTGCAGAAAGTTTCATGAGTAGAAAAATTCATTAATTTTTTCTTTAAGCAAGCATGTTGGCATGTGACAGAACTTTCCAGACACTTTTTTACTTTCTCTTGTAGGTCTGAATCTTCTAGAGGGGCAGTCTCGGGCCATCACTTGGGAACAGTTTCAGATTGTAGACAATGATGACATTGGTGCTGTCCGGTTAGTCACCGCTGATGGCCTAAAGCATGGACGGCTTACATTAAGAGGTGAATGATCCACCTTTGTAACCTAGAAAAGAACCCAGGAAGCATTTTCTTCAAAAGCAAATCATATTTAATAGGATATATGTAGCAGCTCTTGTGCCCCATTTCTAAATAACAGTGTCATGTCCAGAAAATCTGAATATCTTGAAACCATCAGCTTTTGTGTTAGAATGCTCAAATCCACGTATAACCATTTATGAACAGTACCATGTGCTTGGCTCATTATTGAAATCTCAGTTTTGTTTTCTGGATCCTATGCAGGGCTCCCACTAAATATACTCCTTAACTGATTATTTTTTCCCAGTTGGAGGACACTATTTCCCTGCTTTAGAGAAATACATTGAAAAACAGAAAAACTTTTGTTTTTAATACTTTAGTAATAATGTTATTAGTAGTAGTTGTCATGGTTTAAAAGAAATGAATTTATAATTTAAAGTGTGATAGTTAACAAAGTACTAACCTAATAAAAATAATTTGTATGCTTTATAATAAAATAATCCATTCCTTTTAATTAACTCAAAGGCTTTAATTCAATTATCCTCTTAGTTTGCCTAACTTTAAAACTGAAACCTCTTATCATCATTTGTGATTAGGGGATTCTAAAATAAAAATTAAAATGCTAAATTCATGATAAATTCTCCTACCTAATCCCAGGATACTGGGATGCTGGTTTAAACCCAGGTGTATGAGTTAGGATGGGTGGTGTTCAGTTGCATGTAGGAGAAACCCAAGTACAGTGATTTAAAAATTGGAGTTATTTTCTTCATGTCTTGAAGGCTGGAAGAAATAGAAAGAACAGTAAAAGAAGCCATGCCATCTAAGTTTGCTCTATTTAACAAGTTTTCCCAGGAGCACAATACAATTTCCACTTATTATCTTCTTACCAAACTATGTTACCTCCAACCCCTTGGTGCATGGAGTCTGGGAACCTGAGTATTTTTAAATGGTCATATTGCCATGCCAACTTAAACTAGGATTCTGGTAGTGAGGAAGAAGTATAAAGTGGCGACTGGGCAGGTAAATGCTTAATCATTTATTCTCTAAGGTCTTTAAATACAGCCATATGTTGTGAGGAGAGTAATGAGATACACCTTTTATCAAGAATTGTAATAGTCTTCAGGAAATGAAGCGATGTCTATTAATACTGTAGAAATGAAGCAGGGAGTGGTAGACCATAGTGCAATGGTATTCCAGGCTCAGAGGAGGTAGAAAGTAGTACTAACATTTATTAAACATTTACTTTGTGCCAGACACTGTGCTAAGCATTCTGCATACTTTATCTCATTTGTCTGATATCAACTTTATGAAGTTAGATACTATATTTATTACCATTTTACAAAAGCATAACTTGAAACTTACACAAGTTGACTTATCTAAGGTTATACACCCAGAAAGTGGCAGAACTGGGGTTTGAACCCAGTCTATTTGATATTAGAACTCTAGTTCTTGGTCTTTAAGCCAGTAATTCTCAAACTTTAGCATGCATGAAATGCTCCTGGAGGGCTTGATAAAACACAAATTGTTGGGTTCCACCTCCAGAATTTCTGAGGTCTAGGGTGGGACCTGAGAACTTGCATTTCTACCAACTTCCCAGATGATGCAGCTGGTTTGAGATCAATCCTCTAAGAGCTGCTGCCATATAAGAAGATAATGAGTTGAAGAATAACGAATATTTATTGTAGGCTTACTAGTGTTTAAGTTCTCTCATTCTTGCTATAGATTATGAGGTAGGTATTTGTATTACTCAGGGTTCTCCAGAGAAACAAACTAATAGAATGTATAGAGATAGACGTAAGAGGAGATTTATTATGGGAATTGGCTTATATAATTACTGAGAAGTTCATAATATGGAATATAATATGGCTGAGAAGTTCCATAATATGCTGTTGGAGAACGAGGAGTAATCAGTCCTAGTCTGGAGGTCTGAGAACCAGGGGAGTTGATGGTGTGACTCCTAGTCCAAGGTTAAGGCTTGAGAAGCTGGAGGTGGGGAGGAGTTGGGAGGTGGGCCAGGGTTAGGGGATTGAGGGTCAGATTGAGTGTGAGAGGGTGTCTGGTTTAAGTCCCAAAGTCTGAAGTCCCAAGAGCCAGGAGCTCTAATGTTCAAGGAAGTCCCAGCTCCAGAGGAGAGAGAGAATTGGCCTTTCCTTTGCTTTTTTGTTCTATTCGGACCCTCAACAGATTAGATGATACCTGCCCACACTGGTGAGGGCAATCTTTACCCAGTCTACTAATTCAAGTGCTAATCTCTTCCAGAAACACCCTCTTCACAGAACCTCCCAGAAATAATGGTTTATCAGTTACTTGGGCATTTCTTAGCCTAGACAAGTTGACAGATAAAGTTAGCCATCACAGTATTAGTCTCCCTGTTTTATAGATGAGTATCACAGATTAAATGCCTTGCCCAAGTTCACATAGCTAATAAGTGTTAGAGCCAATATTCAAAACTAGATCTGTGGTATACCAGAACCCACTAAATTGACTTGTTTTTCTAGGTGAGGGAAGTATGGGCTGTTGCATTGTCCTTCGCATCTTCTCCTGACTGATATTTTGTCTCCATAGACCAGAGCTTCTGCCTCTATGCTCCCTTGTTCAACCTGTTCCATCTCTACCCTTTGCATCAGGGGGGAAAGGATTTCTCTTCACCGTGGCTGACCTTCAGGCGGGAGTTGTTCGCTATCATCACGACGACAGTGACTCCACTAAAGACTTTGTGGTCTTCAGGATATTTGATGGCCATCACAGCATCCATCACAAATTTCCCATCAACATCTTGCCCAAAGATGATAGTCCCCCGTTCCTCATAACCAACGTTGTGATTGAACTGGAGGAGGGGCAGACCATCATGGTCCAGGGTTCCATGCTGAGAGCGTCCGACGTGGACTCCAGTGATGACTACGTCTTCTTTAATATCACAAAGCCCCCACAGGCTGGAGAGATCATGAAGAAGCCAGGGCCAGGACTGATAGGTGAGTTCTGTGCAGTCAAGTTCATTTGAATGGAATTGATTCTTCCATACGGAACTTTCTGTGCACCCTTGGGGGTGTGCTGATATTGTGTCAGAATTTGACTAAGGTGAACATCAAGTTTCTGAAGTAAGATATTATTATTATTCCCATTGTATAGACAGAAAGCCTAAGACTTAGAGAAGTTAAGTTGATCTATCTGAGTTGATCTATCCAAGTTGATCTATTTATCTAGAAAGTTCCAGAACTGAGCCTCCAGGTAATCATTGCACTATAAAAAATTAAGTTTGCCAAGCAAGGTGATAGAACAAATAAATCTCAAGAGATGTGTGGCCTATTCTAGATTATTGGTAAAGTGATTTCATGAATAACATTTGTTTGCATTTTGTTGGAATTATTTTATAACTACTTCTTCAAGTAGGTAGGTCAGGAGTTTTACAAAAGAGGGACCAAGTAAATAGTGTTACTTTGTATATTTCAAGTAAGACTATGTTTCTTGAAAACATTTTTCTAATGTTAATTTTTCTATATATTAAGACAGGTGTAACAATTTTAGTTTTTTCTTTACTATTTATAAACTTTGATTAAAACATTTAATGCAGATTCCTTGGGTGCATATAACAGACTAGGCAGAGAAGAATTTTAAAGATGAGTCCAATATCATTGTACCCCAACACCTGGTAGACTCATACAAAAGTATATGATATTTTGTGGACCCAATAGGCTATCCTGTTCCTGGCTTCCTTCAGAGAGATCTGTTCAATGGCGTCATTTACTATCGTCACTTTGGTGGAGAAATCTTCGAGGATTCTTTTGAATTTGTCCTGTGGGACAGCCATGAACCTCCAAATCTCTCATTGCCACAGGTAAGAGACCATTTCCGAAGACTTTCTCAAAGTCTTGTGCGTAGATATTAATTCTGGGAGATGTAATTAGAAACCACACAAAAACAAATTTCAAGGTTCAAAATTTGAGTCGCAATGGATTAAGCAACATTAAGCAGATTTCTTTACAACAGGATTATTCAAATATTTACTCTTCTATGTAGTTTTGTAAATTTCTATGTATCCAGTGCTCCAAGGTTAATTAACTATGGGACCTTTTTGCAATAGAACATTTCACAAAATCTGCTTGCCTCGTGACACAAAAAACCCCCACTTATTTATATGTAATGATTAAAGTATAGGCTCTAGGGTTAGATTGCCTGAGTTTCCCTCTTGAACTTGACAGGACTAACTGGACAGTCTGAGCCCCAGTCTCCTTATCTGTGAAACAGGTAATAATAGAAACTTACTTCAGAGTTACTGTGAGGGTAAGTGAGATAATACATATAAAGTACTGAGAACTTTTTGATACATCGTAAACATTCAATAAATAAATTAGCTATTATTTATTGCTGTCTTTGAAGATCTGAGTTTTCCTACCACTAGGGGATATCATTTAAATGTAAAGGATGCAGAATAGGTTTAAGCAAACATTACTGTATAGAAATAACAGAAAGTAGAGTCAGTGTAGTGTTTGGACAATGTTAATAGGGTAGACTCCTTGCAAGGAGAGGGTGGTTGGTAGTAGGGGTAAGAAAAAAAACTATAATAGCCATGGCTCTTATAGTGAAGTAGTGTCAGGATCAAACAAGATAGCTAGTAGCTCAATGAGTACCTGGTACTTAGTAGGTGCTCAATAAATTAATTCCCTTGTCTCTATCCTTTTATTACTTTAACAAAAGTTTACAGCATGTTTACTATCCATTATAAAGCATTTCAATAATTGAAAACTAAATCCAGTTATCAAAATAAAGAAACACAATGACAGTCATTTCTCTAGTCTCCTGGAGTCTGTGTTAAGATTTTTTTTTCCAATTATAGTATTTTGCTAATCTACAAAGTTCAGAAATTCTCTGTGGGACTTTCCAGCTATAGTGTGGATCAGCGAGGCTCCACTTAATTGAAAAACTGGATTTAATAAGGAAACAATAGTTATTGTGCCTTCAAAGAGACCATTTTCCATGCTAATTTATTCTCCAATGTGTTCTTTGTGTAAAAAGAATGTACAAGCATGCTTTTTTATGTCCCTGTAGTAATTCTTGGTGGGCACATTTTTCAACATGCTTTATAAATGCATAAGTTGATGTGTCTTTACATATTTATGCATGTTCAAACAATTATTGTGTGTGTTTCTGTGGGTGAGAAAAATCCCATTTTAACAAACTCCATGGAGAAATAAAGCGTTCTCAATGTACTGAAATTTGATTGTAACAAAGACATTATTAAACATTCCATCCCAGGCAAACAGTGGAAAACTAGTGCTCAAACAAACCCTGGGCTCTTGTTCACTGGCTTCTCCTATGTTCCTCCAGTCTACTATGGCCACAGACTTGTAAGGAATCAGAATATAAAGTGATAAATCAGTATACAAATCACCATAAGCCTGAACTTGACCCTCAGATTCAGGCTCACAATATGATACTCCTTATCAAATGGGCACTTGGCCACACTCTTGGTGGTCTCCCCTGAACACGTTTTTTTTATATATATGTTTTATATGGCCAGGCTGAGAATTTTCCAAATCTTTAAGTTCTGCTTCCCTTTTGATTATAAATTCCATCTTTAATTCATTTCTCTCTTCTCATATTTACTATAAGAAGTCAAGAGAAACCATGCAACACCCTCAACACTTTGCTCAGATATTTGTTACACCAAATATCCTAGTTCTTCACTCTTAAGTTCTGCCTTACACAAAGTGCTAGAACACAGACACAACTCTGCCAAGTTCTTTGCCACTTTATAACAAGGATGGCCTTTCCTTCAGTTTCCAATAAGATATTCCTCATTTCCATCTGGGACCTCATCAGAATGGCTTTTACTGCCCATATTTCTACCAACGTTCTGACTACGACCAGTCATGTAATCTCTAAGGTGGAGGGCCTGTCTATAGCCCCCCTCTTGTAGGCTCTCACTAGAATTGCCCTTTACGGTCCGTTCATGGCAATGTAGGCTTTTTCTAGTCTGCTTCTCCAAATTCTTCCAGTCTCTACCCATTATCCAGTTCTAGAACTGCTTCCACATTTTCCGGTATTTATATATAAGCACTCCACTCTCAGTACTAATTTCTGTCTTAGGCCATTTATGCTGCTATGAAAAAATACCTGATACTGGATAATATATAAATAATAGAAATTTATTTCCTCAGTTCTGGAGGCTGAGAAGGCCAAGACCAAGGCGCCAATAGTTTCAGTGTCCGGTGAGGGCTGCTTTCTGCTTCCAAAGTGGTGCCTTGTTGCTGCATCCTCTTGAGTGACCAAATACTATGTCCTCACATGGCAAAAGAGATGAAAGAATGAACTCCCCTCCTCAAGCCCCTGTATAAAGCACTAAAATCACCACCTAAGGGCCCACCTCTTAATACTGTTACATTGGGGGTTCAGTTTCAGTATGAGTTTTGGAGGAGACATAACCCTTCAAACCATAGCAAGGGATAAGCAAAATTCAGGAACGATTAATTCTAAGAAATTGGGAAACATTTCAAGACGATACTTAAGGGTGAGAAAGACTCAGATTGCTGGAGAAAGCAGGAGAAAAGCATCCTAGATTGAAGAAACAACATGATCCAAAGCATAGACATATGCTCAAGGACTAGGAATGGTCTTTTGTGTGCAACTAGAGTGTTGGAGTAATGTTGAAAGGAAGTAGAAGATAAAATTGAAAAATAGAGTGTGTCTAAACTGTAGGAGGTCTCGGATGCCATGATAAGGAATTTGAATAATTCTATACTTCCTGAGTGGTCGTTGAAGATTTTTGAGGAGGTGAATTAACTGCTTTGACTTGTATTGTTTTTTTTGAGACAACACTAGGGATATGAAAAGTCTAGATTAGCTGCTGGAGTTAGGCCTCAGAAAACACTGTTGCAATAATATAAGGAAGAAATTGTGTGAGCTAGGCCAGGGACAGTGGAATGACACTTGGGGGTAAGGTGTGGGGTGTGGTCATTATACAGGATATTTTATAAGTAGAAACTCTGGGACTTGGTAATGTGTTATATGTGGGTGGAGAAGGAGGAACCAAAATTATGTCAAGGTTTCTAGGACTGATGACCAAATAGAGGGAAGTATCAAAGAAAGCACAGGTTGATGGTAGAAAGGAGATGTAAAAATAAAATCAGAAACATATTTTGTGTTTGTGTGTCCATTCTACAGCACTCATGATTGGATTAACTATAATTGTGATAATTATACTCTTAAAATATAACACCAAATGAGTAAAGAATATTCCATTTTTTGGCTCACATTCTTAATAGCTCCTGAATCATTTTGACAGAAATATATTGTAAATGATAGTTTTTGAAAATCATCTTAACTGTGACTAGGTGATTGTGGGGCATTCTCTTTAGTGTTTTCTTGGTATTCCAAATTAGTGGTACAGATATTTTTGTTCCAGGTGGTGACGATCCATATCACTCCAGTGAATGACCAGCTTCCAAAAGAGGCTCCTGGAGCTTCTCGGCATTTGGTTGTCAAGGAAACTGAGGTGGCCTACATAACTAAGAAACATCTACATTTTATAGATACAGAATCATATGACCGGGAGCTGGTCTACACAATAACGACGCCCCCATGTTTCCCCTTCAGCCACAGGTATCTCTGAAAAGTCATCATTTGGGCTATTAGTTCTAGGATTGGAGAGTTGGCAGTGTCATTATATAGCACTGTGGTTCAATTGCTTTGTTGGTCAAACATAAACTTACACTCAATTCGGCATTTACTTTTATCTCAAACTTATCTCATATCCTCCTTTAAAAGTTGTATTAATTAATTGGTAACCGACCTGCAGCTTGTAGTGTCTTCAGCATAGGTAGACTTAAAACAGTCTTTAATTTCCTTTTTCTAAACACAATGTTTATTTTTCTTTTTAATAAAATTTATTGAGACCTTCATACCATAAGTGATTATATTCTATGATCTCAATCCAGAAAAGTGGCATGAATATACCTTAGGCTAATGTCATATACATGATAGCAAGGAAACATTTTTAGAATAAGTATAACCGTTCCCTTTCATGATGTCAAAGCAAAAAGTTCCGTACATACTTTTTGCCATCGTGATGAGGATGGCATTGGTGATACTGGACTTAATGTTGGAACCCCCCCCGACATAAAGAGAGAATATAAAAATAGAACATCTGATTTCTAAAGATGGGGTCTGTTAGCTTTTGAGAATTTGGCTGTGGGCTATTTTATTTAATTTTTCTTACCAGGAAAGTTAACTGATATATTTCTCTTTAGACAGTTGGATGCTGGGAAATTATTCATGGTGGATAGCATACCAAAGCTGACCAAAACTTCTATAGCTCCGGGGCTGAGGTCATTTACTCAGGTATGATGATATGCTAAAATGTTGACAAACGTGATGTAAGTGTGTTCTGAGAAGATACGGCAATGCCTACTGTTGTATCTGGGAATGTCCCTTGACACGTGCCACAAACACGTGATGTCTTTATACTTCCTGCTTGCACATTTCCATTAAGCACATGGCATCTATTTGAAAGTGCTTTATCACATTGGATATAATTTTAAAATCTTTTCATAATTCGGCACAGCCTTTTGCATTGTTGTGCCATCAGCAGGACTCTGATTTGGGAACCTGGTGCGCATGTTTTTATTCCACCAAATTCAGTTCATTCCATATCCTGCTGTATTTGTTTTCTAGGGCTGCCATAACAATGTGCCACAAACTAGGTGGCTTAAGATAACAGAGATTTAGTGTCTCATAATTCTAGAGACTAGAATCTGAAATCAAGGTGTTGGCAGTGCCACGCTCCTTCTGAAACCCTATAGGGGAATCCTTCTTTGATTCTTTCTAGCTTCTGATGGTTTGCCAGCAATCTTTGGCATTCCTTGGCTTGTAGATATGTTACTCCAATCTCTGCCTCTGTCATCACATGGCTGTCTTCTCCGTGTGTGTCTCTCTCCTCCTGTTATAATTACACCAGTAACATTGGACTAAAGGGCAACCCTCTCCCAGTATGACCTTATCTTAACTAATTGCACCTTCAATATCCCTATTTCCAAATAAGATCACAATCTGAGATACTAGGGTTAGGACTTCAACATACCTTTTTTTTTGGGTGGACGGGAACACAATTCAACCCATAACCTTTGCTACCTTTCAAAATCCTTCACTAACCCTCCACCTACTTCTGCAGACTCTACCCTGAAGACCTCATTGTAGTCACAACATTGGTGATGAGTGCTTTAGGCAGCAGATATCTCTGTAGTTTGGAGCTAATCGTGCCTAATTTCACAATATTTATAGGTTGTAAATGAATGTGTCACCCCCATGTGATAAGTACTATTATTTTATTCATTTTTCAGATAAAGAAACAGAGGCTTAGCAAGTTTAAGTAGTGAGACCAATATCCCACAGGTACTTCTTGGTGGAGCTGGACTGAAATACAAGTCTGCTGTCTTTTATAGAGTTGGCTAGTTTCAAGTACTGGACATACTTACTTAACTTCTTTTGTCCTTTTCCCTCCTGATGTGTAGGAAAAGATACAGCTTTAGGGAATCTTCAAATTGATGATGGTGGCATTTACATTGTTCATTGTCAATTAACATAATGGTTCTCTTGGTCCTGGATTTCTGAAAGTTTCTGATCCTTGCACATCAACACCCACATGTCCATGTCTGTTTACTTTGCAGCATGCTGTGAACTATATGAAAGTGGCCTACATGCCACCCATGCAAGATATCGGCCCCCATCTCCGACATGTCCAGTTCACGTTTTCTGTCAGTAACCAACATGGCAGCACTTTGCACGGGATCTGCTTTAACATTACGGTTCTCCCAGTGGATAATCAGGTTCCTGAGGTATGTACAATGTCTGATGTGGACAGTGAAAGGGAACAAAAGAGAAGAAAGACTTGAAGACTTACTGGAAATGGTAACTTTTCTTTAGGCTATTTTTTAAAAATAGTTAAACAAATTTTTTTAGCTATAGTGTAGTAAAAAATACAAAAATAAAACAGGGGGAAAGGGGTCCTTCACCTCCCATGGAACTCTCTACCTAAAAGGTAAGATTTGCCAGTTGCTGAGTTTGACGTTATTTCAAAGCTTTATTAAAATCTCTTTCACTTCCTTTTCTTTCTGCTGAGTTTCACGTGTTAATCAGAGGAAGGGGATTGAATTACAGTCTCTTAGCAACCAGAAGGGATTATTTGCTCTCACCCGCAGGCCAAGGATGCTGCTCTGTAATCCAAAGAAGCTCTTTAATTTTCCAAAATGAATTAAGGTGGACCCTTCCATCTTGCCCTGTCCCACTGCCCAATGTTTATGTAAGCCTTAAAAGACTTGAATCTTTCATTAAAACTGAACTGTAAAGGCAATGCTACTTTGTGTCTCTTATCTGTGAGGCCAGGATGCATATTGAGAATTTGTTCTCTACACACCCTGTCCCCCTCCCTGCCTTCAGAAAGCTAGACTTAATTAGTGTGACTATTACTGATCTCATTTTTCTCTTTAAAAGTAGAAAGACAATATAACCTTACCCATTCATTAGGAGCCAGAGGGGACCAGAGCCCCTACACATGCCTCATTCCTTAGGAAAGAGGTCACCTTCCCAGGTACCACCCTGGAAAACAGCCAGCACTGGTGTTTTCTGTCTTGGTCACACCTCATCATCTCTACAGCTGCCCAAGGTTGTGGGGCAGAGATCTTACCCTGAGGTCTCAAAAGGCTTACCCAACTGGTAGAAGTGGTCTGGTGGGTCTAAACAATATTTTAACATAATGAGTTGCCAACATTTACAAATCAGGAGAATTCCCATCAAGGCTGATTCCTGTCTTCTCTTAAAAATTTGGAAGCTCTAGCAGGACTGAGCCCACATAGTCCACAGCAGCGGTTGGGCAGGGTGTGCTCTCTGGTCCACCACCATCAGTCCCCCCCCAACTCAGCACACTCATTTGTATCACTGGCCTGATCTCCCACACCTGTGAACTTGCAATCTTTGGTAGAAGATGAGCTCGTGCAGAGGAATCTAAATTAGCTCCATTCTTTCACATCTTTCCTATGGGGACCAGATCATTTTTCCTGTGGTGAAAATGGTTTAGAATGCCTGTGGAACTAACTTGATTAGGTTTTGTTCAAACTACCCCTTTCTATGTATAAGACACAGGCCCTGAAGTAGCCTAGCATCTCAAGAAGCCAAAGCTTTTCCTAGAACAATCATGAAGGAATATTCTTTTATGCAAAGTAATCCAAGCCTCTTGTGAGAGATGATCTGAAGAGGAAACTAAAAAGGGTAAAAGGAAAAATTACCTTCATTTGAAGGCAGATTAAATAGTTATGAGGACTTGGGGCTACAATGGTAGAGTGGCTTCTCTCCCTCGTTTTACAGTATATGGGACAAATGAAATATTAATAGTACCTTAAAGAACTGAGAATATTAGAAACAAAATTAAATTAGGAGCTTGAGTGAAACCAACCACAGGAGTGGACCCCCGATGTGAGATACCACAGATAGCTGGTTGCATGATAACCATTTGGGGATGTTGACACCATACCAGACTGAGTCTCAGACACCTGAGCACTGGGTTTGGGCAAGAACTAAAAAGTTAATGATTAATGAATGGGGGCAAATTAGTCTTATGCTTTTATTTTTTGGAAAGTTACCCTAAAATATATATTTTTAAAATTATCTAATGTAGCAAAGTACAGTCCTTGAAAACATTGGAAATTGAAGATTCTGTATTGGGATACTAATTTGATACAGCTCAGGAAAGTGAGGCTGGCAAGCATGGACCTTGGTTCAAAGATAATACCCCTCTCTAAATAAGAGCTCTCTTTCTTTCTTTCTCCTACAAACGGTGAAAATGGAGCTTTGGCAAAATGGGAGTGAGACCCTTGCGGGGGACCTGAGTGGAGGTGATTGTAGCGAGAGAATTCTATTGTTTCCATGCTTTCCTTTGCTGGTGGGAGTTTATTAAAGAACAGAAGGCAGTAGTCCCAGAGTTGTGGATCTCATAATGCCTGTGATCCAGGGGCTGCCCTTGGGGCAACCGGGAATGCTGCTGGCTGCTCTGGCCTGGAGTCCTGGGCAGCGCTGAGCCTTGGTGGGCAGGAGGACGGAGCAGACTCTGGAGGCTGTGGCTTCACTTGCTCACTTCCTTTCCCTCTGCCTGTTCATTGTTACTCCCCACCGCTCCTTCCTCTTCACCGACTGTTTCCCTGGAGAACATCTTCCTTCTGGGATGTGCAGCTGCTCTGAGGAGAATAGTTGCATCCTAGGAGAACACTGAGTCCTCACTCAGTGGACACTCACCCCAGACCATCAGGGAGGGGCCCTCAGAGCCCGTCATTTGGTACCCAACTGTGCCTGTTTGCTTTCATGTCTGTGTAGCACAATTCCCACAAATTTTGGAAAACGATAGGTTAAATAAAGTCAATAGATTCTCCTCCTGCAGGATCTCAGAGCCTTGAATATGCTTGTGTGCTGTATAAATCTCCAAGGCGAGGATATTGTATGTAACTGTTTTCTCGATTTATTTGACCATAGAATATTTCTTGCCCACTCTCAATGTGGCAATAAAACATCCTAAGCCATCCTAACTTGCTTTCTACTTATAAGTGAATTATTAGTTGAGCAGTGAGTTTTTCTATTATAGAAAATTATCTTAGTGGCTTTAATTTTTAAGCCTAATGTTTGAGTAAATATATTTCCTCTGGAATCTTCAATTTTCCTATTCTACTTCCATCTCTAAAATACTCATTATAGCTGAAGCTTAAAAGCTCCAATCCACTTCCCGCATGCTTAAGAATTTTTAGGCTTAAAAAAGAGATAGATCCTTTCCTTCAGGGAAATTTGAGATAGATTTTGTTTATTTTGTAGACAAAGTATATGTGCGTCAAGCATTGGTGGGAATGGACATGGTTCTGAACGTTATTATTTCCTCAATTTAGCAGCAAGATAGTAACCATTTTGATTGCTGATTCTACTATACAGGCTCTGAGATAAATGAAATGTAGATTCTTTCAGGTTTATAGATGTGCCTTGCTTTTCTATACATCAATCCTTAGAATTAGAAAATAGTCTAGAAAAATTAATTGACATGTGAAGATGGCATGAGACGTTTCATAATGATTTAATGAGCTCTGTCTTCAGGAGTACCTCACGGAACAAGGCTTTGAATATTTCCTTCCTTCTTTCCAGGTAGTCACCAATCCTCTGAGAGTGGCTGAGGGAGGCCAATGCATCATCAGCACAGAGCACATCCTGGTTTCAGACGTGGATACCAAGTTGGACAACATCTACCTCTCCCTGCGGGGACTGCCTCCACATGGAAGGGTGGAGCTGGATGGATTTCCACTAAACACAGGGGATACATTCTCTTGGAGAGACCTCCATACCTTAAAAGTTAGGTTAGAACATTTTGTGGCTTTTTTTCCTTACATTCTTTGGCTCCCCATCTGGATCAATTGTGAGGCATAGTAAGAGAAAGGAGTATGTCTAATTCTTTCAGGGATGCCAACATGCCACTTAATATTTTCAAGGGTCAGTTGAAAATTAGAAATGACAAATTTTTTTATTTCCCTCTAGTCATTGCCTCTGACTTGGTATACCAGTGGGGATGGCTTTATGGATATTTGAACAACAAAAATTAATTACCATGAATATTAAGTTTGCTGCAACTGTACATATTACAAGTGGTAACATTCAAACTAGATGAATAGAGACTGAAATAATCTGAGACTAATCTACCTAATTAGTAGGTATACTATATTATATAGTAGGTATACTTCATTATATAAGTATACTATATTATATTTAATACAACTTTTATTTTCAATTCCTAGGACTAATTTCCATTCCTGAGTGTCTTGAAGAAATCATTGATATGTTAAAATTTGGCTTAATTTAATTCAACAGCTATTTAGAACTTGGCTCTAAGAAAAGCCAATTTTATAACCCTGGGAACTCTGGGATAGAACTCTGTTGATCAATGTCCTTAGCGTAACCTTTTTTCCCATTCTGTCAGGGTAGGGATTTGCAGGCAAACAGATAGGGTAAGCTGAGTAGGTAGGGCATGGAGTAGTACTTGGGTCTCTGACAGTCAGGGATGGAGCAATCATTGGTCTCATGGTCCTACAGTAGTTTGTCCTCATCTTAAGGTCTTTCATTTCCTCTACCTAATGCAGTTCTGTAAGAAACTTTTCAATAAAATCTAATGAAACAACTCTGGAAAACAATACAAACCATTTGAAAGTAATGGTCAAGTAAACAGAAGTGCTGGCTGATTTCTTACTTAAAGTTCAAGGTATAAATGGGAACTTTGGCCCTTCGATAAAGTGTGGTGGCAGGAATTAGGCATCTAATGCTTAGTTCCTCATTTGACTAAAAAGTTGACTAAAAACTAAGATTTGTGCACATGAAGATCAGTTTAACCCTGACAGTTTAGTTACATCATTGATGTACAGTCCCCAATATCTTGACCTCTTTCCACTGCTCACTCTTATCCCCATTAAATATAAAATTTATTTTTTGAGATCTTAGCTCTTGGCTATATGTTAGAAAGAGGCCTCTGTTAAGGTAATTCTTACTAGGGAGTGATTGATGGATGGGAAAAAAAGTACCAGTATTTGCCAGAACTATATGTTCAAGCATACTGCTAGAGATTTGCAATTATGGTTTTTTTTTTTTTCATTTACTCTTCATAGTATTCAAGCCTGACAAGGTAGATGGTTCTATTCTTATAATATAGTTGAAGAACTGAGTACCAAGAGGTTGAGGAATTTGTGCAATGTCACTCAGCTAGTACATGGAAAAGTCAGGTTTTGAAAGATCTGCTTGACTCCACAGTCGTGCTTTTGGATGTATACTCTTAGGCCCACTTAACTCTTTTAGGGGTTTTATCATCATAAAATAGAATTAGCACATTATTATTCATCAATATATATTTGATGAAAATGGCAGGGACCATGGCAAAATAGAGCATAGGAGGTAGTGTGTGGGAGAGATAAGGGGATGGGGGGTTGTGGGCCTTCCATACCATTGGATTGGAATTCCAAACCTGAGTGCCTACCCAGCCTATAGGGAAACTAGTCCTGAGTATAATATCTTTTAGCCCTGATATTTTCCCCATAGGTAAAGATTATACATGTTCAGTATACTATATTATATTTAATGCAACTTTTATTTTCAATTCCTAGGACTAATTCCCACTCCTGAGTATCTTGAAGAGATCATTGATATGTTAAAATTTGGCTTAATTCAATTCAACAGCTATTTAGAACATTGCCAGCATCACTGAAGTGGGCTGGAGAGTACATGGAAAGCCTAGAATTAGGCAATCCCTTCAAGAAACTTGGCTGAGAATTAAACAAAGATAGGTCCAAGGTTAGACCAAGGAAAGGTATTTTAAAGTCTGGGAGAGATTGGAGAATCTTTACAGGTGGTGGGGAAGACAGCTAATTAATGGAAGAGGGAAAATGGCAGGAGAGAGGCAGTACATAATTAACAGAGCAAGGTTTTAGAGAAAAGCTGAATAGATCCAAAGATTAGCCTTAGAAGTGGGGAAGGAGAGGGAATCATCAAATCTGCACCGTGTCCCACTTTTCTGTCTCCTGCTCAGACTCAGCCTTCCCCCTCCCCTAGTCCCAGCCGGTGTACTCTGCGATTAGGCAGACCTATACCAAATGGTGCCCATTGTCACAGTTGCAATTAAAGGGCGGCTTTTTGATTTGGGGACAAATTATAAATGCATATAACATATTTTTTTAGGGGGGAACAATTTTACATTCAAGGATACTTGAATAGTAAAATATGTGACTTCATGATTATGCTGGTTTTTTTGTTATTTATTTATTTAGTGAACATGTGGTCAAAGCCATGGAAGAATTTCTGCATCATGCATCTAAAGTTACTCTCACAGTGTTCTTGAGAGATTAGTGACAAATATTAACCCCACAGGTATCGACACGATGGATCTGAGGTTCTTCAGGATGACATACTCTTGGAGGTCACAGATGGCACAAATTCAGCAGAATTTGTTCTACATGTTGAGGTGGGTAGAAAGTTTCCTCCCTGGATCATTGTCTTAGTCCATTTTGTGCTGCTGTAACACAGTACCACAGACTGGGTAATTTATAATGAACAGAAATTTTTTGGCTCATGTTTTAGAGTCTGGGAAGTCTAAGATCAAGTGGCTGCATCTGGTGAGGGTTTTCTTGCTGTGTCATCCTATGGCAGAAGAACAAAGAGGGAGCAAGAGAGAGCCAGAGGTTCAACTTGCATCCTCAAGCCCTTTTATAATTGGCATTAATCCATTCGTGCAAGTGGAGCCTTCATAACCTAAAACCTTCCCATTAGGCTTCTTCTTCCAACACCGTTGCACTGGGGATGAAGTTTCCAATGCTTGCTTTTTGGGGGACACATTCAAATCATAGCAGTCATAGAAATAAAGCATCTGGTTGGAAACCTCTCAGGTTCCCTAATAGAACTTGGCTCACAATTCAAAATTTAGAGGATGCCTGCTTACATCCTTGCATGTCTCAGGCCAGGCAACAGAGAACAAAGTTACATTGTTGAAATGGCCATACTATTCTGTCTCCAATACATTTAAAGATAGAATTACTCTGATCCCAAACCCACATACTTAATTGAAAAAGTAAGTGGTTCCTTGTATAACTCACTTCTAATATTTTTGAACTGTAACACTCAGAAATATTTATTTAGCAGCTGGGCAGGTTAAGCTCGCATCACCGGGGTTTTCCATGTTTATGGAAGAAGCTGTGTGTATGTGGTGTCCCTTTGTAAATTCCTGTATTATGCAGCTCTGGTAGGAGGTCTGTTTGAGATAATTTTTCTTCCTTTTGATAAATAGAGAAAAATCTGCACATAAATGTTGTGTACCTGCCCAAAGGACTTATGGGAACCCCTGAGTTTCTCTGTTGGGTTACTCAAGTCCATAAGCATAACTCAGAGGATTTGCAGATGTTTTATATAGTTAGTGACCAAAGAAGGTCTGTAGAAAACTCATCATGTCCCTTGAAGAGCGACTAATTATTCTCATCATACTAAATTCTTTCTCTTTCATCATACTAAATTCTTTCTCTTTTTGCTTGAATTTTGGTCAGATATTTGTGATACAAAATTATTATTAGTGGTAACAATAATGTGTCTGTAAGATATTTTACAGTTAGTAACTAATCAAGAATGTTCATATGCGTCTATAATTTTAAGAAGCAGACAGGGAAGGAATTTTCCCTGTTTTATAGATAAGAGCACTAGGGCCCAAGAAGGTTCAACGACTTGCCTAAAGTCATTGCCTTGACAGTGTAGACTGGGCTGGAATCTCCATTCTTTGTCACCTGGGTCAGTGTTCTTTCCTCCTTGCCACGGCCACACTCTCCATTACCAGGTGATGATGGTGATCACACTTGCCAACAGTTCCTGGATGCCTCTCTGTACACGGAGCCTCTTCCTTTATTTTCCCACTTAGTCCACAGAATGGCCTTTGCGGTCCGGGTGAAGAGCAGTATATTATTTCAGCTTCAAAAAGGAAAATTTTCTTTATTGGCAGACTTTTACACACAGAGAAAGCTTTTCTGAGTTACTTTTTTTCTGTAAAGCAAATTTCAGGGGAAAAAAACCCCAACTCTATCTTCCATCTACGACCATCTTAGTATTATTGGCAATGCTCCGTGCATTTTGGGGGAAAAAAAAATCTATTGTTAACTTTTTAAGCAAAAGAGGATGATCTTTAAAAGCCAAACAGAAGCACAGCCAATTTTTGGACAAGTGTTTGTAACTTTTTTTCCCCCAGGAAGGAATGTTCTTAATTCTATTGCCTTTGGACTTTATTATTTATTTGAAAGCTGAGGCTCTTTTGAAAACTGCTGCAAGATGGTTATCATTGAATTTACTTGGTGAGATTCCTGAGAGTCAAGGACAATAATAGAGAGGGTCTTTAATGAATTCACCCAGAGGACCTGAGCAAAGATACTTTTTCCTAATAAGCCAATAGAAAAATAGAGGATATTGTATACTTTTTAAACTTTTCCATCACTCGTTCCTCTACCCATTAAGGTGTCAACATAATTTCACATATAATTGTTGTAGAGTTGTTAGTCTGTTTAAATAGTAGGGTAAGCAGGGCATATACACATAGTTACATTCACTTTTTCATTTATTCAACAAATATTTAAGTGCCCTGTATATGCCAAGTCTTAGGCTAGATGCTTGGAATATGATGGTGAACAAAACACACAAGGTCTCTGTTTTCTAGCAGTGGTCCCCAACCTTTTTGATGCCGGGGACCTGTTTCATGGAAGACAATTTTTCCATGGATGGGGGCTGGGGCGGAGACGCAGAGAGCTCAGGAGGTGATACAAGCGATGGGGAGCAGCTGTAAATACAGATGAAGCTTCTCTAGCTCGCACGTCACCTCCGCTGTGCGCTCCCCCCGCCCCTCACACACACTTTCCTAAGTTTCATGGAAGACAATTTTTCCATGGACACGTGGGGGATGGGGGAGCTGTCAGCGCAGCTCTGCGGCCAGGTCCCTAACAGGCCGCAGACCACAGCCCTATAGCACAGGTGAGGCCAGAGAAATCCTAGGAGAAGCAATGGGAAGCCACCGAAGGTTCCTGCAGGGCAGTGACTTAAAATCCACATTGTAAAGCGATCACCTGGGCTGAAGCCTTGGGGAACGAAAGGCAGGTTTGAGAGGATTCGTAGGCGAGACTTGACAGAGTCGGCAGCACACACCAAGCTGTGGCTGTGAACTCAGAGAAGGACCGTCCTTCATTCCTGTTTAGAAGACACGCTTCTTCAAATTTCTACACGACCTTTTTAAATCCAGAGAGCCGGTGTGATCCCATGTTGCTTTTCTTTCCTTTCTACTTGGAGCTTTATTTTCATGAGAGTGAGAGAAAAACGTTTTGTCAAGTTGAAACTGGGCATTGATTGAATAGTTCTGGAGTTTCAAATATAACTCAAACTGTTTGAAATGCAGCTGCTACTTATTGTAAATCCAGAGAAACTTCCTGGGTGGCCAGAAGTTGAGGGTGGAGGAAAGCTTTGTAACCACCAAGTTATTTGAAAGAAAAATAACTTCGAAGCAGTAAATGTAGATGCATCAGACCACAGGGACCAGACTTCTTCTGGAATATGTGTGAATTTAACAAACGAGGATGGGGCTTTGGTGAAGAATGCTTTATATTATGTTTATATTTTGTCTGTCTAGAAACAAATGAGACTGTTGAATCTCAAACCATAACCATATTTTCCCATTTCCACTTAAAATGTCTCTTCCACGGGGCATTCCTTACAAAATGGTGCAGATGGAGAAAGTTAAAAAACACAGACTACTTGGCCGGATTCCATGGCTATTGTTTCATGTGTCTGGAAGATCGAAAATGCCTGTCATTTTGACTATGAGGTATGGGTTACCAGTTGGACAATTTGTCATTTCTTTCTTTTTGTTGAAAACATACATTTTTTCCTTGCCTAGGTATCCCCTGTAAATGATGAGCCACCAGTCCTAAAGGCTGACCTCATCCCCGTAATGCATTGCTCGGAGGGCGGAGAGGTGGTCATCACTTCCGAATACATTTTTGCTACTGATGTGGACAGTGACGACTCGAAACTGATGTTTATGATTGTTCGAAAATCTCAGCATGGGGCGGTGAGGAGAGCTGGAGTCCCGGTGGATCAGTTCTCTCAGGGAGATGTTATCTCAGGGGCTGTGACATACAAACACACAGGTAAGTGCAGCATTGTGACCAGGGAGGCAATGCAAGCAACAGGAAAGTCTTTACTCCACTCCTTGCTGGGGGTTCCCATAATCGAACAGTCTTCATGTTTGCTTCCATTGAAAAAAGCAGCAACAGCAGCCTGTATCCTGTTTTTCTAAGCATGATCTCCATATATAAAAGTATTTCTGATCTCATTATTATAATGAATTTCAAAGAATGTAGAAAGGGCAGATGTTACTTGCTGTTCTGTTCCTGACATGACCTCACAGGCTTTGTATTTTATTAATATTAACCCTGTGATCCTCCTTATCTCCTTTTTGGTCCGTTTAAAGAAGACTTACTTGATTATCATAGTTTATGGATCCATTATTCACAATAGAAATACCTATAGTAAGCTCCCTAAGATAATTTATTATTAATTTTAAAATTTTACTGATTACCAGCTAGCTCCTAAGAAGTAATTGATATGCTTTTCGAGTTCCTGAAAAGCTAAGATGACACCTTAACCCTTTGTATGACTTGCCCACAGCACACAACAGTGTGAACACGGATTAGATGTACAGAAAATGCTTGTTTATGAGCACTGTGCTTACATTTTTGGCATTGCATTATGTTGTTACCCAGGTGGCCTTTGTTCCCCATAGAAGGTGTTTAACTAAAAGAGTATTAATTCAGTATCTGATATCAACAAGGTATAGCACTAGACACTGTGGGGTGCAAAGAAATATAAACCAGACCCTGCTATGAAGGACCTTTTTTTTTTTTTTTGAGACAGAGTCTCGCTTTGTTGCCCGGGCTACAGTGAGTGCCATGGCGTCAGCCTAGCTCACAGCAACCTCAAACTCCTGGGCTCAAGCAATCCTTCTGCCTCAGCCTCCCACGTAGCTGGGACTACAGGCATGTGCCACCATGCCCGGCTAATTTTTTCTATATATATATTTTTTAGTTGTCCAGATCATTTCTTTCTATTTTTTAGTAGAGATGGGGTCTTGCTCTTGCTCAGGCTGGTCTCGAACTCCTGACCTTGAGCGATCTACCCGCCTCAGCCTCCCAGAGTGCTAGGATTACAGGCGTGAGCCACTGCGCCCCACCCCGGCCTATGAAGGACTTTTAATTTAAATGGGCAGACAAAACCCATGCACATGCAAAGATGACAGTGTGACTCATTGCACGCCACTGCATCATCTCCCAGGTCTGTGGGGGGATACCCTCAGTAATAATGCCATGTATTTCCTCTTGCTGGCTTTTTCCACGCTTTACTACAATTCCCTGTTTACTCATCCATATACCACTTTAAGCTGCAAATTCCATGCAGGAAGTATGATTGTGTATGGAAGGCCAGGTGAGTGGCACAGGAAATAGAATTCAAGAAACGAGGTGAAGAGGAAACTCAAGGAGGAGGGATGGAGATAGCTAAGGATTAATCTGGAAGTAGGAGAAAACATTTTGAAATAGTATTTTTCATACATATTTTGAAAAACAATGATTTATTGGGAAATCAGTTGTTTTATAGCCAGTTAGTTAAGGGATATTTCAATCATTTCACCAGACATCTTTTTTCTTCTAATTGTGTCTCACTATCTTCTTACTTGTGTTTAGCCTTAGGAAAGGTTTCATTAGTTATTTTCCCATCCTGGGATGCATAGTCCCTGGGTTTGATGTCTCTCAGGAGTTCACCACTAGATACTTTTTTTGATTTCCCCAATAGATCTGAAATAGACCACAGGAAAGGGATCCAAAGACCAATGACTGCTGTTTATTGCATGATTTTAACATCTTTGGCAGGCTCATGCAGCACAGGTAAATTAGGGGTGAGATGAATCTGTCTTCTCATCCAGTGCCTTGTTCCATGTGCTAAACAACAGGTGCACAAATTTCTAAGTCTCTAATGTGATGGCCATGTAAGGGACTATTAACTAATTTTTTTATAAGGCTTAGTAGGACATTGTGGCAAATTATTTCAAATAGACGGTTTTTGGTTATGTTACTAAATGAGAAAAATAACTGGCTTCAAAGGATGTTTTGGTATTTGAATGTTATGTTTTCTTGTAATATTCGCTCAATTACTCAATTGATAATTGAGCAATTTAGCACTGTATGAGGATCGGTACAAAGAACCGCAGCATGGTAGGATGTGAAGTTTCAATGAATTATCTGGCCTCGCTCTTGCTTCTATGTGTTGATTATAAAGGCCACCGGAGAGTAATTTTATCAGCATTACTTTATTTGCTTTCTGCAATTATAAATACGTACTCATTGCAGAAAACTTAAAAAGAGTTGAAAAGCACAGTGAAGTTTTGAAAAATCACCTTATTATACCTCTCAAAGATAGTCACTGTAAGCATATTAGTATTATAGTATTTATCTTCTTTATTCCAATCATAATTTTTAACATAGTTACAATCATACTGTATATGCAGTTTTGCAGATTACTTTTATCATTTAGATTATCACCTAAAAATGTTTATTAAAATATTATTAAAAATAAATGTTATAAAGTTATCATAAATTTTTTAGTAAATGAATATTTTATTATATAAAAGTACATTATTAAAAGTGCTATTTTCCCAGCACTAAACATGAAGTCATTCAAAATTTTTCTTTTAAATAACACTATGATTAACATTTATAGATATGAATCATGTCCTTAGACTGTATTCCATTTCAAGGCAAAGAATTTTTCTACCCATGCTGTAGCCCATTTAGTGGCTTCATGCTCAGCCTACTTTTACAATTATTTCTGTAAATATAGCCTATGCTTCCATTATAGAGAAATTAGGTACTGAATGTGCTAAATTTGCCTTTTTAAAAAAATTGGCTTCTCTTCCTGGAATGATTTTTCTATTTCTCTCCCCAACTGCCTCTCCCTATAAGTCCTCTCTCCTGCCTCCCAATTTTGGGCCTTATCTGCCTGGCAAACTTTTACTCATCCCTCAATGCACAGCACAAAGCGAGCAAAGCCATCTCAAAAGACTATATGACTCTCTGGCACCTGTGTCCTGCCCCTACGCAATCGTCAGCTGACACTCTAATCTTCTTTCACCCTCAGCACCTTGTACGTAATCAGGCTGAAGTATATGAAATTGCCCTTTAATGGGTAAAAATGGTTTAATAGTATTAATTTCATTTGTTTCTCATACATTTGTGCTATTCTTAACCGCATTGCATTTCCTTCTCTGCTGTTAGATTGTGTCAGTGCCTGACACACAAGAGGGTCTTTTGATATTTGACATTCTTTTGAAATGTATTTTGATAGTTTTAAAATGTCTGCCTTTTTCTCTGCTGTTGCACCCAGAACTCTAATTATCACATACTAGGCATTAAATAAATATTTATTGACTGAATGACTGATGAATAAATGTTTTAAGCCAGTTTGCTTTTTATGAATATGAATAAGTGAGTGGTCTCTTATTTTTGACTCTTCTTAAAGTTGAAGGCTGATTTTTTCTTTCTAATTCTCTCAATTTCAACTGTGCTTTTCCTTATAAGCCCAGTTTTCTTATCCTTTAATGATTTGGTTGCTCAATAATATCATGTCTGGATTTCCCTTGTCATTTTTCTCAAAAGGGAAAATGATCCCAAGCACAGAGCTCTGCAAATTTGACCAGAGTGTCTGGTGAAAAGAGAAGATGTCCCTGAGCTTTCGTGCCCTTGTCTCATAAAAACTCCAAGCAGAAATTGCTTCCCTCTTGGCCTTTTCAAGGTGATGCATGAGAGTTACCTAGAGCACATGGCAGAACTTTTCTGTGCCCTGGACAGCAAGCGCTCCTACTCTGTGCCATTATTAGTAACCCGAGAGCAGATTGTCCTGTTGGCTGATAAACTGTCTAATCCTGACATTTTCTTCCTTCTTCCTTCCTCTTACTGCCTAAACCAGGGCCATTTTGAATTCCATAGATGTAAGACCTAAAGAGTAAAAAAAAAAAAAAGAAAAAGAAAAAGAAAAGAAATGCCTCTTCTTTTCCATGTACTGTTGTTATTTTTTTAAACATCTTGGCTAATATATAATAAGGAAAGTGATGATAAAAATGTGGACTAGCTTTGTATTTCACCCAGCCAGCGTCCTTTGTTTCCCATAACTGCTATGTGGTTGATGGATGTTCATTTTAGGTGGTTAATGCAAATGGAAAGACAATTACCAAAGGGGCAAGGATGCCTTCTGCCTCTCCCTGAGGTTGGTCCTAACACTACACGATTAAGAGGAGAGAATGAAACCATCTCTAGTCAAGCTTTGTGTCACTCCCTTGTTCATTTGTGAACCGTCAGGCCCTTGTTAGCCCTGTTTTACCCCTCCATATGGTGATAGATGGCTGGCAGGGATTTCACCAGAGGCAACAGATGGGCAAGAATTTTTGCATTATTTTCATGACTATATTTAATTTCATAGTGATAAAATTGGGTTTTACATTTTATCCACTTAAGTTCTTTTCCTTGTCTTTCAATGCTTGTAGAAGAGGTGTGAGTAGATTTCATTTTGGTATTCTCTATTTTTAAAAAGTCAGATGTCAGTTCTAGTTGTGTCTTCCAGGTGGTGAGATTGGCCTGGTGCCTTGTTTTGACACCATTACATTGGTGGTTTCGGATGGAGAAGCTGGCCCTTTTGTGAATGGCTGTTGCTACAATGGACCTAATCCATCTGTTCCTCTTCATGAGTCCTTTCCAGTGTATGATCTCAACATCACAGTACATCCAGTGGACAACCAGCCACCTTCAATTGCAATAGGTGACAGTGTTTTTTTCTGTTAAAGTACTATTATCTTACCTAGTGTCATACCTGTGTTTCAGTGAAATAATACATTTTACTTATAGTCAAAATAAAAAACCACCAGACAGAATTGCCCTTCGATAATTGCCTCAACATAAATTTGTGTAAAATCCCAAATCTATAAAAGATTACAGGGAAAATTAAAATTTTCAATATTTCTATATGGAGAGAGAATACAAATATGTTTGTGTGTGTATGTGTGTGTGTTTGTGTTTTGGGACAAGGACAACATTGGAATCCTCAAATATTCTGATTTTATTTCACACGGGAAAATATCATTCACTTGCTGAAGAAAGAGTAATTTATTTTATCCATAATAATTTCTATTAGAATAGAATGAGCATACCAGAGAGACCATTTGTATACATTTAACCTTATTTGCTTTTTAGAAAGTCATCTCTTCACAGGCATTATGTATATGTTCTGTCTCTCAGAAAAAAATACAAGCATATGTATGAATGTTATTGTAATTTGCAAACTATCTCCCAAGCAATGTTCTGGAAAGGAAGCATTATCCCAGCAGAATAATTAAGCACCAAGGCATGAAAAAATGTTCGTTATGAGCAATTCATACTAGCTCTCAGGCAATTAACACTCTGACAAACAGAGGTAACAACTGATCTTGAAGAGTACATAAACTACATTTAGTGGCTTATCATTAAAATAGTTTGGCAATTCTCATTTTCGTTTGTCACTTCTGTAGAAACACAAGGGAAATCAGAGTTCCTTGAGAATGACTAAAGGGCTGTATTGGAGCAGTTAGTGTTTCTGCTGTCTTTCTATTATTGTCTGGCTTGGTTATGCAAGAAAATAATATATAATTCTGTGAGTCAAATTAAATTCCACCCATTACTCCTGAATATTTTCACTTTAAAGAGAATTATGCCAAAGCAAATGAACATCTCCCATGGAAATGTTTTTGCATACGGGAGGCTTCTCTGAATTGGAATTTCAATCACTCTCTTTTGTTCTCACTATTCTGATTAGAGGATTTCACACTAAATTATTATTGGGTTATTATTTGTATGCAGGTACCGTGTTCCTTGTAGAGGAGGGTTTCTCAGCAGCCCTTACCATTAACCATTTGTCTGCCACCGACCCTGACACTGCAGCAGATGACTTGGAATTTGTTTTGGTTTCTCCTCCACAGTTTGGCTACCTTGAAAACACACTCCCTTCTGCAGGTTTTGAAAAAAGCAATGTGGGCATAAGTATAGGTAAGTCATGGTTTCATGACCAGCAATGACTTCTCTATGTTTAGGGATGTGATTGGCCAGATCATGTTTAATAACTGGGTAAGAAGTTTCAAAATGTTCAAAGCACCATATACATTTAAGGAATTATTATTATTATAGTGGATACTTTTGAGTCTAATTATTTTTCATTTTAATTTTTATTCTGACTTTCCTCATGCATGTGAGTTTACTTCAAAATAAATGAAAATTTCACTTATAAAAATACAAAAATAAACATTGAAGAGGTAGTGGGTTAAAAGGCCCTCATAGCGACACTCTATACTCTGATAGGATGAATCTAGTGGGAGCTCACAAGGTCTCAGTCTCACAACCTTTTAGCATTTTTAATAGATATTGGTAGAAAAGACTAGGAAATATACTAAGGGTGTAACAGAGACAAAAAGCCTGAAATGTTGAAACAGATGACATTAATTTTGAAACCAAAATGTGTCTCAGATACTTAAATAGCTCTTGTGTTTCAGGCAAAAACAAAACAACCAAAACAAAAACAAAAAGCAAAAAGAAAATCTTTGCAAGACAACACTTTAAAAATAAATGATTCTCAAGTGCCTTTTGAGGCACATCCATTTTCAAAATGAGAGAGACTGGATTTAAGATTAATTGCATTAAAGATTACCCAGTTTTTCCTGTGACAATGCACAACTCAGAACATTTTTTTCTTTTGATTTAAGGTCATGTCAAAATACTAAAACAGCAGATCCAGCTAATTCCACTCCTTCCGACCAGTTGCTTGATGTACATCTTTAAGCAGGCAGATGATTGACTCTTGTTTTGCCTTTATGTGAAAGAGTTGGTCTCTTTTTAATCTAAGTATGACAGGAACTGCCCATGCAGAAGCAATGCCTTAATCACAGGAAGGTTTCTCTGACATTTATTCCAAGTGTCTGAAGTTCCTGTACATACCGGTTAGCAGTTATTACTCTTCTGTTCTCCATGCAAATTTTATCCTTCCTTATGATCTGTGGATGTCTGCTTTTATGTTGATGGTTGGTAGTTGTTGCAGCCCCTGATAGTGAATACTTAGATCAACTGCTATGATCTATTATTTGCTTTGCTGAAATATTGGCTATAATTGGGTTAAAGATTGAAGACCAATAACTTGGAAAAATGTTTTTCTTGTTTACCTGTTCCATCTTGGTGTGCTCTAGCTTCATTTCAGTGGAAAGACATGAAGGCTTTGCACATTAACTATGTGCAGTCCAGGCATCTGAGGATAGAACCTACTGCTGACCAGTTCACAGTGTATGTCACAGATGGGAAGCAACGCTCCTTGGAGATACCGTTTTACATTATTATCAACCCCACAAATGATGAAGCTCCTGACTTTGTAGTGCAGAATATTACGGTAAGAACTGTGCCAGAATGTTCAATTTCTTTCTTATCATTTTTGATTTTTATTTTCACCTAGTCCATTTACATCGGTCCACATGTACTTAACATATTAAATTGGTAAGGAATGGGGAAGGCAGTATCCAGTGTCATGTAATGCAATCATTTGAAAACAAACTATTAATCTAATAATAATGATGATGGTAATGATTATAATTACTAACATACAGCAATCCATAGATGCAATTACTAAGTTGCATATATATAGGACAGAGTACTTACTAGGTTGTAGGTTCTAAGCCCTTTACATGTATTCATGTTTAATCCTCACAATAGGCTCTTAGGGCTATGGTATTGTTATTGCCAATTCGTAACTGGAGAAATGAGTCATAAAGCAGTTAACCAAGAAATACAGATCACAGAACCTGGGAGTAAGTGGCACACAGGGAATGTGCACCCAGACCACCTGATCCCATAGCATGCTCTCTTAACCAACGCTGGAATGGCGAGGACTCAATTCACAGATTATGGGCATCTTTTATTATAGAACTATTTTTAAAGATATATGAGATGAAAAAATGCAATTTGGACCATTGTTTTTATGTAGCTTTAAATTCTTTTTTTTAAATTTCAGAATATTAGGGGGGTACAAACACTTTGGTTATGCCTTTGCACTGCTCAAGCCACAGCTTGAGAATGGCTTTTATAAAAAATGTTTTTATATAATGTAATAATATTTGTTAGTTTTAAAAAAATTCAGATATATACTTAAAATGGCCCATAAAATCACTCCTCAGCACCTGTTGACTTTTAAAAAATAATAATCAATGTATGTGGTTAAATAAAATCAAATGTTGAGAAACATACAAAGTGAAATGTAAAATTCTCCCTAACAGCCATCACAGCTAGTCGCTCTCCAGTGATAAAGTTTTTAGTAGTTTACTCCACAAAAGTAATTTTTGTACACATGCCAGTGATATGTATGTGTACTATGATTTTTCTGTGTGTTTTTGCTTACAAATAAGGTACCATATTATACCAAATATTCTGTACTTTACTTTTAAAAACAACTTTATGTATATTAAAAATCTTTTCATATCAATATATAATTCTTTTTAGACAATTCTATTTTTTAATATATATGATTATTTAATCCAGACATCTGTAAAACAAATCCTGATTAAATAGAATGAGCACAGGCTTTGGAATCAAAGGGACTTGGGTGTTGCTTTTTACTAGTTGTAGGGTCTTGGGAAAATTATTTCTCTCTGTGCTTCTGTTTCCTCACCTGCAAAATATGTGTCAAATCTTCTTTAAGGGGTAGCCATGATGATTAAGGTGGTTAGGTACAGAGTAGATGCTTAATAACTAGGTGCCGTTCATATTATTGACATTGTTGTTATGCTTGCCATCTTTCTTCTGACAGTGACCAAAGCAAATATTAGCTATTTGGAAACTGTTATTTTGCTTTATTTTTCATTAAAAACAATCAAACTCTAAATGCAAAAGTCTTTATTTGATTTTAATTTTCTACTAAATTTTAATGGTACATGAGAGTCAGCTCAGCATGAAATTTAAGAGCCAGCTCTTGCCTTTCCTCTTGTTTTGGCACATGGGTTTCTCTGGAGAGCCCTTCAGTAATTATGAGAGAGAAAAAATAATCTACAAATGATTCCTTCTATACCTACCGCCATTGTCTTGTATCTGTCTGGGGTTGGGCCTTCGGAAGTAATTAGGCCACTGGGAAGCTGTCTTTTGCTCTCTCTTAGTAATCATGTTTTTTACCTGTGCATTCCTTACAGAAGCTGTTAGAAAGTGACAAATATGGAGCCCCATGTATTGTGGGCGAGCCTATTTTAGGCTTCAGATGATTTTTTTAGATGATAATATTTTGCTCTCTTGTGAGAAAATGTATTTATTTTATAGATAGTCAGGCTGCCATCAAGTTGTGCTGCAAGAAGATTTGAGGTTTTAGTTTAAGTTATTATAATCCATTCCAAACCTGTTTACTAGTAATTTTTGCATTTTATGTATATTGATCTAAAATTTCTATTGTCATAATCTAAGTAAGTAACTCAATTTGCAAAAAAGAATCCCACATTTTAATCAAGTTCTATGAGGAAGGATAATGCAACATATTTTTAAGTTAGTTTATTCAAGGTCTTAGAGAAAAAGGCAAGTGTTACCATCAAAGATGATTTCATAAGTATATCATTGTGAATTAAACTATGATGCCACTTTAGTCTTTAATAAGTAGGGCCAGATAAGAGAAAATCAGCCTCATTTTAGCCCAAGTATTAGATATGACGAGTAATTCTTTATGCAAGTTCAGTAAAAAGTGGTTGCAGGAGAATTCCCTTCAAAGTCAGTAAGAGAGACCGAAAAGAAAGGTGTTTTCACAAATCTAAACCGTATGTAGCCTTCAAGTCTTAATTGCCCCTCAGCCATGAAGACATCCTGGTCTCCTCTGTCCTTTTGTGTTTCTTGTTTATGAATATCTTGCAGCATTAGCCATTTTCTTGCTTGCATTATAGTTATTAATGACAGGCCTTCTCACCTGACTTGCATTCTTGAGAATATTTGTGTTACCCAAAGCATGTTGCATGGTGACATTGCAGATTCCCAATAACCATGTATAGAATCTATATACCCTTGTTATTTAGATCTTGCTATATTTCAAAATAGGAAACAGAAATATTTCTTTATTCTCTCTATTCTCACTATGAGAATAAAAAAGATCAAGGCAGCTAACCACCATATTGTCAAATTCTAAATGACTAAATCCTACATGAAACTATAAACATTCGCCTGTCTTTGTGCTTAAAGGATTATAAAACCTGAAGTGGGGTATAAGAGGGAGTGGGAAGGGTAGTGTAGGAAAATTATATATAGATTATTATGTATCCAGGAGCATCCTTTTCAATCGTTGTTGATTACAATGAAAAAATAGAAGTTTTTACTGCAATGACAAAAATAAAGCACACCAAATAGGACCAATGTGTAGCAGATATTTGTGCCATTTATAAAGCAGTTAGAAACATAAGAAATGTAGAAGCAGGAAGGTTTAAGAGGTTAAAATAGTAGATTGGTCTCTGAAGGTGAATGTTCTAGATTCAGTTTTACAACTGAACTTTTCTGTGACTTCCTGAAAGCAAGTATCTTTTTGTTTGCTTTTTTCCATGACTTTTGAATTAATAACAATACATATTTTAAAAATCATGTGTCCTTTGTCCTTCATGGAAATGAATATAAGTGCTTTGAAATCTTCAGAAAAAATGTGAAGGAGATTAGTAGGTTTATTTCTTCTTTTATGTTTCTATTAAATTGGCAATTTCTTTTTAGGACCCATAATATACAAATCTCGTGGAAAATTTGAAATAGAATATTTTCAAATGATTTCTTTTGAGCAGTTTGCCAAAAGAAAGACAAGTTCAAGCCAGGCCCAGTGGCTCGCACCTATAATCCTAGCACTTTGGGAGGCTGAGGCAGAAAGGATTGCCTGAAGCAAGGAGTTTGAGACCAGCCTGGGCAGCATAGTGAGACCCTGTCTCTACAAAAATAAAATACTTAGCTGGGCGTGATGGGATGCGCCTATAGTCACAGCTACTCGGGAGGCTGAGCCAGGAAGATCACTTGAGCTTAGGAGTTCCAGGCTGCAATGAGCTGTAATTGCACCACTGCACTCCAGCCTGGGCAACAGAGTAAGACCCTATCTCTAAAAAGAAAAAAAAAAAGAAAAAAAGAAAAAAACCCACAAGTTCTATTTCATGCACAGCTGACTTTTCTGACTTGTTCAGGTGTGCGAGGGTCAGATGAAGGAGCTGGATCTGTCCATCATCAATGCTGCTGACCTGGATGTTCCCAAGGACCCCCTGCTGTTCAGCATCACTCACAACCCTCGCCACGGCCTCCTCATCAATGGGGGGTTTAGCAAAGACCTTCCTAAGAATAAGCAGCCAGCCCACCCTGACCAGAAGTATGAACTTGTTCACAACTTTTCCATGGAACTTCTCGAGACTGGTATATCATGTCCCACTTCTTTTTGTTTGTTGTTGCTGCTTTAATAATTTAACCCACACTTACACGTGAAATCTAAAAAGATAAAACTCATATAAGCACAGAATAGAATGGTGGTTACCAGAGGCTGGGGGTGGGAGGATTGGGGAGATGTTGGTCAAAGGATACAAAATGTCAGATAGGAAGAATAAGTTCAAGAGCTCTATTTTACATTCTGACTATAGTTATTATAACAACAGTATATTGTATATTTGAAAATTCCTAAGAGCATAAATTTTAAGTGTTCTTACCACAGAAAAAAGATAAGTATGTGAAGTAATGCATATGTTAATTAGCTTGATTTTACCATTCCACAATGTATATCAAAACATCATATTATATACCATAAATATATGTAATTTTTATCCGTGAATTAAAAAGTTAATTTACAAAACAATTTAACCCATAAAAGATAATAATAAATCATAGATATTAGGGGGTAAAAAATATCATTCATATCATATATATTTTATTTATTTATCCCTCAAGGTTTACCTCTGGGCTGAGATTAGTATAGAGCATGAAGACCCAGCTAGAGACAGTAGGTAATAGCAAAGGCAATAACATGTTTTCTTTCACTTTCAGAGTACCATTAAAAATGATATTTGTGATTTCTGGAACTTTAGCTCAAGCTTTTAATGTCATAATAAAAAATCCCTTTTTAAAACTATTGAAATTATGAAACTAAATTTTAAGAATTTGTCTGCCAAAATTTCCACAGTTGAAGCAAATATAGAACCACATACAATAATGACTCATTATTCTCCAAAGAGATAATTTGCTCTTTAGGGAAATGGCACATTGGAATAGCTGCCTGAATTATTTTGTAATTACTCTTTTTCGAAACATCGATGTTATCCCGCATTTGACATATGAAAATACTTTTAAGAAATTTGAGAAATGTATGCAGTTCTAGAATTTCCACCTGCTCTCATTCTCCTCCCTTCTTCATGTGTTTTGTTTTCCCAGCCTGGAAGGTCCTTCCCCCTCCGTCAAGGGGCTAGCCAAGACTGCGCCTTCAGAGTGCAGCTTTCTGTTAACCTCCCCCTTGGAGCCCACTCAAACTCTGTTCTCTGTTCTTGCTTCGTCTTAGCCCTTGTTCACCATTTTTCCAACTGTATTTTAGTTATTTGTTTCCCCAACTAGAGTGGTAGCTCTCTGATCTAAAGTTCATTTTGCAATAGTTGCATAATGTCATCTCACATTTAAATTTGAAAAGCTAATTTGTGTATTTCTCAATTTTCATCAATTGCAAAGAAATAAATTGAGTGTAAATGATGATATCGCCAAATCAATAACCATGTGCTGCAAATGATAGAATATATTGTTAAAAGTATGTCTTTGTCCAAATTTAAGACCAAGAAAAAAATAATAATTCAAATTTTACCTTCAAGAAAGCCAATTTTAAAAAATAACATTTACTTGTTATTATCGGGTTAAATAGGTATTATACGCTCATATTGTAAAGTTTGGAATATTCAGTCATTTTGAAGAAAAAAATCATTCAAATAAACTAATATTTTGGTTAGTATTTGGTGACATTTTCAGAGATTAGATATTCGCCTCTACTTTATTACTTACGTTTATTATTTTATTTTATTTTCATTTCAAATATTAAGAGAGTACAAATGTTTTTGTTACGTGGATACATTGTATAATGCTTAAGTCAGGGTTTTTAGTGTGCCCATCACCAGGACACTGTTCATTGTACCTGCTAAGTAAGTTTTTACCTCTCACCCCTTCTTCCATTTTCCAACATTCTTAGTTTCCAATGTCCTTTACATATCTTTGTGCTGTTATGTGCTCATCATTTAGTTCCCAATTATTACTGAGTACATGCGGTGTTTGTTTTTCCATTCCTGAAATACTTCACTTAGGATAATGGTCTGCAGTTCCATCCAAGCTGCTGCCAAAGACATTATTTCATTCCTTTTTATGGCTGAGTAGTACTCCATGGTATACAAATACCCCATTTTCTCTATCCACTCATGAATTGGTGGGCACTTAGGTTGATTCCACATCTTTGCAGTTGCGAATTGTGCTGTGATAAACATTTGAGTGTGGTGTCTTTTTGATATAATTACTTCTTTTCCTTTGGGTAGAAATCCAGCAGTGGGATTGATGGATTGAATGGTAAGTCTACATTTATTTCTTTGAGGAATCTCCATACTATTTTCCAGAGAGGTTGTACTAATTTGCAGTCCCACCAAGAGTGTATGAATGTGCCTTTCTCTCTGCATCCCCGCCAGCATCTGTTATTTTTTGACTTTTTAATAGTGGCCATTTGATAAGGGTAAGGTGGTATCTCATTGTGGTTTTAATTTGCATTTCCCTGATGATTAGTGATATTTAGCATTTTTTCATATATGTGTTGGCCATTTGTCTATCTTCTTTTGGAAAACTTATTTTCATGTCATTTGCTCATTTTTTAATGGGGTTGTTTGTTTTTTCTTGCTAATTTGTTTGAGTTCTTTGTAGATTCTGGATATTAGCCCTTTATTGGATGTATAGTTTACGAATATTTTCTCCCACTCTGTAGGTTGTCTATTTACTCTGTTGATTGTTTCCTTAGTTGTGCATAAGCTTTTTAATTTAATTAAGTCTGATTTATTTATTTTAGTTATTGCCACATTTGCCTTTGAGATATAAGTCATAAATTCTTTGCCTAGGCCAATGTATGGAAGAGTTTTTCCTACATTTTCTTATAGAATTTTTATGGCTTCGTGCCTTATATTTAAGTCTTTTATTCATCTTGAATTAATTTTTGTATATGGTGAGAGATGGGGTCCTGTTTCATTGTTCTGTTTGTGGTTCTCCAGTTTTCCCAGCACCATTTATTGAATAAGACTTCCTTTCCTCAGTGTATGTCTGTTTTGCCAAAGATCAATTGGCAGTAGGGAGATGGTTCTATTTCTGCGTTCTCTGTTCTGTTCGTTTGGTCTATGTCTCTACTTTTATACCAATACCATGCTGTTTTGGTTACTATAGCCTTGTAGTATAATTTGAAGTCAGATAATATGATGCTCTGGACTTGTTCTTTTTGCTTAAGATTACTTTGGCTATTTGGGCTCCTTTTTGGTTCCAAATGAAGCTTAGAATTATTTTTTCTAGATTTGTTAAATGTAATGTTGGTATTTTGAAGGGGATTGTGTAGAATCTGTAAATCACAGTGGATAATGTGGACATCGTAAGGATGATTCTACCAATCCATGAGCATGGGATATTTTTCCATTTGTGTCATCTGTGATTTCTTTGATCAATGTTTTATAGTTCTCCTTGTAGAGACCTTTCACCTGCTTGGTTAAGTATATTCTCAGGTATTTTATTTTCTTTGTAGCTATTTTAAATGGTATTGAGTCCTTAATTTGACTCTTAGCTTGACTGTTATTAGAATGTAGAAAAGCTACTGGTTTGTGCACACTGATTTTGAAACTTGAGACAGTGCTGAATTTATTTATCAATTCTAGGAGTCTTTTAGTGGAGTCTTTAGGGTTTTCTAGATATAAGGTCATATTGTCAGCAAACAGGGATAGTTTAACCTCATCTTTCCAATTTGGATACCCTTTATTTCTTTCTCTTGCCTGATTGCCCTGGCTAGGACTTCCAGTCCTATTAATATGTTGAACAGAAGTGGTAACAATGGGCACCTTTGTCTTGTTCTAGGTCTTAGGGGGATGCTTTCAACTTTTCCCCATTCAGTATAATGTTAGCTGTGGGTTTGTCATATACAGCTTTTATACTTTTGAAGTATGTTCCTTCTATGCCTATTTTGTTGAGGCTTTTCCTCATGAAAAGGCGCTGGATTTTATCAAATGCTTTTTCTACATCTATTGAGATGATCATATGGTCTTTGTTGTTGCTTCTTTGGTGAATCATGTTTATTGATTTATGTATGTTGAACCATCCTTGCATCCCTGGGATGAAACCCACTTGATCATGGTGAATTATCTTTTTGATAAACTGTCGAATTTGGTTTACTAGTATTTTGTTGATGACTTTGCATCTATGTTCATAAGGGATATTGGTCTGTAGTTTTCTTTTTTTGTTGTGTCCTTTTCTGGCTTTGGCATCAAGATGATACAGGCTTAATAGAATGAGTTAGGGAGGATTCCCTCCTTTTTAATGTTATGGAATCATTTCTGTAGAATAGGTACCAGTTCTTTGTAGGTCTGGTAGAATTTGGCTGTGAATCTGTGTGGGAGATTTTTTTCAATTACTGCTTCAATCTCACTGTTCATTATTGGTCTATTCAGGATTTCTATTTCTTGCTGATTCGGGCTTGGGAGGTGTGTGTTTCCAGGAATTTATTCATTTCTTCTACATTTTCTAGTTTGTGTACATAGAAGGTTTGGTAGTATTCATACTTGATATTTCTGTAGTATCTGTTGTAATATTTCCTTTTTCATTTCTGATTGAGCCTATATGAGTCCTTTCTCTTCTATTTCTGGTTAATCTGGCTAGTGATATATTGATTTTGTTTATCTTTTCAAAGAACCAATTTTTTGTTTTATTGACCCCTTATATTGCTTTTTGGGTTTCCATTTTGTTTAGTTCTGCTCTGAGCTTTGTTATATTTTTTCTTCTGTTGGCTTTTGGTTTGGTTTGCTCACCTTTTTCTAGTTCCCTGAGATGTGACATTAGGTTGTTAGTATGTGATCTTTCTGCCTTTTTAATGTAGGCATTTAAGGCTATGATCTTTCCACTTAGGACTGCCTTTGCTGCATCCCATAGATTTTGAAATCTTGTGTCCTTTTGTCATTCAGTTCAAGATTTCCATCTTAATTGAATCATTGACCTAAGGATCATCCAGCAGCAGGTTGTTTAATTTCCATGACTTTGTATAGATTTGAGTGTTTCTCTTGGAATAGATTTCTAGTTTTATTCCACTGTGGTCTGAGAAGATACATGGTATGATTTTGAATTTGCTGAGACTTGTTTTGTGGTCTAAGATATGATCAGTTTGGAAAACGTACCATGTGCTGATGAGAAGAATGTATATTCAATAGTTTGGGGGTAGAATGTTCTGTAAATGTCTATTAGGTTCATTTGTTCTAGAGTCCCATTTAAGTCCAGTGTTGCTTTATTGATTTTCTGCTTCTGTGATCTATCCAGTTCTGTCTGTGGGGTATTGAAGTCCATGGAAATTATGATGCTATTTTTTATTTCTGTGCATATATCTAGTAGAAATTTCTTTATGAATCTGGGAGTTTCTGTGTTAGGAACATATGTATTTATGATTGTTATTATGTCTTCTTGTTGAATTGTTCCCTTTACCATTATGTAATGACCATCTTTGCCATTTTTTACCATTGTTGGTTTCAAGTCTATTTTATCTGATATGAGAATGGCTATACCTGCTTGCTGTTGGTTTCTATTTTCAAGGACTATTTTTTTCCACCCCTTTACCTTTAGTCTATGCAAGTCCTTGTGAGTTAGGTATATTTCTTGGAGATGGCATTTTTAAGGGTTTTGTTTTTTTCATCCATTCAGCCAGTCTGTGTGTTTTAAGTGGGGCATTAAGGTGGTTCACATTCAGTGTTAGTGTTGATATGTGGGATACTCTTCAGTTCATCATGTTGGATGATACCTTCTTGTTTTGTTTTCCCTCTTGTGCTATTGTTTTATAAGCACAAGTTTATAAAATAAGTAAACTTTGGGGTGTTTTTACACTGGTGGATATCTATTATGCTGTTCTACATATAATTTAGTTTTGAGTATTTCCTGTAGGGCAGGTCTAGTAGTGACAAATTCCCTTAATGTTTCCTTGTCTGGGAAAGACTTTATTTCTCCTTCATTTATGAAACAGTTTTGCAGGATTGTACCATATTTCTCTGAGTTATTGTTCATTCTTCTTTATTCTTTTTTCTGCATCCTTGACTGACCGGGTTAGTTTGAAATCCTTATCTTCAAGCTCTGAGATTCTTTCTTCTGCTTGATCTAGCCTGTTTTGAAGCTTTCTGCTGTATTTTGAATTCCCTAAATGACTCTTTCATTTCTTTAAGTTTTGTTATAGCCTTTCTTATGTTGCCTATGTCTTTTGTGACTTTTTCATTTTTTTCATTCATGTCCTGAAATATTTTTTTGGCTTCTTTTTGTTGGTTTTCAACTTTCTCTTCAATCCCATTCATCTTATGTGCCGTCCATATTCTGAATTTCATTCCTGACATTTCAGCAATTCCATTTTGGTTGGGATCCATACTGTAGATCTATTGTGATACTTTGGGGGTGTCAAACTAGCTTGTTTTTTCATGTTGCCAGAATTCTTTTGCTGATTTCTTCTCATCTGAAACCTCTTCTCTCAGCTCAGGACAGATAGGTCTGCAGTGCACCTGTTCCCCTTTGCTGGGATCTCTCCTACTTAGTAAGGAGAGGTTCCTAGATGGCACTTTTGTGACCTACTCCAGAAGACTGACCCAGCAGGAAAGGGGCAGATGTACTGAGAGCCTGTAATTCAGCTGTTATGTGTTGTTTCATACCCTTGTGATTGTCATAATTCAAGCCAGTGCTGGATGATCTTTGTGTGGCATGGCGGGTTGTTCCCCAGGGTGCTATTGGAAACTCAGGTGGGGGGCTGGGCAAGTCCCTGTATACATAGGCTGGCATTTTGGGAGATTGTTCTGCCTATGTCTCCCTGCAGTGGCAGCTGAGCAAGGCTATTTAGGCAGTAGTCATGGGTGTCAGGGTTGTGGGTGTTCCCTCCACTTGGGTCAAAGTGTGATAGTGACTCGCAGCTAGTGGATCCCTGGAGGAGCTTAACCTGTGGGGGCAGTTCCCACCAGGAAGTGAGTGGGAGTCATGGGGGCGGGGACTCAGGGCTGGTTCATTGCATGGCTGGGGCTCTCCCCTTGCCCAGGTCCTGCCAAGGCAGTCACCATTGGATTTCTCAGGTGGTGTCAGTGGTGCCTGTTCTGCTCAAAATTCCAGTGAGGGGAAGGGGTGCTCAGCTCCCAGTCATGGGGTACACAAGAGTGTCCATTCTTCCTGCTCCCTTCATGGCATTGCTGGGGCAATGCAGAGGCAGCTGTAGCAAAGCCAAGCTCTGTGTAGACCAGGCACTCTAAAATCGAGAGCTCAGAATGGTGTCTGTTGCGGCAACCCAGGAACAGAAGCCACCAGGTTCCTGCTGTGCCCACTCTCTGGTGCGGTATCACTGTACAGACTCCAAGCAGCTCCATGATCAGTCCAGAGGTCTGCAATAATGGTACGGGTTCCCTCACAGCTCTGGCTGCCATGTCTCTGGGGGGAGCATGGAGCCTCAAGGCTTTCTCCTTCTGCCCTTCCCTCCCCCAGGTACCTTCTAATCTTGCTAAGTGGATCATTCTGTCTCCTTCTCCTTCACTCTGAATGTCCCCCATTCCCCATCCCACTCCAGTGATCCACAGTGCTCTCTCCAAAAAGGCCCATCTGTAGATAGTCATCCATCTTCAACTTTTGATCCTCTCCTTGAGAACAGCATGCACCTGCTGCTTCTAGTCTGCCATCTTGTCCCCCAATTTGTGTTTTAAGAGCAGAAATAGAGAATCCAAGGATTTTTGAAGAATAAATTGTCTTCAGGAATTTTGCTCCACTGCCAAGAGCCAAAAACATGCTCCCCTATGCAACAACCTCCTCTAATATATTTTTGATTCATTTATGGCTACATTTAACAAAACTTTGGTGTATTCTCATAAACATGCCCGCACACAAATATATAGAACTTATAAAACTACTACCATATTCTGTAATCTGTTTTTTCTCATTAATTATTATATTCATCTTTTTAGTTTAAAAATATTCATTGAAAATCTAGTTTTGATAACTATGGTGTTTCATTATATGGACTTACTCTGCTGTAATTTTATACAACTGTACCCTATTTTTAAATATCCAAATAGTTTTCCATTTCTTGGTATTAATGGTTACATGTCAATAAACATATTTTATAAAATTCTTGGTATACATCTCTTAGTATTTCTGTAGCTTTGTAGTAAGTTTTGAAAATGGGAAATGTAAGGCCTCCAATTTTGTTATTTTTCAAGACTGTTTTGGCCATTCTGGGTCTCTTGCATCTCCATACACATGTTATATAGGTTTTTTAAAAGTTACATGTTTTATATTTAAGTTTTGATCTATTTAAAATTTATTTTGGTGATTGACTCGAGGTAGGGATCTAACTTTATAATTTTCCCTAAGTAATTAATTTTCTCAGTTTCATTTAAACACTCTGACACTTTTGTTCTTACATAGTTTATTAAATAATATACCCTTTCTTCATTGATTTTAAATAAGGCCCTTATCAAATATTGAAATTATTAAATAAAGAAACCTTTAGTGGACTAAGAGGGCACTCTTTTACTTCATAAAACAAGTTTAATTTTACTCTACTGTACTGATTAATGAGCTCTTGCTAATACCAATGCCTTGAAAATTAAAACATTATCTGTGATATGTGTTAGGTTGGTTCATACGGAAGATTTACTTTCTCTCTCTTTTTCTCTTCTTCCAGAAATGAGGTTGACATATGTGCATGATGACTCAGAGAACCTTGCTGATGACTTTACAATCCAGTTGTCAGATGGGAAACATAAGATACTTAAAACCATTTCAGTGGAGGTCACTCCAGTTAATGATGAGAAACCAATGCTGACCAAGTAAGCTACCTGAAAAGAATCCCTTTCATATTTCTATGAAATTCTATGAAGTCTGGAATACTAGGTGTAAGTGTAGTGTGTGTCTCCCAAGGAAGCAAGTCTTCGATAGTTCCCGTCTATCACAACTGGTCCCTTCCACTCAGGTGCTTGGAACCTTTAGTGCAAATGTTAATATAATTTATCCTTAACAATTAGCCCATTAATTACTGATTTTCTTCTTAAAGTTCTCATTATTTGTAAAAAATGACAACATACAATATGGAATTAATAGTCTACTAAATATTTAAACACATGCATATACACACACACATTCCTGCACATACACACCGGGGTGCAGTTAATATATAGATGCAACTAAAGTATAATAATACTAACTGCAAACAGTCCTTACAATGGATTTGGTCAAACTTTTAACTAAGAATGACTAAGGGAAATATATCAACTCACTTCTTTCATTATCTTGGTACTTTTTGTATACCAGTCCTCTACTATGTATGCTGTTCCATACAGATCAACACCCCCTGCCACCTCATGTCAAAATGATCACTTTCTAAACTTCTGAGCTGATGTTATTGATTGTAAACTTTCTGTCTCTTTCTCTGCAGCTGCTCAGAGTTCAGCCATAGGGTACAGAGTCTCCATCAGTTAATTTCTATAGCTCCAGCCATTTCTTTTAGCACTGGCAGCTGTACAGAACTGTACAGAGTCTACACAAACTACAAAGCTTCAGGGGACCAACATTTCTCTATTGCTAGTGGTAGAAAAGCATCTGGTTCTTGTATTTCCTTGACGACACTACCTCTTTATTCAATGGTACAGCAGCAAGAGGCATCTTGTAGACAGTCTGGGTTTTTATCAGGAAGTGAACAATTTACCGAAAGCATATAAACCCCCAAAGTCTCTTCCACTCTGCAGAAAAGAGGGCCTTAAACAAGTCCCTCTCTATCTGCCACCTCTCCCTCTGTTTCCTGTGGGCCACTGGTAAGGTACTTAAAATACATTATGGGAAATACAGATGATAGTTTTTGGAGATTTCATCATAGACATCAGTTTGGCTGAAAGTATTAACTAGAAATTTCTATTTTCTATTCCCCAGCTGCAATGTTGGTTTGGTGTGACCTTGATTTATAAATATGAAAATATGAAGACTATCGCAGTATTATAGTACCTCTTTTCTGATTATCTCACTTTAAGAGGGAGGGGCAGGGCTGAAAACTGACATTTATTAAGTATTTATTATGCGACAGACACTAGATTAGATTCTGCCACATATATTATTTCATTAAATCCTCACCAAAATTGTGGGAAGTAGGTACTATCATCCTCACTGAGAAAAATTGAGACCAGAGAGGTGAAATAGCTGACCCCAGGCCTCACTCAACTCTGCTCACTCCGAAGGCCGTGTTTTTATGACTAAACTCCCTGAAATGGCTTCAGCTACAAGACCACCAAATTTTTGAAGGAAAATCTCCTTCAACACTGCTGCAAAATCCCTCCCTTTTCTTCCGTTCCTTCCTTCTCCCCTGTGGAGAAGAAGTAACATTCCCTTTCCTCTTCCGTATGTGTCCTCAGGTATGTCGCCTCTTGCCTCCTCCCAGACAGTGCTCCACTATTTTTCCCCTCCTGCATCTTCAGTCTCTCCCTTTTCATTCCTTCTGTTAACAAGACACAGGACAATATTAGTGGTTAAGAGAGCAGATGCTGGAGTCTCATTGACTCAGTTCAGCCACAACCAGCATTGTGACCTTGAACATATTACTTAACCTCTCTTTCCTCTTTGTTAACCTCTCCATAAGTGGGGATAATAATAATATCCCTTTCATAGGGTGGTTTCAAGGATAAAAATGAATTAAAATATGTGAAAGTACTTGAAAGGCTGGCTACTACATGGTAAATGCTCATAAATGTTAGTTATTATCATTATTGCAAGCAGGTATCCCGATTCTAAAAATACAAAAACAAACCAGTCTCCAATTCATTTCGCTGCCAAACTTTTTGGAAAAGTAGCTGGTGCTGCTTCTTCCATTTCTTCCCACTCTCTCCATTCTCCTCCACTTTATTAAAGGTGCTCCTTTAAAAGTTACCCGTGGCGTTCCCACCAAATCAAATGACTCTTCTCATCTCACTGGACCCCATTAGAGCATCTGGTTACAGCATTTAGGTGCTGCAGTAGATACTTTGTGTTCCCTGGGTCCCAGCCCTCAGCCCGTCTCTGAGTCAGTCGTGGTTGTGGTGGGATATGCCATGCACACTCTCGGTGCCCCACCTCGGGTGCCCACAGGGCATCGTCCCCCTTCTCCCTCAGGACTTTCATTCAGCCCATGTCCGGGCACCGCAGAGAGCACTCTGGGGAAAGCACTTAACCTTGGGAGCCAGTGGATAAGATAAATGCCCCAGCTTCCTCCATCAGAAGCACAGTTTGAGTCACATTTTACACACTTCCTCGAAAGATGCCCCTAGGATTGAGCCCCAATGGCCAAAAGCAGTAAAACATGCTTCGTTGTCTTTTTCTCCTTCTCTTTCTCACCTACGCCCTCTCTCCTGCTTCCTGGGATCACTTCCCAAATAAATTACCTGCACCACTGTCCTTGTCCCAGGGTCCTTTTTAGGGTCACCCAGATTATGACACACTTTGTCCTCTCTTGACTTCTCTTACATAAAATTCTGGGACTTTTTTCCTATAAAACTCCTTATCTTCATCATATTGGCTTCCTGTTTTGATTAATCTTTCTATTAATGGCACCACTAATCTCCATAAACCCTTACCCAGTGAGTTCGTTAGCTTTCTTGAATAATGGCATGAATATTCTTCAGTAAAGAGGTCAACAGAAGTCACCTCCCACTACTAGGGAAGATGTCAGTCCTGGGCAGCAAGAAACTCACCTTGGGTAAAAGTGGTTGGAACTGAGGTGTTTAGTCTTTGGTGTCTCAGCAAAGGAGTGGAAGACTGTTGATGCCTATTGCTGGTACTCAAATGTCCCTTACAAGAATCCCAAGAAATTCAGATATCCCAGTTTTTCTCAGAAAAAGCTGTCAAGTTGAATAGAGTTAAGCCATGTGTGATGACCGCACCTGAGAGCTAGAAACACAGGTGGAAAGAAATCCCTCCCTCCTTTTGGTGAGAACAGAGGAAATGGCCATATAGGCTGTGAGAGCAGCAGCCCAGAGAGGACGTGCAAAACCCACAGCAGCAGTGGCTGTAGTCGAGGCGCTGCCGCTTCAGCCCACTGTTGTAGGTGCCAGGAGCTGAGCGGGCAGCTGAAGCACTGGGAAAAGATGAATCTAAAACACACAGTGCCCAGAACATTATTTGGGAGAGGAAGAGTGACTTAGAGGGCCAGAGATTGCCTAGAGATCACCAAACTCAGAGTATTATATGATAAGGAGTTACTGAAACCTGTAGATAAGTCACTGAATCTCTTCAGGTAAGTTTCTGTCTGTAAAATCAGAACGACTGTAACTGGCCCACTTACTTCATGAAGCTGTTGTTGTGAGTGTCAAATGAAATACTGGAAACAAAATCATTTTGCAAAATAAATTATGACTTATAAAACTATTAAGTTCTATACATGTAAGTAATTAGAAATATCTGATTACCTCATACCGTATTCACTGTTGCTGACTCATTGTGTAAACTGGAAGGAGAGCCTATTTCATGTGTCTGACTAATCATCTTCAGTACTTAGGACACTGAAGAGCATTCCTTAATTGTCGAAGGTTGGGAACTGTGGCAGTCAATATAATTGTCCCTGCCAAAGTGGTACCTTCTATTTTCGTATCAACGCAGGCATTTTCCTTTTCACAGGAAGGCTGAAATTGCAGTGAATATGGGTGAAACTCGTATTATTTCTAGTGCTATTCTTTCAGCCATCGATGAAGACTCACCCAGGGAGAAGATTTACTATTTATTTGAAAGGCTTCCCCAAAATGGGCAACTTCAACTTAAGGTTAGTGGCCTTTTTACCTTTATTTTTCAAAACTTAATGTAGTAGGTATAAATTTTTCTCAATATACATGTTTCTATAATTGAATTTATTCTCTAACAGCCATATTTTTGCCCAGAAGTAGAAAATTTAATTTTCCCAGCCCAGGTCAACTCATGCTGTTCAAATTTTCTTAGTCAACTTGGGGTAAATTGAACCAATAGTAAGGTTCTTCATTGCTCCCTCCCTATAGAGACTGTCCCTAAATTCTGAAGGAAGAATAAAACAAATTGTCTGGTTTCTGAGTAGAATCTAGCATCTTTGAGATATCTTCATTCCTGCCAGAGTTTTGACTTGGGATCCATGTAACATTCATCTTTAGCATCCATCATCTCAACCATGAAACTCCTTCAGGTCTACAATCTACCTCTCTCTGTTCTCTCTCTCTCTCTCTCTCTCTTCCTCTCTCTCTCTCTCCCTCTCTCTCAGCTAAGTTCTAGATCATTCTCAGGGACAATTTGATTATTCTTTCATGATAGTCAGGCCTAGGGAAATTTGGAGGGGCTATGTCTAGCTCCTTCTGCCTGTAATGGTTCCTGTTAAGACATTATCTGAGGCCGGGAGCAGTGGCTCACGCCTGTAATCCTAGCACTCTGGGAGGCTGAGGTGGGAAGATGGCTTGAGGTCAAAAGTTTGAGACCAGCCTGAGCAAGTGCGAGACCCTACTAAAAACAGAAAAAAAAATTAGCCAGTCAACTAAAAATAGAAAAAAAAAAATTAGCCAGGCATGGTGGCTCGTGCCTGTAGTCCCAGCTACTCGGTCCGGAGTCTGAGGCAGGAGGATCGCTTGAGCCCAGGAGTTTGAGGTTGCTGTGAATGAGGCTGACACCACAGCACTCACTCTAGCCCAGGCAACAAAGTGACACTCTGTCTCAAAAAAAAAAAAAGAGACATTATCTGAGTATTATCACCTCCTGCCTTCTCAATGCTCCACTGCAGTGAGGAGCTTTCTTGTTTTTCTCCCAATTCTCATTTTCCTCCCTGAGCAGGGACAATCCTTACCTTTTCACCAGGGAGACAGATTACTCAGCAAATGACATACACATTGTTCTGTAGTCTGCCTGAGATGCACTTCAAAGTGGAAAGGCTCGTGCCCTTATTCTGTAATCTTACTTCCCCTTGCGACACCGTAGCCCTCATGTTAAGGCGTGGATGGGCAAAGTCTTGAACCAAAAAGTAAGCATGGAGGAAACTTTATGTGGGGGGGTCATCCCACCTACGAACATCTGTCAGATTTTAGCAATTGCCACATTTGAATTCAATAAACTGTATGATGTAATAAATTAACATTCCTGGATTTGTGTATGTTGTAGAAATTACTTATTTTAATGGAAAGCAAATAAGCATGGAAACATTAAGGGATACCAGGGGTAAGATCAACTGGACTTTACTGCTAACTCTTCCAATAGCTTGCTTTGTGGTCTGATAATACCTCCTTGTTTCATGTTAGTCCTGGAATAGCAAAATTTCAGTCTGATTTAGACTGTGCGCATGATGCCCAGAGATTAGCCCAACACAAGTTATAGATCAGTCACTTGAGAAGGTCCATTGAGAAATCAGTCAAAATGTCTATTTGAATGGTGGATTAAGACTAGCAACCACAACCACCAGCCATCCCCAATGTGATTACTTGACGGAATGCTTAACTTTTAGTCAATGTAGGCACAGTCCTAGAAAAGCAGCGAGGATTCTTTCTGTGTGGAACAGCTTGGTTGTCTGCCATAGACTGTAGGCACCATAGAGAATCAGAGTGAAGAGCAATCACTGATTTAAATTGAGGTACAGCTGTGTCCTTATTTCATTTCAAAGAGTAATGAAGCAGAAATGCAGTGAAAGCTCACACATTTGGGTGGCTTGGGAACTGGACTGTTTTGGATATGTGCAAATCCAGATGGGTCCAGGTTCCCAGCATGGCTCCACGCAGTTCCCTCCCGGCTCCCTCGCGGCACCCCGCGTCTTTCTGAGACCAGGCGACCGGGACTCCTGGCCTCCTGGACTCTCTCAGGGCTGTTATTTTCTTGTTGACTTTTCTTAGTTTTCCTCACCTTGAGTCTGAATTGTCTTTTCTTCCTCTTTTTGGGTCTTCCAATGATTCCATCAAGTCAAACTCACGTTTGGAGGTGCAAGCGAGGAATTAGATGGAGATGAGACAGCGCAAAAGATTTCTTCTGTATTTACTAATACTTTTTCAGACAAGATTACAAAGGGAAAAGGTTAAATAGAATTGCTGACTGTCCAGTTTGAAACCTGAAAGAGGATCTGTTTTAAAAATTGAATTTGCAAATAGATCTCATGATGAAAACCAACACTGAGCTTAATTATTATGATATAATTCACGTTCATCCAGTAAGCACGGGGGTGGAACACAAGTCTACAAACATCAGATAGGCAAAAATATTAAAGGGAAAGAAATTTCATCAAGTAGAATGACATAAAGGGAGGTGGTAACACAAGGGGCAGAGACGAGAACAAGCAGCTCTTTTGCCTGGAACTGGGAGTCTCTGGAATAACGTATCAAGAGAAATAAAAAGAAAATGATTTAAATTTCTGTTTTAGTCTCTTACTCCAGACAGAAAAAGAGCAGAATAATATCATATGATAAATTTTAAGATGACATTTTTCTTGAATTATGTCAAATGACATTTTTTGAGCTATTCCTAGGGAAAGCTGTGTACCTTAAGAGAATATTAATAGGATTATTAATATGATGCAGATTTATTATTACATTTTCTAATACTCTCAGTTGTCAGCCAACTCCCTCAGCATAAGAACCTTTTTAAATTTAAAATGCCACAATTTCTGAACCAAGTTTTGTAATGTTGGCTTACTTTTAGAAGATTCTGATAAAAATAATATATGATATTTACAGTTTATATGTTTTGCAGACTTAGGATAGAAATGATATAAGCAAGAGAGTGATAGTGATTCTGATCATTTTCTTTGGGCTTTAGTAAGGCCAGAAAATGTACTGGAGAATAAATGTCTCCATTCTATTTCTGTTTTATCTATTTCAGATAAGACCAGTAACAAATCATTTTGAAAAAAAAAAAAATAGATTTGATTAGTTGTCCAATGATGTGAACTGAAAAAAAAGGAAACTCTAAAGCAAACACATTTAATTTCTAAAAAACCCATTCCAGCAGCTCGATTACCCACCTGCTCTCATTAATTGGAGTATTTAATCAGCTATGATTGCTTATGATAAATACCTTGGAAGTAGCAATGCTGTTGTATTGCCCCATGACTTTGTCAAAAACCCTTTGGTTGAAGCTAGTTTTTTCCCAAGGTCTTGAATTATTTTAATATATTTCTTTGAAAAAAATGTAAAATGACAAAATATGTCTGGGATTTCCCTGAAATATCATTTCTATTGGAGGTTTTCAGGGGATATGGAAAGTGTTCACTAACATGGCTTGGGGGAAAAAAGCCATGGGCAGCTGACTAATTCTGGCACCTTTCAGATAGGGAGGGACTGGGTCCCTCTCCACCCTGGCATGAAATGCACTCAGGAAGAAGTGGATCTGAACTTGCTGAGATACACACACACCGGAGCAATGGCTTCCCAGAATCGAGATAGCTTCACCTTCTACCTTTGGGATGGCGACAACAGGTCACCTGCTTTTGACTGTCATATCACCATCAAGGACATGGGAAAAGGTAAAGATATGTCTACCAAAGTTTATTGGGATTGATTTTTATAACCAGAAGTGAGCTGGTATAAGTACGCATGTGTTTCTTTTTCCCTCCCTCCTTTTTTTTCTTCCTTCCATCCTTCATCCCTGAAATTCTGTCATTTATATTTAGATCCTTGGGCTCCTCACCTGCTTTGCCTGGGATCTATGAGGTTCACGAGAGTAGCCAATCCATTTGTTATTTTCAGTATTTCAAAAAGCCTGTTGGAAATTCAGCCCTGCTTACAATGTGGCTGCACAGGCTACTTAAACTGTTAGGGATTTTTGCTTTATGTAAGATCTTACCAAAATGATGTAATAACTCTCTTCAGGAAGTGATCTATCACTTAAGAATGGAGTTTCAAAGAACAAATATTTCTAGTATCATGATAAAAAATACATTTTAAAATTTAAAAAATAATAAAAAGGAACTTTTTCATTGAAAAAGCTGTAAGTTGCTGCTCTTTTCACTTCGAAGGTGCTAATGTACACTCCTTGGGGGCAAAGGAAAACCCTGTAAGATAGTAAGCTTCTCTTGGATTAATCAAACAGAATCATTTGTAGAACACAATTCATCAACTTATAAATAGTGGACAGAGGAGAGTTTTAAAAACAAGGCTCATCAAGGGAGACTTTAAGCCCTTGATGCTCAGCTATCACTAGCCCATAATTTTGCTGATAGCTTATGTGAGGAGGGTAGGGATCATAGCTCATTCATCTGTATAGTCCTAGCATCTAGATAGTTCCAGAACCAACCATAGTCTTAGATCCTCAGTACATGCTTAATTGACTGAATGCTTCTTTCTTTTTTCTTTTTTTGCCTTGGCTGCCAGGAAGCTCAGAGTTAAATTGGATGCTTAAATTCAATTTAAAAAAATCTGACTTCATGTGTGGCAGAATTACAGTTGTCCTAAAATTTTTTAAAAATTTCAGTCAGGTTGATTTATCTTGAGATGCTTATTTTGGGCTGTATAATAATATATTTTATTTGCTTATTTCCTGGCTGTAAGCTGTATTCCTTGAAGATGTCTAATAAGTAACTTTCAGATAAGATAGATGTTACATGACACATTTATTTCTCTCTGCAAAAAATATGTCCATCATAAGTCTATTTCCAGGCAAAATGTGATAGAATTAATATGTTAGGACAGACAACTGTTTTAAGGTAGGCTGTCTTCTCATTGGCTTAGCACATGGTTTCACAGTGCTGGAGAAGAGCTCTGTTCCACAGTCATCTGGGGACTCTTGTTGTCTAGACAGTCCCCATCCCTGAAGGCCTTGGAGTCACTCAGGACTTGAGATGTAGAGGAAAATTAGAGGATTTTATGGACAAGGCTCAAAGGTGGTGGACCTCTCTGGTACGTGAGAGGTGAATGGCCGGGTCACGGTCACGTGCCACATTAAGGGAGGCTGCGCTTGGAAGTTTGAACTGTGCCTCCAGGAAAAGAGAAATAAGGCCGGCCAGTGCCTTACCAGACTCCACCGCAATTGACATGTGATCATGTTCTAAAAGGATTTATGAAAAACTATTTCATGTAGATACATTAACCTATTAACCTTTTCAAAAGTTCAGAAATTTTCCTCTTTGTTTTTTTCACATAGTGATGTTTTATCACTGTATCCTGGTTTGAATTTTTTTTTTTTAATTAGCATGAGTTTTCTTAGGTTGCTGCATAACTTTGTAACCATAATTATCTCTAAATAAAGCTATAATGAATAGTTACATTTAATCATACCTTAATATTGAGCATTTGGATTATTTCCATTTGGGAACTATTATAAATAACATCAACCCTTCTGGTTCTGTTGTGTCTTCTGATTTGCACAGTTGCAAAAACAATGTGGAGATCTTTCAGAGAAGTTTAGGAGGACATGGTCTAAAGTTGATCCTAACCCATACTCCGCCCTCACAGTGCTGAAAATTGCATTGTGGCATGAGGCAGTTGCTCATCCTCCCCTCAGTCCCATTTTCTGCTCCCTGTGGAACCTCTCGTGGGTGCTTTTTTGTTTCTCTGGCCTTGTTCATTCTTCTTACTTGTTTGGTGTATTAATAATTCACCCTGTAGCATCTGTGCCATCTGTGCTTAAATTTAAGATGGTCTTTGACTCTATGTAGATACTATCAAGTCACATAACATTTTGAAATAAATACATGGTAAAGCAAAAAAACCAATTCAGTCATTTAAAACAGGGTTTCCCAATCTTGGCACTGTTGACGTTTGGGGATGGATAATTCCTTGTTGTAAGGGACTTCCTTATGCATTGCAGAATGTTTAGCAGCATCCCAGGCCTCTACCCTCTAGATGCAAGTATTAATAGCAACCCCCAGTTATGACAACCAATCATATGTCCAGACATTGCCAAATGTCCCCGGGGCGGGGGTGGGGGTGGTGGCAAAATTGCCCTTCATTAAGAACCACTGGTTAAAATTATACCACCTTCATGTTTTGTTTTCATTTCTTGTTTCCTTATGAGACTGAATATCTTTTCAAAATTTTATTGGCCATTTGTAATTTTTTAATTCAGAAATGGCTTGACATTTACTTCACATATTTTCCTTTTTGGATGTTCACTCTTAGTATTGATTCATAAGAACTCCCTTAAAGAGAGGAAGCAAAATAACACAGTATTTAAGAGCTTGTGCTCTTGAGTTAAGATGACTTGAGTACAAATTCTTGCCCCACAATTTATTAACTGTGTGACCATTAGCAGGTTAGTTAGCATTTCTACACCTTAGCTTCCTCATTTATAATCTGGGGAATATGACAATAGTTATACTTTACAGGATTGCTGTGAATATGCAAGCGCCCTTAGATCTGTGCCTGACACAAAGTTGAAGGTCCACGTTGTAGATATTAACATTTTTCAATGGACCTCGGGTGAATGAAATTGAATTATAGTCTCTAGTTTGTAAAACTGCATCATCGGCTCAGGTGTGACCCAATTCTCTCTTGCTCATTCATATACTCACTCACACATTTTTAAAAACTGTGGTAAAATATGCATAACACAAAATGTACCATATTAACCATTTTTAAGTGTACAGTTCAGTAGTGTTAAATGTATTCATATTTTTGTACATCCAATCCCCAAAACTTTTTCATCTTGCAAAACTAAAACTCTATGCCCCTTAGATAACTGCTCCCGATTCCCCGTTGCCCTAGCTCCTGGCAAACACCATTCTGTGTTCTGTTTCTATGAGTTGGACTACTCTAGGTACTTCATACAAGTGGAATCCTACAGTATATATCTTTTCATGACTGGCTTATTTCACTTAGCATAATGCCCTCAAGGTTCATCCACATCGTAGCATGTGCCAGAATTCCCTCCCTTTTTAAGGCTGAATAATATTCCATTGCATGTGTATAGTACATTTTGTTTATCCATTCTTCAAGTGCTCCAAGAAGGAGCACTTGGGTTGCTTCCATCTCTTGGCTATTGTGAATAATCCTGCTATAAACATGCTTGTATAAACGTATTTCTTTCTAAAATATATGAAGAACAGTTGTGCAACCACCACAAAATTCAAGGGTTGGAATATTAACAATAGTAGATACCTTCCTACATTCTCTGCTCACCCTCCAGAGAAAACCACCATCTTGAATTTTGTATTATTTTCTTACTTTTGTTTATAGTTTTCTCACCTTGCTCACATAACTAATAAATGTTGATAAATCACATTTGTGTTGTTGCATGAAGCTGTAGTTCATCTGTTTTGCTACTGTATGAAATCCATTGTATGAATAGACCACAGTTTGTATATACATTCACCTACTGAAAAGGTATTTTGGGTTGTCTCCAGTGTTTTCAATTACAATGGACCACCGATTGCAAGGACCACTTTGATACGTGTCTCCTGGAGTACAAGTGCAAGTGTTTCTTTCAAGTACATAGCTAGGGTGGAATCCCAAGGTGTATGTGAATATCCAATGCTTTACAAATTAATGCCAAATTGTGTACCAATTTATATTCTTCTCTAGAACTGTATGCAAGATTTTCTTGTTCTACATCCTCTTCAACACTTAGTACAGTCAGACTTCTACATCTTTGCCAATCAAAGACTTACGAGATGGCAACTTACTGTGATCTTGTTTGTATTTCCACAATCGTTAATGAGATTGAGCACTTTTTATATCTTTGTTGGGTACATGTGTATCCTCTTCTGTGAAGTATCTGTTTATGTCTTTCGCCTAATTCTTTTATTAATAATAGTTGTATAAACGTTTCTATGTCATGTTAGTTTTCATTTTTGCAGTTTGACCTTTGTCTTCTACCTTTGCTGGGGACATTATATATTTTTAAATGTGATTCTTGACTACAACCTCTTCTGCCACACAGGTGATATCGTCATCCTTACAAAACCACTGGTGGTGTCTAAAGGTGACAGAGGTTTCTTGACAACCACCATTCTCCTGGCTGTGGATGGAACAGACAAGCCTGAGGAGCTGCTCTATGTTATCACCTCCCCGCCGCGACATGGCCAGTTGGAATATGTTCGCTACCCTGGAGTCCCCATTACAAGCTTCAGCCAAATGGACGTAGCAGGGCAGATGGTTTGCTACATACATAAGGGCAAGGCCGCTGTCCCGAGTGACACGTTCAGGTGAGCCCCATGGAAACTTTTCTGACCCCCTTCCTTGGATTAATACTTAGAAAGAGAAAAGGCCAGGAATGGTGGCTCACATCTGTAATCCTAGCACTTTGGGAGGCCGAAGTGGGAGGATCAATCGCTTAAGGCCAGGAGACCAGGCTGAGCAAGAGCGAGATCCCATCTCTGCAAAAAATAGAAAAACTAGCCAGGCATTTAGTCCCAGCTACTTGGGAGACTGAGGGAGTCGTATTGCTTGAGCCCAGGAGTTTGAGGTTGCAGTGAGTTATGATGATGCCACTGCACCCTAGCCTGGCCAACACAGTGAGACCCTATCTCAAAAAAAGAAAAAGAAAAAGAAAAAGAAAGTGAAAAGGAGATATGTTAATGTATTGTACTATAGTAATCATTTTATAAAATATACATATATCTCATAACATCATGTTGTATAGCTTAAGTATATATAATAAAATTTATTTTTTAAAAAAAGGGGAGAAAAATGAATCCTTTTCCAGCTCTGGTATAGCTGTGCTTTCTTCTACTGCCTAGAAGGTGCTCAATTTAAATGACAGGAGCAAAGCAAGACATTGGGGCCTGTCATTGAGAAATGAATGCAGCAAGCAGACCTAAATACAAGCCCTTTCATGAGGAGAAATGTGAAGAGCTGAGGGTCCCAGCTAAGGATAGACGTAGAAAAGTCATTTCCCTCTTTGGAGTATGTTTGCCTATCTGAGGAAAAGGCATTTATTAGTAAACATTGGGCATAAGCTGACACTGCCTTTTGACACAATGTGTTCCAGTAACTGTATCATAAATCATGTTGTCATAAAGTGGATCATATGTCCCCACAGAAATGATGGTGTGATTGGGGGCTGTGCACCTGGTCAAGGATTCTGTATCAAATAAATCACTGGAATGAATAACAGTCTGGTGAAAAGGCAAAGATACAACATTAATGAAAGTCTACATTCATTTAAAATGTGGAAATTTGTTTCAAGTCACATAAAGCAAGAGCAACTCTAGAAGATCTATAATCTAGCAGTTCTCAAAGCTGGCCAAACTTAAGGCCCTTAATAGAAATACAGATCCTAGGCCAGGGAGAGGAAGAGGAAATGTCAGACCAGACTTTGAGGGAACCGTGGTATATGGTCCAATTTTGAGTTTTACTGATTAAGAAGACCCTGAGAACATTGATTTGTCTGCCATACACTCAGGCTTCTGGCCCCTGGGATACAATTTTCACCATGTCACAATACAACCTTCTAAAGAGTGCTATAACATAACATAAATGGAGCATACTCCTATATTATTCAATGGGTTCCCACAAACTATCCAGTATCACCAATACACCCATATTCAAATACCTACCGCTCTCCTCTCTCATACATTTTGCCTATCTAAACCCAGTATGTCTGCTATGATAAACACTGTTTAAAGGTCAGCAAAGATTACTTTGTTTGCTTTTTTAGCATTTTAAATAATTTCTGAGAGCTGATTTGAATAGTCCAACTCTTAAACAAAAAATCCAGGAAAGCTGAACTGAAACCATCTTTTGTGTCTTGATAAATGTCCCTCAACAAGCAGATAACCATTTAATTGATCAGTATCTTTACCAATATCTTTACCAATTCAGTGCTTGAGTGTTGCTAGGCATTAATTAAAACATTAAGAGTAGGGATTCCTTTCTGAGCTGGTTCTGTTGTTGGAGAAGTAGTATGGTGTCGCTGTTAAGGAAATTACTCACAAGTCTGTGGCCTTCATCAAGTTATACAAGCTCCTGGGCTTGTTTCTTCTTCAGTGAAATGAAATGATGCTCACAGCACCTGCCTCCCAGGGTTGTTGGGAGGTTTAAATGAGCTTAGGCATGTAAAGTACTTAAAATGATATCTGGCACGTAGGAAGAACTAAATCGGTATTAGCTGCTAAATCAGTATTACTATTACTGTTATCATTATTTATTACATTCTTTCCTCGGCCCCTTCTTACTGCTGATCTTTATTAACACCAAGCATGATCGTGAAGGAGGAAAGAAGTTTCAGAGAAGAGCAACGGTTATTCTTCTTTTTCTGTTTGCTAATGAAGGCTGGGTGCTTCTTGGCTTAGTACACGTGTATCTGATCCAGGGCTTTTAATTTTACACTTGTTTCTGGAACTTCTTGCTGCTCTACCTTCCTGCTTCCCTCAGTCAATGCCCACAGGACAGTCTGCTGAAGACATTAATGACTGTATTGGAGAAACCAGTGACCTTGCTGGAGAAGCCAAAGAATGAATGTGTAAAGATATTGAGAAATGAAGGTTAGGTACTAATCAGATGCTGAGACTAAAAAACAAAATCTCCCTGTGTCAGGATTGGTGATACTGTAAAAATTTCCTCATTTGCATCCAGAGAAAGTCATATAAGATGGCATTTTGGAAATCACTCATCCCAGGAATTTCTACATTTCTAGATCCTCAGAGAATTACCTGGGAGAATTACAAAATACTAATTCTTGCGCCTCACCCGAGAGAGGCAACTTTGGTAAGTCCAGTCTCGGGCCCAGATCTGTACTTTAAGAAGCTTTCCAGGCAATTCTTGATGCAGTCAGGACTAGCACTCACGGATCTGGTCCAGTCCATTGTTCTAAGTGTGTTCTGAGGAGCCTTGAGAACTTGTGGAAGCCCTCCTGGGGCCTCCCGGAGACAGAAAATGAAGAGCTAAATTGGTGGGGTTCTGGGGACTTGAGACAAATGTATTGATCTTTGTTCTGTTTTGGGTTTTTTTTTTTTTTTTGACACTTTGTTTTCTAGTTTTTTTTGCACACTGGGCTTCTGGGCAAGGTTTTCTTTTAGCAAAAAGGCTTCGGTACCTTAGCAGGTGGTGCTAATATGTCTTTAACAGCTCTTCCTATTTACTGTGTTCTCTTTTAAACAAAGAGAGTACAGGCCTCAGGTGGCAAGCCATTGGGCAACAATATCTAGCTAGAATTAAAAACCCTACTTTCTTATATTTATTTTTGTAGTATTCATGGTAATTAAGTTTTTAGTATTTAAAACTTTCAATTCTAGTAGTTAAAAAGTCTCCTTTTAAGTACATTTAAGTAAAAAAGTGAATTGATATAAAGCAAAATAGTAAGTAATGAGTACAAGTAGTACAGGCACATGGCAAAAATGATGACGGTGGTGTTTGAATGACTTAAGATTAGGAAACAGGGCCATAGGGAGAAAACGAACAACAAAGGTTGAAAAGCATTGATTTGGCCCAATCTCTTCATTTACACGTAGGAAAGCTAGTATTGCTTGAACATCTGCAATGCATCAGGCAGTGTACCAGACTCTTTTTTGTATGTTAAGCCTTAAGCCTTAAACCACCACCTTGAGAGAGATGTGGTTGTTCCCATTTTATGCGTGAGAAAACCAAGGTTCCAAGAGGCAAAAGAAGTCACCTAAATCGACATAACTGAATCGTCACTGAATCTGGGGCTGAGAGCTCATTTCCAGTGGAGAATTCTTTCCATTATACCTTGTTTTACCAAAAAATTGCAGAGAAAATGCATTTGTGCAAAGGAACCTCCTCAATGTGTCATTCTGATATTTGGCCAGCAGTTTTGCATATTTATAATGGAAGAGCCTAGCATCTGCCCAAGACCTGCATTTTAATCTTGTCATTTCTCTAACCCAATCGTGGACTGCTGTGTTGTTTGTCAAGTGGAGCTACACCAAAGCTGAAAGCCTGTTTTAATGAAAGTGTGATCATGGTGCTTTTTAAAAATTAAATATATGCAACCAATCTAATCACCTAAATTTATGTTGCTTGCTGTTAAATTTGGCAAGGAATTTGGCTGGGTAGAAGAGATAAATTCTGTGGCAGAGGATTTTTTCCCCCTCTCCCTTTTTAATGTAAGATACGGCAGCATTAATTAAACAGGGGGTTTAATAGTCAGATTTTACCTTCTGCAAAAATATTTTGTGAATCATAAATTTCTCCTGCATTGTTTGGTGCTGCTGGCCTGGAAGAAAGATTTGGCAGCATGTTCTAGGACAGATGACACCAAGTGATTAGCAAGCTGACTTCAGCTGCTGGCAGCCGGGCACTAAAAGAACATGCTAATGTCCTCCATTTTGACATGCCGGCTGGACTTTTTTTTTTTTTCTGAGGAGCTGGCGCTATTTATGATTCCATTTTTATCTTTTAAATGCCATGACAGATGGCAGATTCTTCAGCCAACTCTATTGCCAGGAAATGCAGAAAGCTTGAAAGCACCGTGATAATGGTGAAATCAGACCAGTCAGGCACCCCTGACAAATCTGAGACTCATTCCCCAAATTTCATGAGAATGGTGGTCATCTTGGCTGCATCCCTTCTCAGGAGGTTGTAATAAGAGAAATTAAACAAAATAGACCCACGGAAGGAGCTGCTACCTCGATACCACCAGCTTCTTCACCTCAGAGTGGATACCAACGTAGCGAAGGCACTGTTGTTTCAAATCTTTATGACATATTTGGAGGCTTTTTGAGGGAGGGGGAGCATTTGGAAGATCATCTGGTCAACTTCTGCAGACATGAGCAGCAGTGACCTTGCTTCACTTGCCTTGCTGGCTTTATTTTGACTGGGAACCCAACCATAACCATTCACTCTGTCTCTCTCTCTGGCAATGTTTTTTTTTTATTTGCCTGTGAGTGGTTTACATTGTTACTTGTGAAAGTGGAATGACGTATTTGATCCAGTCATGTTTAGAAATTGCATCTTTTTTCACTCCTGGCTTATTAGCTTTAGGTCAGTGCAGACAGCTGCCTCGGTGTCCCAGCTGGGAACAGTGGCCTCAGTAAACATATTTCTTGCTCCTCTGTGGTCTCTGGTCTGCTTGCCCCCATGCCCATCTGTCTGATGGCAGACTGCCTATTTCCAATGTGGTTGGATCCCAGTCATCAGGCAGGGAGGAGTTTGAGGTGGACAGCCTGGATCATGAGACAACCTCAGTGTCCTCACAGAGGTCACGCACGCATAGAGTAAATGTGGCCATCCTGAGACTGAACTTTGAGGACCCTATCAGGCAATTTTGGAATTCAGTCTCCAGAGAAGAAAGTCAGAATCTTTAATGATGGCCGCTCTGACGGAGCTGCTGGAGCTCCCGGGAGCTCACTTTCAACCCTGTCGCTCCTGATCCCATCTCTCTCCCCCTTGCCCCTTCGTTCTTCTTCCTTCTTCACTGATGTTTGACAGACTTTTAATGGGGCACAAAGTCTAACCCCACAGTTACTGATAATACTAATAATACGTGACCTTTGGCTTTCATTTGTACTAGACTATCAACGGCTGATTTAAAACTCTCCCCATTTGATACGGGGACCTGGTAGGGAATAGAGAACTACTTTATTTGTAAAACAGGGTAGAATGAGAGGTGGGAAACATATTTCTGGAGGGGTAAAGTGGAAAAGGGAGAACTTGGAGGCACTGGTGAACGCCTGGCCTTCTTTTTATTTTACCTTGAATCAGATGATAGAATCTAGGAGGGAATATAAAAAAGTAACAGGAAAACAACAGAATAAGGACGTAATTCCATGAAAGGCTTTGCCTGAGACATAGAGCCTAATTTTTATGCCTAAAAATGCATATCACTTGAACTTTGACTGTGAAGGTGGCTAAATTAAAAAGTTTGAAGAACACACAGACACTTTTCTAGGTGCAATTCTGTTTTTCTTTTTTATAAATAACTAATTTTGCAAACACTTCATGATTCAGCAATGAAATTGCCCAATTTGCTTAGAATATAATTGATCAAAGGTTTAGAATTACAAAAGGAAAACTGACCGGTTTGTTTTAAGGAAACTGTGATTTTGCTCCATCTAAAATTCTAAAGATAATTTAATACCCTGATTCAAACTGTAAAAAAGATGCTGTGAAAAAAGAGTAGGTTCCATTTGTTACAAGTCCAGGTGTATCCAATGTCAAAATTTCCTTTATTTGTTATATTTCACTTAGCAATTTTAATTTTTTGGACATAAATTCCTTGTCTTTGCATCACATCGAATTTTCCCTGTAGGTAGTCTGATTGATTAGATAATTAGAAAGCTCAAAAACTTGATCCTAGCTTTCAAAGCAAGATCTGTCGTCAGCTAAACTCATCTCCCTTCGTGTCCAGCTGTTCCTCTCCCCGAGTCCTTTGCGCAGACAGGGCTTGATCCTTGCACCCCCACAACCTGGTTCAGGTTCCTCCATGGTCAAAGTAAAGCATCAACTCTCAAATCTTGAAGAAACCTTGAAGAACAAGACACATTTCACAAAGAATAAAAAAGTTGTTAGTCAAATTTGCCAGATTAATAAAATAAATATCCTCATACCTTCCCTAATGAAAAAAGCATGCCCTCCAAAGGAAATTTTTATATAGTTTTTATTTCACAAAAACATTACTTTTAGCAATTTTTGCATCACTGGAATATGAGTGTATCCTCCATGAATATTTCTACCAACTGTGGTGGATTGAGAGAAGTGAATGGCACAGCTCTACAATTACTTCTAAGTACATTTCTTTGGTGTATGGTGAATTTGTCAATCCTACTTGATAATAGTGATTTCCTAACCTTTTGGAGTTTTAATATTGCATCTTTTTTGCATCATTACATGATACTCTTAATTATTCTTAAAATAAAAATTATATATTGAAATTTTGTAAAGATCATTTAAATTAGTGTTATTGTGAGATTGGCTGTACCAGGTAGAATGCAATTTAGTGATCAATATAATCAAAAGCATATTATGTCTATTGGATGTCGGGCAGTGGGGAGGGGAGGAGGGGAGGAGGGGACGGGTATAGTTTTGCAATGGTGCTTAGGTGCCATAATTCTTTTGTGGTGGATTGCTAAAGCAACATTTATTAAAAACTCTGCAAGAGCAGAGGGTGTAGGATCAAAAGACCTGGGTTCTAGTCCCAGCTCTAGCTACTATTATACCTTCCTTATGATCTTCCATGAAATTTCTGAACATTCTTTGAAGCAAGGAAATAATCCCTGTCTAGCGTAACTCCCACATATTTTATAAGAAACAAATGTAGAAGCATGTGTAAACTGTAAGAGATTAGAGCCTCATAACATTTTAGAGTTGGATGATACTTAACGATCATCTGATCCATCCTTTCATTTTATAGAAGAGTGAGAATGAGGTCCAGAAAGGGGAGATGAGTTAGGTAAAATTACATGGCTGAGAAATGCGGTCCACCCTTAAGAAATTTACCATGAAAACATGAATAGAATGAATTAGCCAAATTCAGCCTATTCAATATTTTATTGGCCTCCCAATTATCAGTCTTAAAAGTTTAGCTTATTGCATTCCTAGGAAGGCTATACAATTGCAAAATTATAAATAAATAAAAGGAGTATGCTCTTTAAACTCATATATAGTGTAATGGGTCTAATTGAATGGGCAATTCCTGTTTGGCGCAAGGAACTACATTGAACACTGACAAGGCTGAGAAATATCATTGGCAGAGTTTCCAGCTCCATCACATGGGCCTACCATTAATGCTGTTGGGAAAATGCTTGTGGGCATAGAATGGTCAGTTTATGTGTTACCCAGTGACTGGTTAATGATAGAAAGGCATTCTCCTGAAAGATCTGCCCTTGATTTTTTTCATTTGAGTCACAACACGACATACCCTTTAGTAAAGGTGTGTATTGTTATCATTTCATTCCAGTAGATGGTGACACAAGAATCCATGCTGAAGGCTGCCTTGCCTCTCTTTGCCAGATTCATCGTCAGCAATGGACTGCGGACCAAGCACGGGATGCTTGAGATCACACTGGAGACTGTGGACAGAGCCTTGCCCGTGGTGACCAGGAACAAGGGGTTGAGACTGGCCGAAGGGGCCATGGGCCTGCTTTCCCCTGACCTCCTGCAGCTGAGCGATCCTGACACGCCTGTGGAGAGCCTCACCTTCCTCTTGGCTGAGCTCCCAAAGCACGGCCAGCTCTACCTGCGGGGGACAGTGCTACTTCAACACAATTTCACTCAGCAGGATGTGGACAGCAGGAATGTGGCCTACCAGCACTCAGGAGGGGACTCCCACATTGACTGCTTCACTTTCGTGGCCACTGACAGGACAAACCAAGGCTTTGTTGTGAATGGGAGAGTGTGGGAGGAGCCCGTTTCATTCACCATTCAGGCAAGTATGACAAACACACAGATCATTGCCAGAGATGTGACAACAGCAACTTTAAGAACTATTTCCTATTTCCTTTCCTCTTTCATTCCAATACGGACTGTGTATCTACACCATGGTGGGCATATTGGATGACTAAAACAGACATGATCCCTGAGTACGGGCTAATGGCTAACCCTAAGAGTAGGTTGTAGTACAGAAAGGAGGGGGAAAAAACGGCTTTGGAGTCAGACAGACCTAGGTTTGAATTTCTGTTTGTCATTTATTAACTGTGTGACCTCAAAAGAGTTCTCTAACTCCTTTGCATCTACTTTCCCTTCTTTGGAAAACATGCCTGCAGCATTGTGGTGAGAATCCACTACGAGTAGGTGGTCAAAGCAGTAGCATATTGCCTGAAACACAGATGATATTCAATGTCTTGTGACTGCTGTTACACAATGTGACTAATCATACTCTTATGATGATGCTTATTGGCCCATGTCATCTATGGGTATTGTAATGGCTTTCAACTTAAACATATGAAAACTTACAAGGCAGCATCAATATTGCACATGTAATAATGGTGAGGATAATAATAGCAGCAGCCACCATTTCTTTAGTGTTAACTGTGGATCAGATCCACTTTATATAAATCTCATTTGATTTTCATAAAAATCCCATGAGGTAAGTTTTATTGCCTATGTTTTATAGACGAGGGAACTGAGGTTCAGAAATTAAATAATTTGATCAAATATACACAAAGACCTCAAGTCTTTCTGGTCCCAAATTCTGTGTTCTTTCTATGACACTATGCTGCCACATTTTTTCAGTATTACAGTGATTCTTGGAGGGCATAATGTGTTTTTCTTTTTTGAGTCAAAATACATCAAATATATTCTGGCTCTCAAATCCTTGAATCTACTTTCCTTGGAAGTAGTTCACCCCTGTTCTACACACTTCCACCAATAGCAGAGTAGGTATAAATTTGTCTCGTATTTCAGGATACTTCGTGACTAGTAAAATAATCATATTTTCCTCTGCCCTTATATATATATACACGTATATAGTATGTATGTATCAATATAGACAGATATGGAGAGAGAGAGAAAGACAGAGGGAGATTTATCTTATGGAGTAGGTTCTTGCAATTGTAGGGCCTAACATGTCTGAAATATACAAGGCAAGTTGGCAGGCTGCAAATTTCAGCAGGAGTTGATGTTGCAGGGCTTGAGCCCAAAGGCAGTCTGAAGCCAAAGTTCCTTCCTCTTTGGGGGACCTGGGTCTTTTCCCTTAAGGCCTGTGACTGATTGGTTGAGACCCACCCATATTACGGAGGGCAATTTGCATTACTCGAAGTCTACTGATTTCAGTGTTAATCACATTTAAAACACCATAGCCTAGCAAAGTTGACACATAAAATTAACCCCCATGGTCTCGGTCTCTATCTAAAGTGGGGAGTCGTGATAGACAGCATGGGTGCTGGATGGGCCTTTGGCACGAGGGGGGGTCCAGCAAATGTAATGAAATGATGACACATTGGGAGAAGAGAGAAGGTGTCGGTATCATTGACACAGTATGTAAGAAGCACCTTGTACATATTAAAATTATTGGCTTTTAAATTATATTATAATGAACTTTCAAATTATTTTTCATGATTTTTTTTATTAGTCCCATCCCACTCTTCAGTCTGTTATTATCTTTTTCTTGATGTCTAACTCTTCACTCTAGGTTGAGAAATGCCACTGTGCTGTCCAACCAGGAATAATTTTCTGGGTCTGTTTGGCTGCAAATTTGTAAGAATTATAATAGAAATTCTGAGTGCAGACATAAGAGCTCCTTCCCGCACTCCACAGCAGAGATGGAAAAGGGAATGGAGTTTGGAGGAAGTACCAGGACTTAAATCAGGTCTCTCCCTACACCAGCATTCATCTTGAAGAGCATGGGTATCACAAGAGAGTTATCCCTTGAAAGTCATGGAATTTATTGATAGGAAAATGTTGGATATATGTTGTAAAAGTTCTTTTTCATCACAAGTACAAGGTTTTCCTTGCAGAAAAAAAATCATTATGTATAAAAACCTCATAAGGAAAGCCTCAAACTTTCTCCTATAACCCCCCCGACTCCTCTGGCCTCTCTGAGCAGAGAGGTCAAAAGGCTTTAGGAAGTGACTGACCCCTGACAGCAGTGTAGGAGAAATGATTCCCTCAGTCTCTTGCTTTCAAGAGCCTTTTCTGCCAAAACAATATGATGTTGACCACCTTTGAGTGATGAATTGGTTCAAATAAGTCTCCAAGCATGAGTAAACTACTCTTATGGTGGTACCTGGGTAACGGACGGCGAAGCTACTAGATTTAACAGGTGCAAAACACAGGCACAACCCAACATTCATTTTGCGGAAATCATTTTTGTCTGAACAAGATGACTGCAGCTGATGCAACCTGTAGTCCTCCTTCAAAGAGGGAGGGCTCGGGTGAGGTAGAAAGGACTCCTGTAATTGCTAAGGTTCTGGCATGTTTGAGATGATTTTCAGTAAATCAAATACAAGTTATCATAGGATACAGCTTTCTTTTAAAAAACATGCCTTGCACTCCAATATTGAAAAATGCTTCTTGTATACCGAGCCAGAAGATCTGCTTTGAAGAAGCTATGTACCCTAATAAGATCTAGGACATATTTTAGCATGATTATGACCAGAGACACAACAGGGGACCATGTAACTGGAGTTTAGATATTAACAGGCATTTATTACTTTTGTAACACTTTTATTTTTAAGGCAAATACAACATCCCAAAACAAAACAACGATCCTACACTCAGCTATTTATGAAGTTTGAGGATTTCTTACGTGGCTTGGAAGTATTTTGATTTTTCCTCTTCTCCCACTGACCACCCCCTTCCTGTCCACCATGGTTGTGGAAGCTTCTTCCCTAACAAGACACTATGACAGTTTGACTCTCCACCTCCCACCCGACTGCACAGCTCTGAAAGTGGCTGCCCACTCTTTTCAGGAAAGGAAAAGAATGACTATGACTTTTGAAAATGTTTGTTGTGGTTCCGGTTTATAATATAGTAGCTTATTGTAAAGAATTCATAAACTACAGAAAGGAACAAGAAAAAAAATCCTTTGCAATTGTACCACTCGAAGATAACTATTGGCTTCCTCACATTCTTTTATTCTGTGCAATTGAAAAATCAGGACAATATTGTACGTACTATTAAGCATATCACCTGTTTCCACTCTTCATATACCATGAACATTTCCTCATCTCATTGAATATTTTTTAAAAGTTTGATTTTAAAAGTCTGAGTAGGACTTGGTCTCAGGTGGAGATGGTTCATAATCAATGCCCTGCTGGAGTTTTATGTTTTTTGGAATTTTAAAATTGCTATTATAATATTTATTGAATATATATCTAATACATGTATATGCACATTTTTCTGTACATGTCTAATTTTTCTATAAGATAAAGAGCATTTTTGTCCAAAAAAATTTTCACTATTTTGCATCCCTACCAGCAAAATATAAAAATGTCTGTTTCTCCACATACTTACCAACTCGAGTTATGATTATTTTTGATTTCAAAAAAGAATCTTGCCAATTTGAAAGAAAGAAGTAGTTGATTATGACAAAATTCCATATAGAAATAAACAGAGGAGGAGCTGTAATTTTTCGCACCCCAAGACAAATGAACAGATTTGTGCAAATGATCCCAGACATTTATTTGTCTATATGAACATATATATGTATTTGTTTTTAACAAAAATAGTATTATAATCATCTTCTATTCTGCAACTTGCTGGGATTTTTTCAATTAACACAAAGTTGCGGAAAATTTTCATTATTGATTTCATCTTACCCCTTATTTTTTTAATAGCTGCAAAGTAGTTTATATAAGAATATACAAAAAAATATATGGTCTTATCATTGATATGAATTCTTTGCTAGGGTGAACTAAGATTTATAGCAGTATCATTTGAGGGCAAATGAAGTTAGGAATCGAGAGAGTAGGAGTGAGGGGAATGAAGGTAGTTTTCTTGTACGTGTTTTCTAGTATCAGTGGTGAAATTGTGCTAATTCATCCAAACCTGCGCCATCCCCAACCTGCAACGGTTATCTTGCAAATGCAAGATGGACTGAGCTCCGTACAGACTACCATACCTGAATGAAGTCTGTTGTGGTATTTTAACCTGTTCTCCTGTTCTTGCTTATGACTCATTGCCCGTTCGCCATCTTTACAAATCTGGCACACCTGTTTAGTTACCTGGCTCTTGTTCTCAATGAAACAAATATGCAAATGTCTAAAATAGCCAGCTTTTCATTTTTTTCTTACTGAGGTATTTCTATTTCTATTCAACATTTTTGTCAGTCGAACAAAGACATGCCAAAAAAATTCTGTGTATTTATAAACTCATACAGTTTTGTTTCTGTAAATCACTAAACACTGGAAAAATAGGAAAATCCTTCTGTGGAGCTAACATTAAGTTGGCCATACAATTCTTGGGTCAGTTTCTATGTATACATTCCAGAAATATTCCATGGGCTTCTGTTAGGGTTCAGGCACTGTGCCAGGTGCAGGGAATAGAGGAGAGGGGCGGGGAAGAGACCTAATGTCGGCCCTCACAGAGCTTGCATGCTAAGGGGGAGTCAGGCAGGAGACAAATTGATAAAGTTGGTTGAAGGTTTACAATGGAAAGTTGGCCTCTCTTCCAGGCACTGAGATATTTGCTGAGGATATTGTGAATGGGACGGTCTTTAGCAGATATTAACTCATGAGGAGTATAAGGAATCTGAAACTTAGGAGAGTTTGTCAGTGTTGAACCATGAAAGCCCTACGTTGCATGGGGGTGAGAAACCTCTGGGTAACATTGCATGTAACACTGATGATTCAGGTGGACCAGTTGGACAGAACAGCCCCCCGGATCACACTCTTGCATTCCCCTTCTCAAGTGGGGCTCCTGAAAAATGGCTGTTATGGGATTTACATCACTTCCCGTGTGTTGAAGGCAGCAGACCCTGACACTGAGGATGATCAAATCATCTTTAAGATTTTACAAGGCCCACAACACGGACATCTGGAGAACACAACAACAGGTACTGCCTTCCTTAATCCTTATAATTGCTCATTTTAAAATACCCAGTGGCTGGCAGGACTAGAGAGTAATTTAAGTAAGTGTAGGCCCATTTGGTAAACACTCCCCAGGGCTTACTGATAGATGCAGTTTATAAATCAATATTGGTGCTAAAGAGGGTTTGAAGCTGAGTTTTACTAAATTCATCTTGACTGGGAGAGCCAAATGCTGATATACAGCTGTTTATTGTTTACATTTTTTTCTCAACAACAGATTGTAATATATTCAGAGGAACACGGGGTCAGGATTAAATTTCATATTTGTGTCTAATTTTTTCTTCTATTATGAATTCTAAATGATGTCAGTTCATTTTTTAAAATGCTGGGGGTTTTTTTCCTGATGATTTCTCTGGGTCATATAATATTTCTGCTTTATGAACGCAATGGTCATAATATACCATTAAATGGGATGGCACAGAATTATGGATTTTTATTACTCTGTCTTCCTACTCTCCTTCTATTTTTGTATTTTCTGTAAGGCAAATATTTCTGAAGCAAAGCAGATTTAAAGTGTAATTTATGTTCATTGCATTTGAGTTTTAAGATAGCTGCGGTAATATTGATTTCTTTTAAAAAAATGTACTTTAGCTGTTCTTTAAAGCTGTTTAAAATAAAATAGATAATTTTATAAGCCCTTATTGAATGTTCTGTTTGATTACCTAGGAGATTCACGTATTTCTTTTTTGTAGGTGAATTTATCCGTGAGAAATTTAGCCAAAAGGACTTAAACAGTAAGACCATTCTTTACATCATAAACCCCTCTTTGGAAGTAAATTCAGATATCATGGAATTTCAGATCATGGACCCCACAGGGAACTCGGCCACTCCTCAAATGTAATTTCTTTTGCTTATTCAGTAGTCCTGTATATAACGTTCAGAATGTGTCTGAATATTGGCAAAGTGAAATGTTCTTTTTCAGATGAAATCCAGGAAGATAAACTGATAGACCATTTCATCTGCTCATAGAATTTGTTTTGAAGGGGAATTTTCTTTTCATTACTGCTTGATAATGGGAAAGCCAATAGCTTTACAGAGCATAGAAATATCACAAAATTAAGTTGAACAGTGCTGGGTTATTAATGTTATGCGTGTAAATGCAAACACTCTCACACGCAGAGAAGTTTCTGTGTTGACAACCCACAAGCATCCAGTACTGAGCTTGCTGGCTCATGTATAAATCGTGCAGCAAGAGGTCACTCTAGGACCATGTTAGTAACCATAGGCTTCTAAAATATCCAGGGTCGGGAAGAATAAGGTGGTGAAAAGGATTGGCCAAACATTTTCTCTTTCCCTGATGAAAAAATTACAGTAACTTGAAAATGCCTTTATAAGTTAATAAACCTAGAGAAGATGAGGATAACGTAAAGAGGAAAATAGACTTAGGAAAATCTTAAATGACATTTGGAAGGTGTGTAAAGGGTACAGCCCTCAGAATAACAAGAGAAACAAACCCTCAAAATTAAGATTAACAGACCACAGTAATTTCACTGACTGGGCCCCTATTCTAGACTTTTCTTGAATAACTTACCAGCTAGCAGATGTTCTTAGAACGGTCTATCAGAGCTGCGTTTTTTTCTGTTTTTTTAATTTGATAGCCTTCTTTGTCACCTCAAAGAAAAGTTGTTCATTTATCCTAGTGTTAGTATTCACCATTCCTAGTCATACTAAATACCATAAGTGAGCACAGCCCTATTGTGATCCTTTTATGGAATATGGACAAAGGAAGAAAAGAAACCCGAGGCACCCTCTCGGCAGTCTCCATTCTTGCCTTTTCTTTTTGATCCTGAATTGTAGTTTCAAAAGCCTGCCAGCAGAGGTCACTATAGTCATTGTTAGAAACAAACCTGACATCCTTTTCTTAGCAAAACACGTTCCAAGGGTCCCACCGCCATTGCACTGATAAAGTGTAGTGCCTGGCCCAGATTTATTAACTCCAGAGGTTTTTTTATTGAGTGGCTACTATATGTCAGGCGTCTAGTACTAGGAGCTGGGAAGTAGGTGAAAACAAAGAAGACCTGGCCCCTGACATTAAAATATAATCCTGAGACTACAAAACTTAAATAAATGACCCCCACCTATTAAACTGTTTTTGCCTAAGAGAAATAATTCCTTAAAATCACAATCTTTATGGAAAATATGTCAACTACTTGCAATATCAAACATCTTCCAATTCTCAAGAAAAATGTAAAAAAAAATCCTACTTTAAAAACATTAATAAATTGACTTCACTTAGGTTTTTTTAAACATTAATAGTTAAACTAAAAAACATAAGAATATTGATCATACTTGTTACTGACCTAATGTTGACCTCTTGTCCTTCACGTATGAGCTCAGTGTAGCCGACAGAGAATTTTTTTCCTCCAGCAATGGTGCTAGATTGATATCGCTTCACTCACATGCCTTTTTCATTCCTTGTTGTTACGAGGACATTGCTTTTTGAAGGCTCTTTGTGTTTTTAAATAAACCTCAAATTCATATGAGAATTACAGCAGAATTTGCTTAATTTAATTTTAACCTTAATTGAAGCTATTTTAAATAGGATCCTGATTTGTTGGATATCAGTTTTCATGTACTTATGCTGGAGATGTTTCTAATTCAACTTGAAATGATGGGAACCAATAGAATGAAATGCTGTAGCGTATGCCTACCAAGGAGTAAGTAATAGAAAAATAACTTTGATTTGATTCTGACATACATCAGGCTATTTTCTTTAGAGTGGACAAGGGAGGTAAAAGTTGCTCAGCATTTATCTTCATAATTTTTGAATGATATGATTGTCCCCAACCCCATATGAATTTTTTGGAACTAGGTGCACATTTTTCCAATAAGAAACAATGTTCCGAATGGTGGTTTGTCTTCCAGACAGCCAGCAAGAGCTTACTACAATAGAAATCACAGCCATTTGCAATATAATGGTTTTTTTCTCTATTTCATTGCTATTTCTTTAATCATCGCAACCACCTGTGAGTTAGGTACCACCATAATCTAGAACTTACATATGAGGAAACTGAGGCACAGAGATAAAAAGTGACTTTTCTAAGCTCATGCAGACAATTAGTGAGGGAGCTGGGATTCAGGCCCAGGAAATGTAGCTTTAGAGTCCATAGTTTTCCTCACTGTGCTAAAGAACTTGCCCATTCTTAGCACCTGTGCTAAATTGACCTGCAGGGACTGGAACAGCAGACTCATCTCCCTCCTTTCACTCCAGACATTGGCCACATAGGCAGCAAGAAAGAAGGAATACTTACTCTTCAAGGACTTTAAAGTTTAGTGTTTTTTTAAAAAATACAAATTGCAGATATCAATATTAGTGTGCACTCTGTATCTAACACACTGGGATTTATGGTTTATTAACCACTGGACTTGTAGCTAAAGGACAGAGTTTGAACTTTGGGTCTGCCATTCACCTAGTGATTGTTCCAGCCTTAGTTATCTTATCTGTATAATGGGGGCAAAACTACAATTTGTTTAGAGAAACAAATGCGGTAACATCTTGTGTATTTAAGGTCCTTAACAAATGCCACTTGTGGTGGTGATTACTATGGTTGTTAATTCATGTGGGTACAACAATTCACTGTGTGAAGAAGTGTCCCAGAAACATATGGTGGATTAGAAAGCCCACCTCTAATTAGAAATTGTTCCTGGGACGATTCCCAAAGTGAATGATCAGTATGCTTATTAATCAATAAGAAGACCTGGCCATGGAACTTTGTGTTCTTCTTTGGCTTAGACAGGATTAAGAGGTTAACGTTCTTCATATCTGAAGGGGCGAAAAACCTCTGTAATGAAGCTGAAGGGACCGGTAGCCATAGTCTGGAGCAGAAAGGGGCCTCTTGTGGAGCATTGGAAGGACCCCCGCTCGGTGGGAATGTCTCAGAATCTCGATTGCTGGTCAGTTGTCACCATTGCAGTGTTCCTATAGCGTGTCAGTCCCGAAGGATCAATAGATGTTTCATTTTAAAAAGTGTTAGAAAATGCTTATTTAAGTGAGATTAATCAAGTTATTGCCAGTTAGCGAGCACGTCTGCTTGTTTAACTGCATCACATCCCAGAATCATCGAGATGCACGTGTGGATTGGGAATCTCTGACTGAGGGAGAGTTCGCAGCGTTATCTCAACCTGACTGGGCTATAGAATCGCCCCCACCCCCAACACACACACACACACACACACACACACACACACTCTCACAGAATAGCTCTGGGAACACGTTTTTCCTGGGATTCATTTGGGAGACACTTTGTTGTAAATGAAAATTATTTTATAATACTGAAATCCATGGAAATTTGCATAAAGGTTTAGATTTGACTTAGTGCCTAAATTTCAGGCACTGTGCTTGGACAAGGAAATTAGGCTCAAAGCTTTTAAGCAATTATCCCAAAGTCACTGGATGAGAGAAGAGCTGAAAGTGAACCCTGACCTCCGAATCTAAGTGAGCGCTCATCGTATCACTCATTTCCTGGCACGACTCACTCACAGGCTAATGTCTGTTCTCTCGTCCAAGGTGGCTCTCCAACATGATCTGCAGAAGTCCCAAACTGAGTTACACAGGACCCGCATCATTCATCAAAAGCACCTTTGCAGACCACAGAATGCAGTCAGCTTCTCATCAGGGCAGTTGTCCTAATACTTCTTCCATGTGGACCTCTTTCTTGTGCCCACTAGAAAAAAAAAAAAGTGAACTTCTAAAGCAAAGTTGTCCCATGCTGAAGTTCTTGATAGCTCAGGGGCTGCTTCCCCAGCTCTGCCTGCTTCCAAGCACTCTGCTTCTTCCCCTCCCTCTGGCAACCTGCACTCTAGCTGTTCTATTATTCCTTTTTGGCTTTAAAAGAGAAGGGACAGAAGAGATAAAAAAGAAAATGAATTTTGACCAGGAAAACTTTGTAATGTTTTAGCAGCTTTTATGAAACACCTTGCAGGGGAAGAGGTTGACGCGATTGGCTAGCTAACGCCCGCATGTTACCTGCAAGCCAGGAGTTAAGGTATTTGGCTACAGAGCAGATCTTAGGAAAGCGCAGAGGAAGGGAAGGAAAATAGCACTTACGAAGCACCCACTGTGTACAGGTGCTTTATACATATTAACTAATTTTAATTTCCATCATTTGACATGAGTGTAATTCTCTTCATTTTAAAGATAATGAAAACTGAGGCCCAGAGAGACTAAGCAACTGACCGTAATCACACACTAATAAGCGGTTGCAAGGTGTGTTCGATTCCAAAGCACTTGGTTTGGGTACTCACTATGCTGCCTCTTGGCTAAACACCATTTCCCCATTATCAAGAGAAAAAGAGAAAAATGAAAACACAGGTGTTCATAGCATTAGATGATGGAGTTTAATAGCATCATCTTTGCATTGATAAGTCTTAGATTGAATACTTGGAAAAATATTTTTAACATTTCCATTTTCTTAAGTCATTTGCTACTTGATTATAAGTAAAGATCTAGTTATAAAAATAGTAATTTAATCAAAGTTTTAGCTGCTATGAAACCTTTTACTGAGAAGCTCAAAATACTTAATGAGAATTCATGAAGGTTCATTTAACCCCTTTGAAGTACAGACTCATCATTATCATACTTCGAAATGTGTAATAATTACATTATTATAGGAAGTGAGGAAACTGAGGCATAGAGAGGCTAAATATCTTTTCCACAGACTCTTGGTAACTTGAATTAATGTCCCAAATCCCAGACTGGTGTTTTAACCCCAAATGTTTCTTTCCATTTATTGTTTCTTCATATAAATGAATCATATAGCCACAAAATAAAATACGAGAAAGTACATATATTTTACTCCATTACAGAGTCTCTTAACCTTGTTACTACTGGTATTTCGGGACAGCTAATCCGTTGTCAGAGGGGAGTGTCCTGGACATTGCAGGATGTTCAGCAGCATCCCTGGCTGCCGTCAGCTGGGTGCTGGTACCACCCTCTTCCCAGCTGTGACAATCAAAACTGCCTCCAGACATTGCCGTATGTTGAGAACTACACACACGCCTTAGAAAATAGCATACATATGTGTTAAGAAATTATGATTTATGGTAGAATGCTCTTTTATCAATGCCATCTTTCTCTCTATACTAATAAAGTCGAATAATAGTCCAAAATGCAGAGTAATTCGGGGCTAGAGAGAACACGGAAGGATCATCTAGCCTAGCATTTTTTCAAAGTGTGTGAAAGATGATGTTAATAATGTTGGGGAGAAAAACATTTTTGATGGCCAGCTTAGCTTGGGAAACAGTGGGCTACACAAGATTCATTCATTTAGTTAATAAATATTTACTGAGCACATACTATGTTTTAGACATTTTACAAGGGACTTTGGATATATCAGTGAACCAAAGACCCATGTTTTCTTGGAGCATTTATGGGATCTAAGTAAATTTGATAGTATGTTATACATGATGCATGCTTTGGAAAATGAAAAAGTTGGTCGGGATAAGGAGGAATTGAAGGTGCTGGGCTTTGGGAAAGAGGTTGCAATTTATTTATTTGTCTGCTTGTTTTTGAGACAAGGTCTCACTCTGTCACCCAGGCTGGAGTGGAGTGGCACAATCATATCTCACATCAGCCTTGAACTCCTGGGCTCAAGTGATCCTCCTGCCTCAGCCTCCTGAGTAGCTAGGACTACAGTTGCCGGCCACCATGCCTAGCTAGAGGTTGCAATTTTAAATTGAGTGTTTAAACAGCATTTCTTGCACCCGACTGCTTAGAGTTGGAGAGTGGCAGAGGGAGCAGAAGCCTCACATCTTCTAATCCAATTTTTTTCACTAGTCCATACTATGTCTTTCATTGACATTATTGGTTGTCAAGGACCAAAATTTAGCTTCACATTGAACTAGCTTTTTCTATTGTGATGAATACCCCAAAACCACTTATGGAGGTGGTTCTCAACTAGGGACGACTTTCTTCATAAGGGACATTTGGCAATGTCTGGAAACAGTTTTCATTGTTGTCACTGGGGGGAAGTGATGCTACAGCATCTAATGAGCAGGGGTCAGGGATGCTGCTAAGCATCCTACAACACACAGGACAGCCCCCACCACAACGAATTATCTGGTACAAAATGTCAATAATGTTGAGATTGAGAAACTCTGACCTAGAGGCTGGAGGAGTTTCCACCTCCTGCTAAATGGCTTGAAATGATTGCCATATGGATTTCACATAAAGTGTGTCTGTAAACTTCATTTCTAACTGTAGAGTGAGCTATACTGGATAGTGATAGAATGGAGGGATTATTAAAATGTGAAGATGTGATGTGAACTGATCTTTATCTACATGACATCTACACATCCAAACTTCCCAAATTTCTCTCATGGGCTCCTGCATGTGGATATTTACATAATGCCAAGTATATAGCGGTGTGACTTCTTGCAGGGAAAATTCTCAAGTGATTGACCACGTCTCTTATTTTTCATCCAGGTGTTTGTGTACAGTTTCAGCAATCACAGTCTCAGCATAGAAAGATCTTCTCAAATACAGCACTGCAAAAAACAAAAAATCATATTAAAAACATTTGTTGCACATATCCTGTGGGTATGAAAGTGCTATTTTTATTTAGATATTTAAAGATATAGCCTGGCTTAAATTTCATGGCTTTTCAATAGATCTATATTATCTGTAGTGAATAGTTTTAAGAAAACAAAATAGAATATCGTGTAATGACAACCTTGACCTATAAGCATTATGTAGCATTCTAATGGTGCATCAGGGAAATGCAGACATATTCCCAGACACTAAGATCTTTCATTCTTTGAATCTTAACAGCCCTCTGAATGGTTCCCTTCTGGATTTAGATCAGCAAATTGCATTTAGCTTTAGGCCTTGAGGTCACCAGGATCTGCAGAGTGACATTGATGGATTTTTGCTTGTCATGGTTAGCGTTAGCAATGGACGAAGTCTCAGAAGAATTGGGCATTGAAATTCATTTGAACTCACTGATAGCTGAAATACATCCAAATTTATCTGTTTCACTCTTTCCTGTCTTCTCCCCTAATCCCTCTTACTTAATTTTTTTTCTTTCTCATCTACCTGGACCTTTTCAAAATTCTTTGCAACATGTTATTTCTATTGACATTTATGATATCTTTGCTGCTTGTTGTCTTGTAATTCTTTATGCATGCAGTAGTCTCCTGTTATCTGCAAGTGATACATTCCAAGACCTCCAATGGATGTCTGAAACTGCGGATAGTATTGAACCCTATGCACACAATGCTTTTTCCTATCCTGTACAAACATATCTATGATAAAGTTTAATTCATAAATTAGGCACAGTAAGAGACTAACAACAATAACATAATAAAAATAGAACAATTATAACAATATACCAGCATCACAGCTCTTGCATTTTGGGGTTATGATTAAGTAAAGCCAGAGTGACTTGAACACAAGCACTGTGATACTGCAACAGTCACTCTGATAAAAGAGCCGGCTGCTAAGTGACTAAGGAGCATCTACAGTGTGGATACGTTGGACAAAGGGATGAGTCATACCCTGGGTGGGACGACACAGGATGACTCGAGATTTCATCACACTATTCAGAATAGCATGTAATTTAAAACTTTCGACTTGTTTATTTGGGGAACTTTACATTTAGTATTTTCAGACCACAGTTGACAGGTAATTGGAACTGCAGGTGACCCTGGAAAAGTAAATTGTGGATAAGGGAGGACTACTGTAGTCATTTATTTTTGTATTTCTTGATCTGTTTCATGCCACATTTGAATGCAGTTGCATCAGAGACCCATAAGGGTCCTAATATTTTAAAATATAAGGATCCTGTTCTCATGTCAAAAATTTTATTAAGCTTAGCATGCCAGTAAGTTTTATATCTATAGATTGCATAAAAATGTATGTTTATGTAGATTCGTGACCCTGTGATAATTCCATGCTTCTACCCTCCCCCTCCCTGAGCCATGACCCTCAGCTATGAACCAGTGCTATTGAGTTTATTTTGCTACAGAATACTTTATGTCCTTGTGATTTGACACATGATCAGTGGATACAAGAACAAAAAGTGGTTATTTGAGATAAACTTACTCTCTAATGTGAATGGCCCCTAGGAAACCCTGGAGAGTCCGTGAAATTTGTGAACTCATATTCCACGGAGTAGCACCCAGAATTTCTAATTTTGGAAGGGAGGGAGGGAGGAAAG